CCCTTGGCGGCCCAGCAGCATGTCCTTTGGCCACCTGCCGGGCGCTTTCCTGGGAAATTTTCTTCTGGTTTCAGAAAGCAACGTTAGGCACTAGGCTGCCCTTAAACGTCTTAAACGTCTTAAAACGTCCCGGCGCCCTAGGCTGCCCTTAAACCTTTTTCCCGGCGCCCGTGGCGGCCCAGCAGCACTGTCCTTTGGCCACCTGCCGGGCGCTTTCCTGGAGATTTTCTTCTGGTTTCAGAAAGCAACGTTAGGCACTAGGCTGCCCTTAAACGTCTTAAACGTCTTAAACGTGTCCCGGCGCCCTAGGCTGCCCTTAAACCTTTTTCCCGGCGCCCTTGGCGGCCCAGCAGCCTGTCCTTTGGCCACCTGCCGGGCGCTTTCCTGGAGATTTTCTTCTGGTTTCAGAAAGCAACGTTAGGCACTATCCATTGTCCTCTCCCTCGCGGCCCTTGGCGGCCCAGCAGCATGTCCTAGCCTATGCTTCTTTCTTTTCCTCGCTCTTCCAGCTCTTCTGTGTGCACGGGCGTCCCGCTGGTGTGTTGTGCTGCACGCGGATTCGCCCCGACGCGCTGCCTGATAATGATGGGCGGCATCAAACTCTCCGTCACTTTTAGGAGCATGTGACGCAGCAAAGTGTGCTTTACCCTCCGGTAAACTAACCGTTCGCTATAAAAAAAATGACCATTGACATGTTTGCTTGAGCTAGTAACAATGGGTCTTGTCAATACTTCTCTTAGTTTACTAGAGGGTCGAATCGTCATCCAATATCTGAGTTTGTGGGACAGCAACTGGATGATCATGAGATCATTGCAATATCCGCCGACCCCAGACGATGGCAAGGGGAGCGCGTCCGCGGAGCACCCCGCCGATCCAAACTCCACACTCTACACTCCACACTCCACACTTTGACCTCCACACTCTGCACTTTACGCTCCACGCTTTACACTCCACACTTTACACTCCGCACTTTACACTCCCCACTTAACACTCCACACTTTACACCCTACACTTTACACTCCACACTTCGCACTTTACCCTCAACACTTTACACTCCACACTTCACACTTTACACTCAACACTTTACACTCCACACTCTACACTCCACACTTTACACTCCTCACTTTGTACTTTACACTTTACACTCCACACTTTACACTCCACAGTTTAATGTCCATGAAAACACTCCTCACTTTGTACTCTAAACTTTACACTCCACACTTTACACTCCACAGTTGCATGTCCATTCTTTGCACTCCACGCTTTGTACTCCACACTCCACACTCTACACTCCACACTTTCGACTCCACACTTTCCACTCCACGCTGTACGCTCCAAAGTTTGCACTCCACGCTTTGCGCTCTACACTTGACACTCCACACCCTGCACTTCACACTCCCAACTTTCGACTCCACACTCTACACTTTCCACTCCACACTTTACACTCTACACTCCACACTCCCCACTTTAGACTCCACACTCAACATTACACTCCGCACTTTACACTCCACACTTTACACTCTACACTTTAGACTCCACACTCTACACTTTGCACTCCACACTTGACACTGTACACTCCACACTCCACACTCCGGACTCTCCACTCTACCCTTTACGCTCCACACTTTACATTCCACCCTCTACACTCCAACACTCCACAACACATTACACTCCACACTTTACACTTCCCCCTTTTACACGCCACATTTTCCGCTCTACACTTTACACTCCGCCCTTTCCACTCCACACTTTCCACTCCACACTTTCCACTCTACACTCGGTACTTGTACTCCACACTCCACACTCTACACTCCACACTCCACACTTCAGTCTCACAGTCTACACTTGACACTCTCCGCACTCACACTCTACACTCCACACTTCATACTCCACATTTTACACTCCACACTCTACACATGCATCGAAAAAACTAACCCCTGTTCGGGGTTCTCCTTGTTCAGGAGACTACGTACTGTTTGCTGCGCGCCCGACCGGCCCTTGTTCAGGGCTCTCCTTGTTCAGGAGATGCCAGGGGTCGGGTCGGCGGCAGGGGGCGGCAGCCCTTAAATAATAGATGAATACCCTGCTGCATCTGCTTTGGCCGATGATTCGTCAAGGCATTCAAAAACGACGGAGTGACATAGCGTTCTTCTTCTAAACCTAAACCAAACCATCAACTTTAGAAACTCTTGGGGTACTTGTGACAACGTGCTGTCATGGCTGTCTGGAGGCCTGCGAATGCGCTTCTGGCGCAGATACCTGGCGGTCACAAATGAAACTTTAGTTGGCAAAAGTGCTCATCCATGCTCATCCTGTGACGGGGTTTCACTGCCATGTTTAATCTTCCTAGGACGCAATAATGTTGACATCAAGGCATTCCAGTGCAGAAGCAAAACATAGCAAAACCAGCAAAACCTTACAGAAACACATTGTTTCTATCGTTGCCAGCAAATCTAACATCATCGTCCTCCTTTCAGTTGTGATTCAGTAGCAAGAAACCTGATGCTGAAACCTCTGCAATTCTCCTCAAAGAATGAAGCATCTGCCATATCATCCATATCTTCGTGTATTGGCATCGAATGTTGCGGCATGTGCCGCTGGCACCTCCAGATCTGGCTCTTGGACTGGCTGGCCCTGCCTTTAGTATCTTTAGTGGTAAAGCGAAGCAAAGGTATCGAATCTTGAAGGTCACTGACATGTTTTAACATTACACGATTAAGACATATTGCGACGTTACAATGAGCCATCGGACCAAACAAGAACACGGTGCCATGCTAGCCATGCTGTCATGGACCACGGATAGATCAGTTTCTGTTTCCAGCTCTTCTGGTGTTGGGGTAGATGGAATTAAGCCATGTCCTCATGGTATCTGGGATGAGTAGTGATCCAGGAACACATGGCCATCAGAATCGACCATTGGGAACCTGTGGGGACAATACACCAGGATTGAATCATCGATACGTAGTACCACATTGCAGCAGTGACAAGGAGCAGTGTATGAATATTGAAATTGAGAGATCTCAACATGTCAGCATGAAAATACTGAGAAATACCAAATAGATGCAAAATGATCCAAAATGATCCAAATAGTGCCAATGAATGCAAACTGACAACCAAGTCATCCAACAGTTCCTGTCGTGCAAGGACCCGGGCTGACTTGGATCGCCCGCCATAAGGAAGTTGTTGTTCCGTCGCCTGCGCCTGTGTTTCCTGACCAAAAGATGAGGATTAGAAGAAGCATGAAGGGAAGGCTGCAATGCCAGTGGTCAGTCAGTGATTGGCTTGCTGGTTGCCCCTAGTTGGGAAAGGCAGCGAGGAAGCTTCTGATGACCATCAATTTTGGTGTTCAAAGATCACATGGGTTCCATTCTCGACATTTCTCGACACCCCTATCTGTCTGAACATGCGCTGTGTAGTTCACGGTGTTAAGTTATAATGTGTTCCCCATAAGTCTGTTCCGCCAGTTCAGCCGGTTGGCCTCACGTTCCTCACGGAACATTCGAACTGACAAGGCAAGGCCTCCATGCGCAGTGTGCAACTAACTGGCAAACCGCGTCAGCTCTGGCTGCCCTCTTGTGAAGGTGATGATGGCATTGGCATTCTGCTATGAGAAGTCTTGAGATTGGTTTATGATGGTTTATGAGCGTTTCTGAGTTGGTGACATTCAGGACTGAGAGCATGGGGACGCAAACCACCTGGCAGTGACGCACGGATCGCACATCAATGTTGTGGGAAGCAAACACGATCAAACACGTGTGGTGCCAGCCACTGCAAGGCAAATGGGTGGTTTGCGCATCAATCATCTCGCAGAATCATGCTGCATCAAATAAAATGTCAACACTGTACAAAGTTGAAAGCAGACAGACAACAAAGCAAAGCCAAATGAACAAGATATCTCAGGTAGGTCTTGATTGAGAACCCTGATGCACTAAACTCGGTGTCAACCTTGATGTGAGTCAAGGAAATGTCAAGGATGTCTGGGCACCTCTGATTGAATCTGTGGAATTCATATGGAATTCATATGGAATTCATCCTCAATTTCTCCAATTTCCTCAATCATCTGAGCTTAATTCCCAAAGCCAGGCCAGTGGAACCACTCGATCCCTCAGCTCGCCCTTAGGTCGTCCTTCATGGGCCAACAACACCTTGGTTGGAATCCAATAGACCCGTTAAAACTTCAGACCCGTTAAAGAAAAAACAGCTGTTGCTACACGGACTACAAACAATTGGTATTGGTATTCTCTGGACAACTGGAGACATTGACATTGAAGTTGGAACAAGGCGGACTTCTAGGTCTAGGCGCATTCGTACATGTCTACTTCAGGGCCGCTGGTTCAGCGGGCTGGAAAGAATTACATTCCCTGGATGATTTTTGACCTCCAAGCGGGTTTGATCTCCAGAATGCAATAAATGACTACGTGTAGTCACGGGAACACATGGATCTCTGCTTCTATTGGCAACCACCTGCCAAAGCAATCCCACGAAACAAGATTGGACCTCTGGACCTATAGGTTTGCTGCAATCGAACGCAGCAAGATCAAGTTCATTGCGAGCAACATGGAGAAATCTGTGGTGGTCAATGTGGTGCATAAGAATGGGAAAATGACAACTGTGCAATTAGTCATGGCTTGCAAGTGTTTGCAACAACCACTGTGTATATAAGGGTTAAAACCAATGCAACCACGGCAGCTGGGGGAACCAAAGAGTGTTCTCATAGTGTCTCTGCGTCACTCGAGAGGTCAAAAGCATCGCAAAACCACCAAATACCAGACCATACAAATACATGATATACAATGTATATATAAAGATATAACTATAAGACTATAATATAAATATGTATATGTAATATCTGTACAGCAATATCATACGTGTATATATAGTATAATATATATATAATCAGTTCAGCACAGCAGAATGATCTTGTCTGCCAAATTGAACCATAGTCTTGAACAATTGTTCCTATAAACACGATTCTAAACGCGATTTCCCAATCCACTTTACTATCCATTTGAGAGGCTGCAACTTGCCAAACAACGAAGAATCTGAATGCCTCTTGTTAGAAGACCAGCACGTGAGGCCAGATTTTGACATGATTTTGACATCGACCGTCTTCCAGGGTGACTCGATGTGACTCGGCCCGGCACGAAACGATACCCAGCAAAGCGCTCCAGCAGCTTCTCCCGGTCATCCAGGGGCTCACTGTCCAACGGAAGCTTGGCCTGGCACTGGAGATCCCGTACAGTGAGATCATTCCATGAACCACCTAATAATTATTTAATAATTATTTAATATCACCTAATTATCCTAATTCAGTTCATTTCAACAAAGTTGATTTAGACATATTTAATCATATTTAGACATTGCCCCACAATTGCGCGATCTCCATCCATGAATCTGATAGAAGCAATAAAGCGCGTAGACACCTTTAAAAGAGAAAAATGTAAAAGGAATCTCAGCATCACAACAAACAATGAAATCATTGAGCCAGACGCTTCAATAGAGGGCATATATAATCATATATATAATATATTATAATATAATATAATATATTATATATATATCACATTATATCACTCATGTTCAATCCTTTTGCGCCAATGCCAAGATATGCCAAGTCGCACCTGCATTGAAGCTGCTGTGAAGCCTTCCCAAGTCCCAGGGCTCGCCTTCAAGTGACCGAGTTTGTCCAGTGGCATCGTGACCTGGCAAGCTGCGACATGCTGCGCTGGGCGCTGGTTGTCATCTGCGCCAATTGTCTTTATTTAGGCAGCGACATAGCCTACATCCTCCTCCTATCTTTGGAGATCTTTGGAGGGGATTTTGTACCACACAATGCAAACCAGAACAGGTTGATCGATCATGTTTCATTTTCCCGAGCCAAGTCAGGTAGGACGGGTTAAGCTGAATCTGCACAACATGATCTCATGAGAGTTAACACATCGTTTTTGTTGGTACCACCTGACCCGGCCAGGTGGATACTTTTTGCAAAACGTGTTTTCTAAGTCCTGCAACGGTCCACTAAGAACTCAGTCGGCTAAGAGTGACTAAGTACCAACATATACCAACATCACGTGTATCAAGGGCCGACATCACGTAACATCTGGCCTCGTAGCCGCCACCAATGCCTGCTTGCCAGCTTTGGTACCTCCAAAATCAAGACTCGTGGCGAAGCTCTCGGGGATGATTGGAAGATTTGCCAATGCTGTTTCTGTTCACCACAGCTAACAGCAGCTAACAGTTAACTGCGGTGAACACTATCATAAAATAATATAATTAACAGAACAGAAACATAGTATATACATGTAAACTATTATACATATACACGATTGTGGGATTGAGAGTTCTTAGATGTTCTTGGCACCACAACAATCAGTTTGCAGTGGTGTTGAATTTTCCCGCTATCTCTTAGCGGCTGGGGCTATTGAGGTCGCACGGTTCCACATCCACTGTCTGTTCATTGCCATCTCCATCTTTGCCCAGGTCTTGGTAGCAATCACAAACTGACAAAAGTAGACCACAAGACCAAGGTGTCAAGTCATAACGGCTTAACAAATCCGCTGTTTGTTCCATTCGAGATGGAATGATATACAGCAAGTTTAATAAGTATCAAGTGTCAAGTATGCTTTTTCCAAAGAATTAACACAAGCTCAGAGCGCCCACGAAAAGTCCAACAATTGGCAAACAGTGTAACAGCTTTTCCATCAAGAAACGCCTGTTTAGTGAAGCTGAAAGCTGCTTTGCGAAAGCAAACTTCATGCAGACACTGCAGGTGTCCGGTTCCATCTTTAAAGCTCCCGGCTCACCGTCAAAGAACGGCTGGTCATATTCTCTAGGACGCCAATTCCACTCCTGGGTGACTGCATTGATCCAACATTGGGACAGTGACCGCAGCGACAGTCTCAGGGGTCGAAGTTGGAATCGTAGGGACTACCAGTAGTACTGATACCCGAAAAATGTGTAGACCGACCAGTTGCATTCAATTGCATGCATGCAATTACTTTTATTACTGGAACTGATTTGAGGAGTTCACTGACGTATACTGACGTTTGAAGGCGAGGTACATCGGTGTACAGATTTCAGGAACATAACAGATGAACAAATCGACAAAGCACTGTTGCAATGATGTTGACCAGATTTCCAATTCATCTCATTTCCTTGAGAACGCATAAGCTGACTGCTGACTACTGTCATTAAGCTGGGACTGCGCCCAGATCAACATCCAAGGAGCAGTGACACGACTGGCGCCAGTGTTCTCACATCCACAGAGAAGGAGACACACAGTAAGTGGCGATGTCCAACAGAGACCAACCTTTCAGGGCACAAATCTGGTCTCAGGTCATACTTGGTACCTTTTTTACGCCTTTTTGATGTTTTTCAAATCACCCTTGGGCCCTTTGGAGGATGCACAAATTTCTGACACAAGTAGAATCCGTCTGCAGTTCTTCACCCCTGGATGCATGGGGCCAAACAGCAATATGCATCAGCATTTGCTACAGATTCTGTGTTCATGCAAACTACTCCTGCAAACAAATTATTTTCAGCTTCAATGGTGTCAATGAATGCAGATGCTGAAAGGGTGGAACACTTTAAGGACCATAGAAATCGATAGATATCCAATTATATCCATAGAAATCCATAGAAATCCATAGAACATGATGCGCTTTGTGATGCAAGTCCCAAGGGGTCGCTTGGTGTCCGCATCGATCCCCAACCTTCGTCCACTGGTGCTGAAGGGGAGCTCTTGACCTTCAGCGCCGCGGCCAGGAGTCCCTTCAAATCGGACTTTTTGGATGGTGTGGATTCGGTGTAGATGGTGTAGGGCGTATTGCAGTAATATCAGTATATAATCAGTATATAATATGTTGCTGGTTTTTGGCCATCAGTCTTTCGGGCACTGAGCGACATCCCCTGCAAATCAGGGAAGAAACTGCTTAGCACTGAAGAACCTGAAGAACTGCTTAGCATCAACCAATTCAAAGTCTCCAACTTTGAACAATTGTTTCTCCCTTTGCAAGATTGTGCGATTCTTCTCCCATCCTCTAACTTTTGCTCCTTGGTTTCTTGCATCACCTTCTCACTGACCATATCTTGCCATTTTTTGCCATATCTTCCCACTTCTCATCATCGCCGGCACATCAGGCACTGCGTCACCACTGTGTCACCACAGTCACCAGGGCACCCGACGAACCCACCAGCCCGTCCCAGTCGTGGCCGAGTCCGCGTCGCCACCACGGAGCTGCGCCGAGCATCCAACCGAAAACATCAATGGATATCAATGGATTATTGAAGAAATTATGTTGAAAGATGTTGAAAGATGTTGAAAGAATTTATGCAGAGAATGGTCTGAAATGTTCTGAATATGTTCTGAATATGTTCGTAGTATGTTAATATCATTTGAAAACTATTTGAACCCGATGTAACACGATATATATAATATAATTGTACACATCCACCAAGCATCATCAAACGTCATGAATCTAGCTGTGGCATGGCCAGGTCATCCCCTCAACTTCTGCCTCCATCTCCAGCACCCAACGGCTGGTGCCCACAGCAGGCGATTCTGTGGAACTCGTGGCCAGCTCCACCGCAACTGGCTCCTGCATGGCCCAACCTTGGCAGAAGATCATCCGTGGCAGATTCAAAAGTCAGAAGGTAGCAGAAGTCTGAAGCTGATAAACATCTATAAACATCAGAATCATCAGATAGTGATCTCACCAATGTTAAACCTGCCAAGCGATGTTAAACGATGTTAAACGTATCTCACTGAACTCAAAACGTCAATAGTAATCGTCGTCATCATGAGCAGCAAGCTGCTCCTGTTTTGATTTTTTTCCGCCAAGCCAGGCCCTTTCAACACTATGGCTCTGCCGCTTGACAAAGATTGCCAAGGCCACCACGGGAGATCTCAACAGGAGTGCTTCCTTAGGACATCCATCGGTTGCTCCCCCTCCCTACATGGGGAAGGTAACAAACATCTCTGTGGTGCAGGATTGCTTCCATTCCTCCAAAAATGGATTTGAAGTGATCCAAAGAGGAAGGTTCTGTGGCGCACCCAGTACTGCTGATTCAACCCATCTTCGAAAAAATGACAACCACCACAAATATCAAATATTCACAAATGTTTGTTCTGTTGCGGATAGACATGTTCCCGGTCAGTGGCTTTTTGCTTGAAACTGTCCAAAATATGCTGCTTGCTAAACCCGCTCGAAAACAACAACCTCAGCAACTAGGAAAGTATTGACAAGAGCCGATCTTGATAAATATGGTAAAAATATATGTAAAAAAACATAGCTGCGCATTCGAAGAGTTTTTGGAACGTGATGTTTGCATAATTTTGCCTGCTTTTGCCCAGATCATCCCGTGTTCTGATGACAACACAGATCCCCTAAAGTTTCACATCAAATGCTCAACCTGTTTTGGTGTCACTTCTTGTTGATCACCTAGTTTGAGACTTGCCGGCTTCAAGACAGGCTTCTTTCTCCTTCAGGGTTGCGTGCTGCCACGCGGACATCACACAAAGTCCGGTTGTAAACCTTGACACCGGTGCAACATCCCGCCGGCCCAAGCTGCAACCGATGTTGGCCCCAAGAAGTACGAGTATTCGTTATGTCGCGCTGAGTCTTAGCCACGGATGGTAATTAAATCCCCAAAATGTCGCCAGAAAGGCAAATCGCCCTTCTTGGCATCTGAAATCCCCAAGAGAAATCCTCAGGCAGATCCTTCTCGCATCTTCTCATATCTTCTTAGTGAAATACCCCTAGTGCCGCCCTTTCCAGCTGCGGGCCCACGCCCAAACAGCTACTGGTGCCGTGCTGTGTTCAACATCAAAGGCATCCTGGCGACATAGAAAAGATTAGAAAAAGCTTCAGAGCACTGCAGCTTTGCCAGCTGACCTAGCTGCTCTTGTATGAACTGTACAAAGCCGCGACAGCCTCCCAAATACCAGAATTTTCAAAGGTCTCGGCTCTCAGCCAACTTCAATACCATGACTGACTAATACTAATCTAATACTGTGTTATTCTGTGATTTCTGTGATATTCCGTGTATCTTTTTGGTCCCATGACATGGAGTATCCAAGGATGTTCCAACCACCCAGCCCTTTGGCTGCGCCTCCTTGGCAGAGGCCAAAGCATTGGACGCCACAGTCAGTGCTTGCAGCAGCGGTGGCGTGAGATTTAAGACCTCAAATGTGGGATCGGTGGCACCGGGAAAGGTGAAAAATGATGAAAAATGGGGAAAGGATGGGCAAGAGAAGGATGGTGGATCATTGATGATCATATATGATCATGGACACATCGCAACATAGGTGAGAGCTGAAGACCGACGCTGCTGCCATTGACACCTCAAGTCGTACTACAAACCGAGGAGCCAGATGCTCTTCTGCTCGCAGAAGCAGCCTGCACTCGGTTGGCGTGTTGTTGGGTCCCCTTTACAAATGTACTGTACAGCTGGAGTATTGATTGCAGTATCAGTTCATCCAATAACCATCTGCAAAGACACTTGGAAGCGAGAATAACGGAATACTGGCAACACAATGAAAACATTCAAACGAGCATTGTACATCATTGTACTATGGGGTATTCGGCCCGGTAGTCAATGTGCAAAGTGACCTCCCTTTTTGAGGAATCTCGCGTGCTTTGCAGTGAAATTGATACTGGTTGAATCAAGTGCAAGTGGACTGTGACCTCACCTTAAAAGCAATCTGATTGAATCAAACAGAAACCGCCCAATCACGGCCAAAACCAAACAAGTGATAAACTTTCACGATTTGAAAAAACCTTGCGTCTTTCCTTTCAGAGAATGCCTGACAGGAATAACCATTTCTTGGATTGGTGGGACATCCAGCCTCTTTCAGTGGGCGAAAGAAATATAAGAAATGCTGTTGGACATTCAAAAATGGATTCCCAGGATATTCCCACAATATTCCCAGGATGTTGGGCAATGGCAATCGCTGGTGGAAATCCCGAGGCCCTGAGGCATCCCTAGCCCTCCATGCCTGGAGGGTGTAGCTTGGAGTCGCAATCGCCAGGGTTCCACGAAGGGTTCGGTGATCCGAATCCTTTCGTTCCAGTACTCAGCACCTTGGCTCCCCGAGCGGCTCCCCAACTTTTTTCGGAGTCTTCAGAATCACATGTTGCTTCATGTTGCTTCACGTTGCTTCGGCGAGCACATTGCCATTCAGGATCATTCAGGTATAATAGTATGATAACATTATGATATTCTATAATATCAGAATCGTATAATCATGTATAATCATGTATATATAATAATGTATAATCAGTAAACAGCCATGTCAGCTGATACGCACAGCTGCATTCGATGCGGCTCAGCAGCTCAATTGCAAGCGTCCATGGAATCCGGACTCCAGCGGCACAAAAGAATTGGATGTTGCTGCACGGTAAAGGCCTCCCTGGCACGGCATCCAAGGCATCCAAGGCATCCAAGGCATCCAAGGATCGAATTATGTGCAATAGCCAATAGCGCGCTAAACTGAAGGTTGCGGACATCTTGAATCTGCATCCGATGCAGCAACATGATTGAATTTGTCTCCTGCTCCTAAATTTTGACCCATGCCACTTCTATTTACATCATATCTAGAAGCACCGGAAGTCAGGTGATGAAATCAGACACAGAATTCAGAGGCGATGAAATCATACATGAATTGAGTTTGTGCTCTGGAGTTAGATACGAGAGAGCACATTGAGGAACGCTTTTTGGCAAGCAAAGAACGACTTTGGAACAAAATATTCTCGCTCGACTCACTATCCTCTTCTGAAAGAACCATGGACAAGATTTTGAAAAAGCTTGAACCCCCCTGCAGTGCTTCCCTGGCTGCATAAGCAGTGGGATGGAAGACACCGGTGAGAATAATTTAGGCCGGTTCCCCTTTGAATCTGAAGCATTCTACTACTGAAGCTCAATGCTAGATGTTGCGTGCTGGTGCTGCTTGTCTAGGCTTCGGAGGCAATGCTTTTCCAGGTCTGGAAAACCATGGAAAACTTAACTTGCTGGTCAGGCAGCAGTGTGAAGTTTCTATGCATTCACAAGTCACTTTTGGGGGCGGGTATGTAGGGGCCTCTACTATCATAATCTGTCATAGTAGCTATGTCAGTATTTTTCAGTATTTCAGTATTTGTAGTACAAAGATATAGTGGGGAAAAACACAAGAAGTTGGCAGAAAGCCACATCCATTGCAGATTGCCATAATCCATTGGAATCCATGCATTGCATGCACTCTCCAATTCCCTTCCACTCCCATGCAGCCCACCGTCAGGTGAAGATCAGCCAGGTCAAGCTTTGCGCTTGGTACTGAGCTGGCGTGCTGGGTCTCGGCCAACCTGTGCGCGGTTTCAATGGCCGAATACGATCGAATGCATTTATTATATTTATTGAGATGTATTGAGATGCAGAAATTGCTGAAACCAGCAAATCCGGAAAGCTCAAAACACTGCAGCAAAATCAAATAGATGAGATCTGATGAGTGACTGGTGAGTGACTGGTCGGAAGCGACTAGTGACCAATATCGACTGTTCTGATGGCCTCACAGACAAGCCATCCATTGAAATCTCCACGTTCATCGTGGTGTCTTGACCCTCCTCCAGCTGTAGAAAAAGCAATGAGTCTGACAACAGAAACCAAATAGAAAACCAAATGCCGCCACATCATACAGTACCCTCTGCTGCTAAAACAATGCGAATTACTGCAAAACATCATGAAAGTACAAACAAAACATTTCTTTGAGCAGGCCTTCAGGCCTTTGAATGTTTCAGAAAGCAACAACCTCTGCCCAGTCTGTTAACAATCAGTACATTTGCACAACACTCTTCTCATTCAGCATCAACCCTTAAAGTTCCTTGGCGTAAAACAGGACACTTCGCAGTGAGATAGCGGGATCGCTCCACACATCAAGGGCGGGCATATCACCTGCAGCAAGAAGTGTCTGCGAAATATGGTTTCTTTGACATATGGGACCTTGACATACCTTGACCTCATAGCTTACACATGCTTTCACCTTTGCAAGCTGTCCAGTTTAAGTTTAATCGAGTTAGGATTCTAAATCTTGACAAAGACCTTCTGTAATACACCGGCGCGACTAAAAGGATCTTCGAAATCTCTGAAGTTTGTATAATGACAACTATACTTGCACATGCGGAAAAAAGACAACTTTCATCACCTTTCCAATGTCTTTGAAATTCTTTGAATATCTTTGGAAGGCAGAACGTACAGAAACAGCAATGGGATGACGACGGGCTCAACATCGTCCCTTCTCGCCTCGCAACATCCAAGGCCTGAAGTGCGGTTCCAGTGACGGAGCCAATTTCTCCTGCAGCCAGCTGTACCATGCTGTACCCTTGTGACGGTTCAGCCAGGGTGTCGTCCGCTTGATGCAGCTGGAGGTTGCTAAATGCATTGTAACATCTAAAAGAATCTAACAATGACCTTCTCCCAATCAAACAGCACATTTCACATCGACATCTCCTGCATGATTATCACGGCTCTGATTTCAAATTGCAGACATCATGAGTGTTCGTCTTGTTGTTCAGTCCCGAAATTCTTGACACCATATTCGATCCAATTTCCAGCTGCCAGTCCAAAGACTTACTTGGTATCATTCCGATTCATTCAGTATCTACATGATAAATTATATTTATATCTAATCATCTTTAATTATCATTAAATCGTAATCATTATGTAGTTATACAATAATTTCAAAATATCAAAGCTATTCAAAGCTGCAACGCTGCTCCTTCCAAAGGCGCTTGGCTTCCTTGTAGTTCTGCAGCGTCCGAACCCAGTAGAGCTGCAGGGTAGCGGCTGCAATGGCGCCAAGGTCCACAACATTACTGCACGAGGCAGCCGGTAGAGTCCGGTAGGACACCGGAGCAACTGGACTTGATTCAAACAGAATCAAATCTTCATGTGTCTCAATGTGAGTCTCAATACATTGTAGATTGATTCAATCTGATTTGGCAGTGTGTCAAAACCTTGTACCCCTGGTGAACATCAAAATAGCTGGTAAATGGATGTTCATCCCACTAAAAATGGTATTAATAGGTATTGATCGATACCCATTTCATCACATCAATTGACCGCGGAAAGCCGTGGATGAGAACCCTGCAAGCTTCGTTCTCCCACCGCGAAAATATGTCCTGCTGTAAGTCTTGCTGTTCTCAACTGAGACTCTCAAGTTGCTCCAAACCTCGTGCACCTGATGGCTTGAGTTGTGCAAAGACAGCTTGACACTGTGCCCAGCTGGAACGAATCTCACGATCACTGTGAATTCTGATGTTCCCACTCACTGACTATTTGTTGCTTATCTTATTTGTCTCAACGTTACAAAATCTTACTGATGCCAATGCTTGTGGGCACTCAACCTACCTCAAAATACAGCAAGACCTGCGTGCTCAGACAAACAAGTTGCCTCCAATGAATTTGAAAACAAAACGACATTTGGAACCTCAGTCAATTTCACCCAAACTCTGTTCCACGCAGCGCTTCCCCGCCTGCAACTTTGCAGGGATGGGTTTTGTAAGTTCGTGGAGCTGTAGGCACACTTGGCCCTGGGCATAACACGCCCTGTCAATGTCACAGGGACCCCATCTTCACAGATGGGCATACAGCTACGCTAGAGATGGTACGAGTGTGTGGGGGTAGCGGGTAATAATGTTCATCTACACCTGAACACGCAACAGATGCTGCACTAAAAATGGGGTGGGGTAGAGGTGGCAACAGACAACTTCGAAGATTTGGCAGGCCATGACAAATACTGCCATTGAACACAGAAGCATATGAACAGTTCACCAGGTCGCGGGCTCTGTTGGTAACTGAACGGGTTGAGTTGGGAACTAAGAGGCAACTAAAAGGCTGAGTCGGCAAGACCCAATAAGAAGGGATGGCTTGGCAAATAAGAAAGGCTGAAGGTTTCTATCCCACCCCACCCCATGCTGTTTGTAGTAAGAGAAGGAAAGCTGAGGCCAAAGAGAAAAAGACCAATTGAAGTCCAAGCACAATCGTACAGGATGTTTATGTTGTCAATGCTCTTTGGTCCAACCAGTTTTGTGGATACATAGTTGATATATGGTACAGTATATATGATACTGCCACGTACAGAGCATATGGTGAGTGTAAATACTACTGTACAGTACTGTACAGTATATTTTATCAATGTACGCGTGTCTTATATGCCTACACCACTTCCTAATCTGGTTGGCTAAGACTCTAACTTTGTCAGGTAAAATATGTGTTCAATTGGTGAAAGTGAAAACACCCAAAGTCTAAACACTCTAATTGCATCTAAAGTTATCTATATAGGTTTTCTACTTACTATATCTAATATTATATCTATATAATTAATTCTAATTATATCTAATTAATTCTTACATTGGGCCGATCTACAACCGACGGACCGCATTGATATCAACGCTGTGAGTCTGGCCTTGGCTGCATCTGATGCACCTGCCCTGTGCGGCTGCTGCACAACGAATAGTGTAGAACCATGCGCACAACGTGAATATAAATTTACAATAATTTATAGTAATTTACATACCAAGTTCATCCAAGTTCAATCAACTTCATTTGATTTACTTCTGGTTTACTTTGAGTTTGAATGACCACGTCAGCTGATAGGCAGCTGGTCAGCCCCAGTCAGCAACTGAAAATCAAGACATGCAAACATCAGCGAGGAAGAACCTCAGGAAGAATTCCTCCAGCTGTGGGAAACTCAGCTCCTGCGACACGAGGACGGTGTGCCTTTATCTGGGACATCTCACTGCGTAGGGGAAAGAGGGGAAAGCGGCACTGTGGCTGGAAGACTTCGGACAAAGGAACCCAACACTTGTAACGGCTGTTCAACGAAATGATTTGTGTAACGATTTGTCCCGAAGCGCTGTTCCTGCCACAGTCGTCGTTGTCATAAGTCCTCATCTTTTGTCGTCGCTGTCGTCGTCACTTGAACCAATATATTTTGAAAAAGCATCATACAGGATGTGAGGGTTTGTTTATTCCTTCTTTCGCTCCCCTCATCATCTGACCCTTCGCTACACAAAGTGTGAGAGAACGGCAAGACACTGATGAACGGAAACAATTCATTGGTTCAACCACTACACCCACGAACCCGAATGCGAAAGAAAAAACAAATCCTTAAATCAAAAAAGCAAAAACCACCTCATCCACCCCATCCAGTGCTCCAGACCCGCTTGATGTGAAACTCGGCGTCCCTTCTGTCCAGACAGGATGAATTAAAGGGTAAAAGGGTATGTATGATGTGTATATAATCGTTATGAATGGATATGCGTGTGTGTGTTTTTAAGTACCCCCAGGGAATGGGATGCGTCCGCATTTAAAAAAAAAAGGTTGAATTCATCAATCCAACTGTCAAGCTCTCTGATGACTGTTTGGCAGGCTCATGTGTTTCAAGTTTTGATACCAGCCGGGATTGGCTTTCGTGTAGGTCAGTTCAGTGTTGTCTTCACAACCTCGGCGTGGGAGAAATGGACGGGTCAAAAATATCCAATTTGGAAAGCATTTCAACGGAAATTGGATAAGGTGACGGGGGGTCAGGTGAAAGGGTGAAAGGTGTCCCCCCAAAATGATTAAATTCGCTACTTGAAGGGGTCTCTTCACCTGCCCCGTGAAAGGTGCTTTCACCCCCTTGGTGAAAGGCTGGTTTGACGTACGTAGTTAAAGGGCTTCCACCCACTTCGTGAACAGTTTCCGGAATTGTGAAAGGGTTTGTAAGATTTCTGGTGAAGATCCTTGTGAAATTAGCGGGTGTTCATAGGGTAAGTTCGACCTTTTCCAACTCTCCATTTTGGATCATTTTGGCACCTCTGTATGGGCTGTGAAACGCAATCAAAGCTCCCCGCGAGTTGCACTTGCATGCGGTATTAACTGAATGCGCAAGAGATATGCCACCAAGAGGACGATACAAAACACAAGAAAGGCTATCCTCTTGTCTTTCTCTGCGATCGTCTCATCTTTCTCTGCGATCGTCTCATCTTTCTCTGCGATCGTCTCATCTTTCTCTGCAATTCTTTGCTGGTGCTGTGTAATGTTCAGGGAATGCGGGAAATACAGAATACTGAAAGGCAAATCCTTCAGGACAGGGAACTTGTTGATGGCCTGTAGCCACTCCTCGCTGCACCGAATTGGCTTCTTGTTGATCACGAGTACTGCAGCTGGGGGCAAGCAATCCACTGCTGTGCGCATGGTCAAGTATTTCTCAAGCTGGAAGCACTTGCGGTAGAAAAGGGCACCATGGTTTGTGGCTTCCACAACTGTATGAGCTGGGGCGCTTCCACTTCCATGCAGTAACTCTGCACCCTCGCCCAAGCTTTGAACCAGGTCTTTTTCCTCCTCTAGCACCGCGTCAGCCTCCGCTACACGATAATTGGAGCCTGCTTGACTTTCTTTTGTTGTGCCAAACAATCCCTGCTGTAGTTTCCGCCCAACATTTTTCTTCGAAGCCTCGGCCGCTTCCTGCTCCAATTCCCGCAGTGACATGATTTGGTCCTCTTTAAGCCAGGCCTTAACTCGTGCTGCATCCTGTTTGCGTTCAGAACCTGTTAGTCTGAATCTAACGCAGTTTTCATAGTCCTCTCCAGCTACACGGCCTGGCAGTGAACTGCTGTCGCTGCTGTCGCTCCACAAGGCTGTGCCGTCTCTCGGGCAAATTGTTGGCCAATCATTCTCATTTGCCATTGCAACGACAACCGCCCGGGTGAAACGCGAAGTGTTGTTTTCTCAAGCTGCTGAACACGTGATGCTTGTCTGGCACCTCACCAACCTATATATCAGGCCTCAGATTTGGGTACGGAAACGTCCAAACACTATACCAATTGTTGCCATGAGTGCAGAATTGATTCTTTGCAGCAGGTCCAAAGGTTGTATCACTATACCAGTAGTACCGCACAAGGCGGTGGCGGAAGTTTCAAAAATAGGAAACCTATAGGAGAGATTGGTTGTTGTGAATCAGGGATGGCAGAGCGAAGCCACTGATGGATCGAAAGACGATTGATCTCTCTCACTCTTTCTCTGACTATCTACCTACCTACCTATCTATCTAGCTATGTATCTATCTATCTATCGATCTATCTATCTCTCTCTCTCTCTCTTTCATCTAATTACCTATTTACCTACTATCTATCTATCTATCTATCTATCTATCTGTCTCTTTTTTGTCTCTCTCTCTCTCTCTCTCCTCATCTGTCTAGCTGTCTAGCTGCCTATCTGTCTATCTATCTATCTGTCTACCTGTCTATCTGTGGTGCAGTGTCATTCAGTGTAATGTAGTGTAGTGCAATGTAGTGTGGTGTAGTGGAGTGTAGTGGAATGTAGTGTAGTGTAGTGTAATTTAGTGTAGTGGAGTGTAGTGGAGTGTAGTTGTGTAGTTGTAGTTGTAGTTGTAGTGGAGTGTAGTGTAGTGTATTGTAGTGAAGTGTAATGGAAGGTAGTGTAGTGTAATGTGGTGTGGTGTAGTGGAGTGTAGTGTAGTGTAATGTAGTGTAGTGTAATTTAGTGTAGTGGAGTGTAGTGTAGTGGAGTGTAGTGTAGCGAAATTTAGTGTAATGGTGTGTAGTGGAGTGTCGTGGAGTGTAGTTGTGTAGTTGTGTAGTTGTAGTTGTAGTGAAGTGTAGTGGAGGGTAGTGGAGTGTAATGTAGTGTAGTGTAGTGGAGTGTAGTGTAGTGTTAATGTAGTGTAGTGTAATTTAGTGTAGTGGAGTGTAGTGGAGTGTAGTTGTGTAGTTGTAGTTCTAGTGTAGTGTAGTGGAGTGTAATGTAGTGAAGTGTAGTGTAGTGTAATGTAGTGTAGTGGAGTGTAATTTAGTGTAGTGGAGTGTAGTTGTGTAGTTGTAGTTGTAGTTGTAGTGTTGTGGAGTGTAGTGTAGTGTAATGTAGTGCAGCGGAGTGTAATGTAGTGTAATGTAGTGTAGTGTAGTTAAGCGAAGCGAAGGGAAGCACATCTGAACCTCCAAAAGTGGTCCAAACCCCTAGTGTTTTTGACATTTTGACTTCGAAATGTGCTTCGCGTCACAACGGCGTGCACTTTTTCGACATCTGAACTTCAAAAAGTGGTCCGAGACCGTCAGTTTTTAACACTTTTGACTTGGAAATGTGCTTCGCGACACAGCGGCGTGCACTTTTTCGACATCGCAACTTCCAAAAGTGGTCCGAAGCTGGTGTGCTTTGTGCATTTTGACTTGGAAATGTGCTTCGCGCCACAACGGCGTGCGCTTTTTCGACATCTGAACTCAAAAAGTGGTCCGAGACCGTCAGTTTTTAACACTTTTGACTTGGAAATGTGCTTCGCGCCACAACGGCGTGCAATTTTTCATCTCTCATCTGGCCAGCTGGCTCCGCACCCGCCGCTTTAGCGAGCCTACTTTTCGACCCTCCGGAGCCACAAATCATTGGAAAAACACAGTGTTTCGCGACTTTCCTACCTTTTCGCGCATCTGTATCTTCTGTCCTCTTACTCTTTCTCTTCTGACTCTTCTCACCTCTGCTTTTCAACTGTCCATATTGTCGGAAGTTTCACTTCTAAACTTCCTTCGACAAGGACGCGTCTGAGAGAGAGTCAGCTGCAATAATCTTGCATGAATCCAAACTACAACATCTTGCATGAATACGCATCTTGGCAAATGCATTCCAGTCCCAATTCCAAAGGTCTGGGTGCCCAGGCAATTTGCACGAAGAACTTAATGAAGATGTCGAGAGGAGAAGCGACCGACCAGAAGAAACAAACTCAAGGAACATAAAACTCCAACAGCAGCAACAGTTCTCCCCCTCATCTTAAACCAAACAATGAAGTGAAAGTTCGGGGCAAAATAGTCCCAAAATCTCACCAGAAAAACATCAAAGGTAAGGAAGAAACATTGAACAACAACAGCATAAAAACCATAACAACCAACAATGAACGCTGGGATGTCTTAGCATCCCCCTTTTACCATCTTTTTCCCAGACGTACGGGTGCCTTGTTCTCTCCAAGAGAACTCACAAGATGTTCTGCTGCTATCTCGATCTCCTGCTAAGAATCGGACAAGATCTCAAGGATCATGCAGCAACTCAACAACATCCTCAGCATCAGATATGTTGAGTATCCGAAGGTATTCCAAAACAACCCTTTGGGTTTGTGTCCTATCCAAACATATTAAGATGGAAACCAAGTTTAGATAAGTTTGGGTCTGAACTTGTTCAAAGGAAGACAGCGTGCGTGAATCGCTCGGTAGACACACAAGCCCAGCAAGATTGGTGGCACGATGGCAGTCCTTCGGTGTCATGAACCTCAGAAAAAAACAGATTAAGTGAAGAGTCATGGCCATGTGATCTGACGGCAGGAGAGAGCTAAAAATCCCAGAAAATCCCAGAGAAGCCTGAGATGACCCGTGAAGGTTTGGATCTCTGTCCATCTCTGTTTAGGTCTTTGATATGCTTTGCTCACCTATGCTCACGTTTACCACTACAACTACTGTAGACATCTGTAGACTCTCTACGTATCATTGCGGATCCATGTCCACCAGTCCTGCCTGATGTACATGTTCTCGAGCAGCTCCATCACCTCCTGCCAAGCGAAGCGCGCCAGTTTTTGCACCAATGTATCAGAAATGTACGGAAAAGTCTGCTGATTCATGTTGATTCTGCAACTTGCAGTAGAAGCAATCATTCAATACGGCAGTTTCTGAGGACCATGGTTATCCCTAGTGCCGGGCGTTCCTGCTTCTGTAGGGTGCCAGTCTGGTTGTGGTCCAAGCGTTGAAAAAGCGACCGAACCTTCTCCAAGTGCCTTGGCAAATGCCAGACATACTACCCGGTGACTGACTGAAGTGATTTGAATCGTTGGAAGTCGCTTAGACTTGGGATTCCCTCCCCATATAATGATCTATATATACATCCAAATGTGTATTTAAGTTTATTATTGCATTGTCTGTTCAAGCTTTGACCATGCTGCATCTGTTCAACAGGCCTAGGCTATTCAAGTCTTTCTCAGGACCCCAAACGTATCTGCATGGCGGCGTGGTCTGATCACCTCCCTGTCATGCCGTGGAAGCTTGATGAAGCACCCTTCCCGGACCACAATCTGAACATCGTGTAGCCAGGGGTTTTCATTACTTTGCTTTTGTTGTGATGCCTGTATGTTCTTGCAGGTAGGGATTCCTGCAGATCAAAGGCGATTTGTTCTTGCCTTTCATTCGTTTCATTGAGGGTCTGCAGTCAGTGGTCGGCACTGGTCGGCAGTGGTCCCAAGTGGTCCGCATTTAAGGAGTTGATACCAGACTTCCCTTTCGAGATGTATGGCAGATTCTCGCACATACTATTGACCACACTCAGTCAAGTACCAATACACCATACAGATCTCGACGCATGATAATATTGCATTTACAGATTGTATCCTGCGATAAAAACTATTATTATTAATATATACATAATATACAAATCAAATGTCACAGCTAGATTGGACACTGAGGATGAACCCAGTACTCCCTGCTAGCATCTGCTAGCGAACATCCAGGCCTCTGGACACTGGCAGTGGAGCCTCCCTTCGCAGGAAGGTCGTTTTGGATTGCCTGGAAGTGCCGGAGGTCGGATCTGGTCAGCAACTGCACCACATCAAACCCAGGAAGAATCGCAAGCCCAACGGCGGCACTGCGGCGCAATACACTATCTCTCAGGTCCACCAAATGAAGACAATTAACAATTCATTGCTTCACGCAGTGTCACGCAGCATCTTCGGGTTGTAAATTAAGAATGGAGTGGTGTTGATGCGTAATTGAACTCAAATCTGGCTTTGGGCCAGCTAAGCACATGCGACATGACCGAAGTCTCAACGCTACAGTTACAATATAATATAATACAATCAAATACGCACTATACAAATCTATACAGCTGTAGTCATCTGTATATGATAGGTGTTCATAGAATGTCGGGAGTTCGTTTCAAAGGCTGAAAGGATGGGGCCAATTCGCGTGCCTTGCCAGAGAGATTCCGCAATGCTCGTTGTAGTCGCCACACAGCGCGGCTGGAAAGCGTGGCTGTCAAGCTCTGCCCTTGCAATGCCTCGACACGGCAACAGGACTAGCCCCACTGGTGCTGCTGGGAAAGGCCTTGACATTTCTATGTCATTCCTGACAGTAGCTATAATAAGTTATAAGATATTATAAGATATTGTAAGATATTATAATATATAATTATAAGATATTATAAGATATTATAAGATATTATAATATATTATAAGATATTATAAGATATTAAAAGATATTATAAGATAGTATAAGATATTATAAGATATTATAAGATGTTGTAAGATATAAATTATAAGATATTATAAAATAGCATAAGATGTTATAAGATATTATAAGATAGCATAAGATATTATAGGATATTATGATGCTATAAGGCCATAAGGCTATAAGACCTTGAGAGCTGTGCGCAGTCGTGTAGAGTGGGAGTAGAGTACCCCAGATTAAAATGCGGCAAGCCATGAAGTCTACATGAATGTCCTCAGGTCATTCGCAGATATTTGCAGTACCTCAACGACTCTTGTCTATATTTTCCTGCAGATATTGCGAGGGCAATCCCAGCTCCTAAATGTTTCTTCCTTACCAAGACATCCTACCATCCAAGACTTCAAAAATGCTCAGAATTTCTTCAGAATTTCCTGAGGAGCCAGGCCCAGTGGGCCAAGCTGTCCACTTTGGACCCGGCTCGGAGGCTCGGAGGCTCTGAGGCTCAGGCACGTGTCTGAAACTTGAGGTGGAGATCTTCCCCGCATGCACTTGGATACTTGGCGAATTTCATCTCCTCAGGAACAGTTGGGACGCGAAAAAGTCGAAGATTACAAGTTCCAAACAAATCAAACATGCTATGACAAGATCCATTTCTTTTTCAGAAGGGTAACATATGTGACATGTTTGACAAACTAATAAGATTTACGACTGGGGCAGCTCTGGACCCAACTGTGCAATCACACTGAATGATCGAAGCTCAGACACGTCCAGAAAGCATAGCCACACTTGTAAACCCATCACATTATTCCGAATGCTTTGAGGACAAAAGACTGTGCACTGTCATCAAGTTATCAGAAAAAATAATGGATGTCACATGATGTCACTAACCTAGGAACTTGAGCAAGTGAAACACCAATTGCCGCAATGCAGCGAGTTGAAGTTCTGGTTCCCAACGAAATCCCATGGTGCATGTTGTCTTTTCATGAATATATAGAGTACATTGAATACATGAGTATGCAAACATTTATTACTATTTATTGTTATTATTATGCACAAATATATCATGCATAAGTCGTGCATGTTTTATTTGTGATGTTTTATGCACCTGCATGAACAGTAGGTCATGACTGGCCCAATTGCCAAGGTTCTATGCTACAAGGCTGCAAGACAGAAGCTGCCTGCGCGGGTGACCAAAAATGTCTCAGCTAAATGTGCATCCAAGGTTCTGACACCGTATGACCACGGCTCATAAAAACATACAAAAACTAAGTCTGGAGAACTGAAGCACCACACACCAGACACACCACGCCTGTGTTCCCAGTGCTTCGCATTCGATCTGCATGGATTCCAACTGCACAGTTGCCTGACCAAGGAGACACTTCTGAAAAGGTCCTTTGGCATTGCCTTTGGCATTGCCTTTGGCATTGCCTTTGGCATTTCATGGCATTCCGACATTGCTGATGACTGCTGCGGTGTCGAGACACCGTGTTCTCAACATTATCAAACCACTTGGTGAGAAGAAAGCCAATATGGTGTCATTCCGTCAATCGAGAGATCGTCAAATCTGACAAACTCTTGAGGCCTTCATCTTGGGCATTGGGCCATCTGCCTGAAACATTTTACAGGTTTCCCTGTAGTCCAAACGATGTGACGTGAACGACAACATTTCTGATGTGGTAGTTCAATCCCAAATCTATTTTTACGATGCTGACAATACATGGCAAACGTGTGACAATGATGATAATGAGTAGGGGATGGCTTGAAGGACGGCGATGGTTTTGAATGGATGAAGTACAGTACGATGCAATGAACAAACACACTACAGTAATGCTATCTCAAAGTATTGCACAATTCTGTGCTTATCAAGCTGTACAAAGAGTACTGTTAATGGCTACTGTAGCCATGAGAAGCAATTCTACAAAGGAAATACAAACTGGACCAGGCTCCTAGGATCTCCTAGGAGGGCGGTGTTCCGAAAATCTTGCAACGTAGGTTCAAACCTTTTCGCTTGCCCCTCAAAATTGTTCTGGCCTCTTCTCCAACAGCCAACAGGAAGGCATCGGTTTCCCTGCAGATTTGGAGACGTAGGAGTTGACTCTTCATAGCTGTTGATTGGGCACGCCGAAAACAACGTGATTGCGTATTAGTTGCGACATTTGAGATACCACTTCAACTTGTGCACCTGGAATTCGACATCATGTCCGGGTCTGTGGTGGCCTCGGCAAATGACCCACAAATCCCAAGTGTCCAGGCTCTCTTCTGGGCTGCCAAGTAAAAGAAGCTTGGGAATGAAGGGAGCAGAAATACAGTAGTAACAAATACCCAGCGAGAGGCCAAAGCTAGGTCTCTTGTTTATTTGCAAGGTCCCGCATCAGGGCTCTGCAGGCCATGCTCGTCTTGGGTCCTGATAAAATGTTCACACCATCAAAAATATATGCCTCAAATTGCACTCTTGGCGATCCTCCATCAAAAACAAAAGGAACAAGAATATGGCATCTCCTAGATATACAAAAATTGTCGAATTTTGGAGGCATTTGTTTGGAGGCTCACTCAGAAATTGGCAATTCCAACATTAATATATTAGATGGATGGATGGATGGATGGATGGATAGATAGATGGATAGATAGGTAGGTAGATAGATAGATAGATATTATATTGATTATATAAAGATATAGAAAGAGCCAATGACAATAAATCTGTGACTGACTATTAAGATCTGTTGATCTTAAGACCTTGAATGCCTGGCAGGTGCTTTCCAATCGATTCAGATTGGCTCCCGGGCTGCGCCCAGCTTTAGATTCTTCAGGCGCAGGGAACATCCCATGCCTGGCACCGGTGTGACCAGTTCTCTGCGAAATTTTGAAGAAACTGTGTGATGTTCTCACGGAAAGAAATGGCCATAGTGGCTATAAATGCCAGCATACATGTCAGAGAGAAAACAATGCCATCTGTGAACAAGCACGTGATGGAATATGATGGAATGAATACAGTATAGTGTCTTCTAATTGTATTGCGTGCAGCGTGCTGACACACAAAAATACGAGATTTCTGATCCAGGCAAATAGCCACCACACAATTGAATAGGAGTTTAAATGAAATATCAAATCTAGCCATGCCACTCATACACAAGTAACATCACGTAATTAAGCAGGTAATTGTCGGTGATTGTTGTTCAAGTACGAGTACAAGGCTGTGCAATCTGCTTGAATGAACGGCTCTTTCGTCGCCTTGATTCAGATTCCCGAAGCTCACAAAATTCAACAAGCATTAGGAGCACCTGGCATTTCGTGTTCTTGTAGAACTTCGGCAGTGAATGAAGCCATATCGACCTGCAGGTCTGCAACCAGCTAGCAGAGCTGATGGATCGAACCAGGTGGATAGGCTATACAGTACATTGACATGCTTCCGACTTCATGAATGTGCTCAGCTTGCATTCTGATCTTAAAACGTTTTCGTTCAAGACTGGTGCCCACACAACAAATCTGCCATGCTAAAACTCCGGAGACCAAGTCTCTCACCACCCACCCCGAGCGTCACCAGACCGCCGGTCCGCCACCTTGGCGTTTAAGGACCGCAATGGACGCTGCTCTTCTGCCAGCTGATCCAGCCAGGCCTGCGACCAAAGACGAGAATCTGCGATTCAAAACATCCAAAAACTCAACGATTTTCCACGAGTTGCAACAAAGATGTTGAAACATGTTGAAAATTGTTGAAACTACGTATGTTCCACTCCTCTATGAGCCGACTGGATCCGCAGGTGCACCTCAACCGTCAAGTCTGTTGGCACTGGCCAAGCTTCAGCACTGCAGCGAGCATTCACTATCTCCTGTGCCGTCAGTGACCAAAGGATCTTGATATCCGTTGTATCAAAGCGCTTTAGCAATCTTGAGCTGCAGTAAGACAAAATAAATCATGGGACTGGAAAGAAACCACTGTTTGGCAAATGTTGGCCAGGACACTGGTTTCCTACGTAGCGTCAAAACATGGGACAACTGTTGCCACTCACATCTGACTTCACCGACTCATCATGAGCACTGGGACTATTCACCTTGGACGTCATTCTCTGCTCCCACTCGCTCAGATCTTTCTTGCGACCCTTCACTGCATCCTAAGATGCCCAGTGAGAAAAAGGCGATAGAACGCGGAAGTGCACTTGAGCAGCTTCGGGTGCTGTCAAGCAGACCAACCCGAACACTGTGGCACAAAAAAACTTTGCGAACAGCTAAGTAAAAGACATGTATTTTCACAGAGAATGTGGAGCGGAATGTCTGTACTACCTTTGTCCTCTTATCTTTGTTCCACAGAGACAATCCAGGATACGCTGGGATACCAGTGCATCCAAATCCATTGATGCAGCTCAGATACCAAGTAGTTTCTCAGTTCCACCGCGGTGAGTGGGATGCGCTCCACTGACTCAACCACGTCCTGAATGGCGAGCGAGCTGGGTTGGCCTCTTGGTTAGATGGAGATGTACAGGTCCCGTAGCTTTTGAAAAGTCGCTAAAGCAGCATCACTGGAGGTGAAACAGGCGAACATGATCGCCATGATCAAGGCCAAGGTGCTTTCTTCCAGGCACCAAATCTGCTCATGGTGTCACTGATGTTTGTCCTAGGAAAAGACTACGGCACAGCCAAAGTACCGGGTAGCGAAGTCATGTTCCAAAGTGAAAACAAATCTTCTTCTGTCCTACGACGTTACTACGAAGCAGTGCAAAGCCGGCTAGATTTTGGCTTGACTAAATCGAAAGGCTTCAAGACATTACATGACATCACTGTTACTTTTCCAGTCATGAGTCATCATCAAGTTTCCAGATGATCTCATGAAAATTTAGCTAAAGATGTTTCTTGTACTCGCCAAATCCAAAAGCTCAGGACTATAACCGATGCTCGCTGTTCCGAGATGATACATGTTGTGCAGGTTCGTTACGTTCCTTCAAGACACCCCTTACAATGCCTATCGGGCAAGCTTCAACCTCTAGAATGCCCCATAAAAAAATGGTAAAACAGGGAAACTGGGGAGTGAGGGTTCAAGGTTCAGGTGGGAGGCTGTTATGTTTTTGTTCAATGTTGTAAATCTAAATGTTTGACTGTTTCTTTTTGTTCGGGGGCATAATGTTTCGTTGAGGTTGTTGTGATAATGTTTGGTTTAAGATGAGGGGGATAATTGTTTAGACTGTTGGGGTTTCTGTTTGGATTGAGATTTCATATTCCTAACATTCCAGTTTCATCATCTCCATTTCTCACAACTTTCGGTTTTTCCTTTCCCTTCAGTTTGGTTTGATGCTTGATGCTTTCTTCGTGCCTTTTGACCTGATATTTGTTTATGATACTTCCGCACACGGGACATTCAGTCTTCAATTCATTAGTGTCTTTCTTTTCCTCTGTTGTTTGTTCCTTTTTTCTTTGATGATACTGTATGGCATACTGTCTTAATTTGTCCCTGTTTTTCTCTCTGTATCGTTGCTTTGCTTCTAAACAGTTTTTACACTGCTTACATTCATCTCTGTAATAGTTTAATGGTTGAAAGAGGAGGCATACGAGTTTAGAACAATAGACCCAAATAACGGACAGTTAAGGAACATCCTTGACATCGCAGGAAGTGGTGGTGGAGGGGGTGGTAGTGTTGATTTAACCAATTACTATACAAAAGCGGAAACAAACAATCTGTTCACCCCTTATTATGACAGTGGTGAAGTTGATGGTTTATTCACAAGTTATTACACAAAAGTTGAAACCGATGGTTTATTCACCCCTTACTATACAAAAGTTGAAACCGATGGTTTATTCACCCCTTACTATACAAAAGTTGAAACCGATGGTTTATTTACCCCTTACTATACAAAAACTGAAAGCGATGGTTTATTAACAATAAATTGAATGTCAGCAATCCCGAAATAACAGGCGTTTTGAAGAGTAATGACTTTGATAGTAAAAATAGTCTGTCTAACATACTGTTTAAACATAACAATGCTGTTTATTTGGAATATGATTATGATTACGATACTAACGGTGGTTTGGTTTTAGGAAAACCATTGGCATTAGCATCAAGTTTAGACATACCATTGAATAGTAAATTACTTTTTCAACATACCGACAGTTATATAAATGAAACTTTAAACGCTGGAAACTTTTTGAATTTTGCAATGAAGGAACAGACAGGTCAAATTGACTTTTATGTAGGCGACCCCGCTACTGCTTCTAATTTAGTTATGACATTAGCAAATGATTTAATAACATTTCATAAAACAACATCACCCGCTATTGGAGGTGGAGGTGTTGATGACACTAATTTAGTAAAATATACTGGAGAGACATTACAAACAATAGAAGGTGATTTAGTCATAGGTGGTGGTTCTCAATTTGGAAGTTTTGACCAAACGGTGAATGGAACTTCTTATTTTGCTGGAACTATTGAATTACCATTCGGTGGGTCAATTACATTAGGAACCGGCAAAGGTTTTATTCGTTCTCTTAATACAACAGGTGGTTATACTGCTTATGATTATGTTAATTATAGTAATGGTGGATTACATCGGTTTTATGTTGGTGGAACTGCGTTCCCTCAATTTTTAAGATTTCAATTATCAACTACACAGGCATATTTTAATGTTGATGTCGTGTGTCATACTGAATTACAAACTGATGTCATCAATACAAAAAATGCTACTGATGTTGATTTGGTCTTTAAAAGGGGGATGTTGAATATATGAAGTTTGAAGGAACGCTACAAGCAGTGGAACTAACAAAAGGTGCTAAATCAAACACTCATGATAGTATCGGTAATGCTGATGTCAGTTTTAGAAGGAACACAATAGATTTTATGTATTTTAGAAATGGTGATGTAGAAGTAAATACAGGTATATCATTATATTCTCAAACTGCTAAACTAGATACAATTGATACAACAGGTATTAACGATATGGTTTTCAATAGAAATGGAGTAGAATATTTAAGGTTGAATGGAGCAAGTAGCATTTTAGATGTTGGTTCAGGCATTGCTTTATCTTCAAACTATCTCTACTGTAATTTCATATCACAACGGTCAATGTCATATGATATGGTTTTTAAAGGTGCTAATGTTGCTGGAACTGGCACTGTTGAACATATGAGATACAGAAAAGCAGATGAAGATGTTAATTTTTCAAAAGACATATATGTCAATCAAGACATAAAGGCATATTTTCATAAAGAAACAGGTAAGAGTAGTTATATATATATATAATGGACATACAGCAGGTGTTAATCATTTCAAGTTAGTCAATGAAGACCCTAACGGGGACATAAGATTTTATGCTAATAACAGTATAAGACTTTTTATTACACCATCAAAAGTTTCTGTTCCAGCACCTTATACATTAGAAGGCGATTTAGTAGATACATCACAAAAAGATATGAAATATGATATTGAAGAAGCAGACTTCAATTTTACAAAAATAGTAAATAGCATTAAACCCCATACTTTCAAAATGAAAGAAGAAAAAGAAATGGGAATAACTAAAAGTCATATAGGTTTTATAGCAGAGGACGTAGAGGAAAATATACCAAAAAAAGTTGATAATATCCTCGTTGAAGTTGATGGTATTAAAAAAATTAGTTATATTAAAATGGGTAGTATCACTTGGGGGGCAGTAAGAGAATTAATTGATGAAAATGAAAAAATGAAAAAACAAATACATCATTTAGAAAGTTCAGTTTATGAATTACAAGAGATGATGAAAGACTTAATGAAACCTAAACCAAAGGCAAAATCCAAATCAAAGAATTAAAAATCTAAAATCATATATACGCAATGGGCAATTCAAACAGCAGTGTTGAAAACGACTACCTTGAACAAATCAAAAAGATAGACGAAGACGAAAAGACCCGAACAGATGTTTTACTCATCAAGAGCGTAAAAGAGTTGGTGGGAAGAGTGGAGAAACTGGAAAAGGAGAAACAAAACAAACTGATATATCAACTACCGAAACTACAACTATGTAATTGGAGTTTGATATGAACAATTGATAATATTATTGTTAAATAATATTATTAATTGGATAATGAGTAGTGCCCATAGGGGAGACTGTCAGTATCGTTGAACCAATACCTTTTGTTGTCATAAGATGTTAAGCCGACCTTGCTTTGGTTAATACTGTATATTTGGTGGTTCTTACTTCTGATGGCATTGAAATTTACATTCTTCGGGATGTGTTCGTGTAATGTTGCTTCGTAGTCTTTCATATCTAAATCCTTTTTGACTTTAAGTTTTGGCACACCTTTCGCTTTCTTTTCTACCTTCCTTTCGTTGAAGACCTTTAAGCAATACATCTTCGGTTTCAAAGCAATGAAGTTAGTTATGATTTTTCCGTCCATCTCGTCCTTGAATTTACCTAAAACCTTTTTATTAGTAGCATCATAGCACGGATGGTTTTTGTCATAACCGCTGAAGTCCATATAGTCCCTTATCTCTTTCGAATCTTCAAAGAGGTCTTCGGTGAAAGTCTGTAAAACATAACTGTCCGTGTCTGTATAGATTAATCTTATGTCATCCTTATACCTTGCCTTTAAGACATCATAATCAAGGAATACATTGAATACATATGAACCTTTGAAAGGTCTAAAATTGACATTCCTAAAAAGATGGGTTTATTCAACTTCAACACTGTTTTCGTTTTTTCCACTCCTGCCAGTTCTTCATTTATAATATGACATCCTTTGTAGTTAGGATTGTTGATACACTTTTGTATCCTTTCCTGTGTTGCCACCAATTCAAAGTCAATGTGATTTCTTACATTCTCCATCGTTTTTCCATACACAGCGTTGTTCATCAACTTAAACATATCTTTCTCAAAATCGCTTTTTGCTTCTTTTCTCTTTCCAGTGTTAAAGTCAATCCAAGGTTTTAACCAACATCTCTGTTGAAACTTCACTCCTCTATGGACTTTCTTTAACTTCATCCCTTTCTTCAAATAAAACTGTAATGCCTTGATATGGACGACGTAATTGACTTTATCCATTTGATTTAATACTAATTTCGGTTGTTTCTCATCCTTTGCTTCTTTACCGTTATAGTAATGTCGGTGTAGTTCCCTTTGATGTTTTGATAATATTTTTGTTTCTTCTACTTTCATATTTTCGGGTGCTAATGGATAATCTGACTGTTCGTCTTGTATTTCTTTTGGATATTCTAAATCAACATCTAATATACAAGCAAATTCATCGTTTTCGTTCCAGTCCATTATCATCTTTTCATTCAGTAGTTTCTTTATCCATTTCAGTTCTCCTATGGGTAGTTTCATTGACATTGCCAGTCCATAAAGGTTATTAGCATCTAAATAACTTATGTAATTAGATGGTCTGCTTTCGTCATATTCATCTTCCATATACTTGTTGTTTGCTTTTGCTTCTTTATGACTGACTTGACACATTCCACCACGAAGTCCCTTCTCAATCATTTCATACATAGTCTGGTCTATCAATGGTTCTAATATGACACCCGTTTTTAGAAGCATAGCATCCCAAGCAAAGTTAGGAAGGGTAAAGTAGTGTGCGGGGTCTAATCCATAGTATTCTAAACAAAGGTCTCTAAAATGTTCAAAGACATCAGTGAGCAGTAAAACATCAGTTCTCAAATACAAGTCGTGGTATTGTCCAAGATTTCTTATACCGAAATGTTCCCAAATTTTCAGCGCTCTTTCGTGTTCATCATCTTCAATATTACTTTCGGTAAGATTGCTGTAAAACGTTTCTTTCGGTGGTAGTTGCCTTTCTCTAAACTTATCAAAGGAATTGAAGTAATCGTATGGATAAACACCTTTATCAGTCAGTAAATCTAAATCTTCGTCATTACTCACGTAAGGGTTTATTTTACTATATTTGAAGTTGTTTTGTCAGTTTTGTTTCTTCTCTCCATCCTCATACTTGCTCAACTTGACTAACTTATCCAAAGATGAGGATAAGAAACTGAAACTGTCCTTAAAGCAAAGGTTTTTGAAAGCAAAGGGCAAAGGTTATGAACTTTTCACTGTTAAGTGCTATGACATCTATTTTCGCTCTTTCTGATAATTCATTTGCTCTTTCAATGATTAAATGACTATCATAGTTTTTAAGATTATGAAGGAAGACTGGTATTTTGTAATATCTCATTGAAAACTGCAAATTACAATCATCGTGAGCGCATCCTCTATATTTACCTGTAAAGTGGCAATGGTCTCTGCACTTCTTATCACCTTCTTTGAAGTCCATTCCACATATAAAGCACTTCGTCGCTGTTTCAAAGTCTCTCCAATCATCCGCTCTCATTATTATGTCCTTGTTTTCTTTCATCTTATCCATTATATATCTTATCCTTTACTTCAATCATCTTTTTAACAAAAACATCCATACAATCTTCGCCTCTGTATAAGAAAGGTTCAGATGCTCCATCAAAGGAACTAACAACGTTAATCATAAAACCACAGGGTTTATGATGTTGGTATTTGTCAGTCTTCATTTCTTTCGTTGAAACTGTCCCCGTTCTTGTTGTCAAACATTCAAAATCAGCATAAATAACAAAAGGTGCTTTTATTTTTTATAGTGATTTTTGAATTTGATGAAGAACTTGTCAGGGTCATCTCCATCAAACGATGGCATTTCTATTCGTTGTCCTTCAACTGCCATACATCCCTTTTCATTGTGTTTATCTAAAAGGGCTTGTGATTGAAAACCGTGTCGGCAATGAAAACAGTGAAAAAAATTTGCTTTGTGTTTGTTGGTTTGACTTCCTATGAGTTTGTCATAATCTTTGATATATACATAATGGTAGTCGTCTCCGTCTTCAAGTTTTAAAAGACTGATTTGATGGGTTGCTCTTTGAACCTTCGTTTTTCTATACAAAAGTATTGACTGTTTGTCATCTTCGGAATTAAGGAAATAAACATTGACTGCCACTTTTCTGTCATTGTTCCCTTCAAATGTATCTATATCAATGTTTGATGATGGAAAATTTACATTAGACCAATTCAATTCATCATTCAAATTTTTGTAGTGATAAAATCTGTTTGGATGGTCTTTCTCATAAACCTTACATATACCACATTGAATGGAATACTTGAAACACATGTTGTCTTCGTTTTGGATGTTGATACACGCTTTCTTGTTTTGAACCCACTTTGGTAAAGGTGTGAATTTACCCCCACGAGTAGGATTGTATTTGTCAAAATTAAACTTTATCTTATCCATTTGTGTTAGGACTAATCCGCTCTCCGACGCTTCCAACACTTCTGCCTGATGTTCAATGTCTGTTGCCATTTGGTTCAAGACGTTGGTGATTTCATCTTCATTTGTTATTTCATATCTTCTACTCCTAACTTCTCTTCTGACGATTTCGTTGGTTTTCTTGCTCTTGAAATTGCTGAATGTTTGTAATAAAACCTTCATTCCCTTATGCTTTCGTAAGTATTCTTTTATCTTGAAGTCTTGATATTTTAAGTATTGGATTGCCTTGACGCCTTTAACTCTAATGTCGCTGATGGCATAAGATGATGTATAGTTCTTGAAGGCAGATTGTTCGTCGGTGATGGTTGCTTTGTATCTCTTTTGTATGCCTGTGAGTGCTTTGTTCTTGTCAAGGTTTATCCATCTAATAATACCTCGTTTTTCCTTCAATTCGTATCTTTTGTAGTCCATAGTCTGCCTAATTTTGTTGAATTTGGTTTTCAATCTGTTCGTGATGGGTTTGTTTCTTTCAAAGTTGTAGGTCTTATCACCTATTTTGAGTTTCTTGATTTTTTCCCCATTCCGTTTCAATATCTCACCCTTTTCGGATGACAAAAGGTAATCTAAAACAATCTGCTGTGAAGCGTCCATTATAGTATAATCTACATTATTCTAATTTTCTGTTTCTTTAAGTAGGTTTGGTGATGAATTTTGGGATTGAGGATGTTGAGGTTGATGTGATTGTTGAATGTGTTGTGGTTCATCAATGTTTCCATTTTTCAACCTTGTATCCTCTGCCATTTATTTCCCTTACTATATAAGGTGGCAAGTCTTTAAGTAGGTTTTTGGGCACAGGTTGCAGGTCGGGGTTTTAGTGAGGAAAGGACAACTGCAACATTAGTAAAAGTTGCTTTGAAACTTCTTGCATCTGTTGGTTTGACGATGTTTTGAAAGGTTGGATTTGCTTGTGATTGTTCGTCCGCAGTCGAGGCAGGTGAAGGGAGTTGATAATTTCCGTTGATAGTATTTTGAAAAATAATCTGGGTCTAATGGTCTCTTGTCGTAAGTTCCGTCTGTTTTCCATCTTGTGGATGTTGCGGTTGGTGGGTCATTGTGGGGGTTGCTGGATTGGTGTAGTGCTTCCGCCATTTGGTCAAACAGGTCTTCGTCCATTTCTTGCTTCATACCGTTAATATACATATAGCAGGGCATATTCAATTCTTAGTTATTTTAGGCGTCATTTTTTTAAGTGTTTTTGGGGTTTTGCGTTGAAATTGAGGAGTTTGGCATCGTCATATTTTGGTGAAAATTGTGATGGGGTGCTCAACGAATGGTTTCTGCACGATTTGTCGAAGGAATTGTTCTCGACACAGTCGTCGTTGTCAGAAGTCCTCATCCTATGGCGTTGTCGTCGTCAACAACCCAAAAAAAGGCGGCGGTGGATTTTTTTATGATTGGGTAAATGTCTTATGAACATGAATCATCATCAATACGCGTAAGTCAGGGTGTGTGTGTGTGTGCGTGCGTCAAATATATACAAATGCTTGTGTATCTACACCTGTGGGATACGAAATTCCCACCTCTTAGAATTGTCACTCCTCCCATGAACATGGTTGAAGTATTTACCAAAAATCCTCACGGACTCTCTTTGAACCTTCTCAAAGACTTCCACTAGGATGACGTTTCAACCTCGGAGTGGGACGAAATGGAACAATGAACCCTCATCAGGAATAAGGGAACGGTCATCTGAGATGAGGAAAGCATTTTGATGAGTGAACCCTCATGTCGGGATGAGGTCGCCGTCGTATGAGTATGAGGCTGGGCTCATACCTCATGAGTTTCTGGTCATTCATAATGATTTGAAGGGGCTCTCATTGAGTTGAGGTATGAGGGCGGACTCACCCAATCTCCTTCTCCCCAATGAGCAGTAAAGCTATCAAAGACACCTACGGTCTGGCTCGTTCTTTTCCCCGTCGCTCGGACGCTTGTCCGTAGAGACGCTTTCTCCCTATGGGAGCACTTCTAATCGCATGCCTTTGCACAGCTCCTCCGCTATGCATCTGGTGACCTCAGGCAGGTCTGAACCTATCTTGACATCTCCGCTCCACGGAAAGTCGTGAACTTGCTGTGGGAGTTGAGTCCAAACACTTTGCAATGCATCTTTGACGCTCTGGGTGCTGTCGCATCTTTTTGCAGAACTGACGAGTAGTTTCGAAAAGCGTCCTGCCTGTGGATTATCACTTATGGTTGGCAAGATGTTTGCGATAATGCATTTCCCCTTTACCTTTCCCACCGTTTTCCGCTCATTGAATGCAAGTTGCACCACTCGTTCAAAGAAGCCACGTGCAGTCATGAGCCCCTTTGCTCGCAGAAGGTCTTCTTCTAACTTTATCGGCCTCTCTTGGAAGACATCCTTCTCCTTCTCCACCTTGAGGACATCCTTCTCCTTCTCCACCTTGAGGACATCTATCTCCTTCTCCTTCTCCACCTTCTCCTTCTCCACCTTGCGGACATCTATCTCCTTCTCCTTCTCCTTCTCCTCCTCCACCTTCTCGAGGAGTATGTGGATTGCTTTCATCCTCTTCTCAGCATCGTCAATCTCGTTTATGGTTTGAAGCAGCAACAATGTGCTGTCCGGAAGCGTAGGACGAGCCGTCTTCGTTGGACGCGTGTTGCCTGGCAAAGTGCCAAAGCACTCAAGTGAGTTCCACCACAGCACAACGAAAACGGCCACGGAGCGGCAGTCACGAGCCATGGAGAATTTGGGGAATCATGCCGCAAGGGCGAACTGCGCGGGCTTCAGCCAGATACGCTTCCGGAGGAAAAGTGAAATGCAAACAGATGCGCTCCTGCGCTTCACCTTGCTTTGCACGGACATGCTCTCTGAAACTGGGCCTCCCGACAAGGTACACGTGGAACAGCAGGAAGCACCGGAAGCGCAAGGCGGACGACGGCACTGAAACCCTTGTCGTCAATAATGTCAAACCCAGATCCTAACAACCACAACTATTGACCTCATCAACTGACCTAACATAAAACGAACAGCGGCAACAAAACATTTACCCTCCCAGCAAAATTATCAAAAAGAAACAGTCAAAGAGTCAAACATTTAGATTTACAACATTGAACAAAAACATAACAGCCTCCCACCTGAACCTTGAACCCTCACTCCCCAGTTTCCCTGTTTTACCATTTGTTTCCCATCCAAACAGAGTTGGGCCTTACTGGCCACACGCTTTTTTGAGGTCAACAATTGAGGTCCAATGCAATCGGCAAGAATATCCAATAGCTCAAAACATTATCTTAACTTGGCTGGTTTTGTCGCCAAGGTTCAAGGATACCATGCTTTTTGGACGAAGCTGCAAATTGATATCATCCACCTCAAGAAAGGTGGCACTAAGGCTCACTAAGGCACTAAGGTGCCATGTTTCGAACTGAGACAGAACATGACACAAGCATCCTGCGTTTCGCAGGAAGTCGACCTGGACGATTCTCCGAAGAATGGTGTCATGTAGCATCCTGGATTGGTCCCATCCAAGCTGGGAATGCGACTAAAACTTCTGCAATTGCTGTCTTCTTTGGCAATCGCATCGGTACCTTTGAGCGCTTCAGAGGTGTCCACAACTGTCTGAAGCATGCTGAAATTGAACTGGCACTCCAAAGTTTCCAACTTGTTCTGAGACTCTTGGGCGAATCAAGTGAATCTTAAGAAGGCTTGTCTTCCTCTAGATTAGGGTTGTAGTAAGCCACGCAGCCGCCACACAAAGGCAGCCTAGCCAAACAGATTTTATGTGAGCTGTCGCTGCTCTTCCAGCTATCATTCTCTAAACACATTGAGGTAGCATTGCAGAGGAACGCAGTCGTAGTGTTTGACTCCGACGATAAACGGTTGTTTATTTATTCTAAACGCCTTGCGCTCTTGGCAAGTGGAACTCAAAAACGAAGAAAAGTTGAAATAGTGAGATGAATGCCTGCAAGAAAGAGCCGGGATGCGAGGAGCGTCCGTAGCACCTTTGGCAAATGTACATCCACTGAGAGCTTTAAAGGTGTCAGCAATTCTTCACCTGACGAGACAGAAGAGGGTTTAATGATTTTAATGAGCAGGTCAGGATTCACTGAGTTTCTGAAAACCAATCGCCAAAGAACTGTTCGCGGAACAGTCTCGGTTCCAACGATTGTCATCTACCTATAATTATAACATATTTATATTACAATTATGCCCTGCATATTACATGGTTGCAACGTGCCATTGTTTTGAACTACAGATAATGGCAGAAAGCACAAGCTATCAAGTCAAGTCCTGAATTGGGGGAGTGATGTGGGTTTGAAGCTACCACCCACAAGGAAATCAAATTTGTTAAGTGCGACAGTTGTGCTGAACCTCTTGTTGCAATGCTATGGAACCACCCTATCCATCTGTCTTAGCCGCTCAACTTGCAAGCTTGAATGGAGTGGAAGCCCAATAGAGGCAGCATATGGTAGCATGCCGACTAGATTCCATTAGCCTCAGCAATCGCAAAAATACACATTTTTGCTGTTATGTTCTTTTGTAATCTATATGACTATATGTATCAATTGTCTCCGACAGGTCATACCAACAGTATCACATCTCTGAGATGCTTCAGAATATTGCAAATAGTCTTAGATCTATGCAAATTTTTGATATATATATATGTATGATATATATATATTATGATATATTATGTATATATTTAATATATACATTAACATATTTAATATAGTCCACATGTTCACGTCTAATCAGCTCCACTTCCAGCCTCCAGAGCTGATGCGAAGTTTTGCATCTGCTACAAGGTGTGTGCCCCTGACAGGTCACATTTTTTCGGCACATCAGGGGCTTCTCCGATGATCCTTCTGTGCCCTCTGTGTCACGGCCCTGAGTCGCACCTAAATTCAATTTTCCAGCTTCTGGAGGTCCGAAGGTGAAAACATAAACCTGCAGGTCTAGAATAAAACAAAGTAAAGGAGGAAAGGACACATCAGCAAGAACAAGCAGCGGCAAAGAAACAACAGAAATGCAACAATCTGAACCGATATGTCATTGCTTGTGCTGGGTCCCAAATGTTTGACATCAAAGAAATCTTGGGCTTCACCGCATACTTGCAGGCCTACGCACAACTCCTGCCGCTCGAGAGGATCCTGGAAAATGATCTGGAACTCCTGCAGGGCTGCTCTGGTTCTGTTCGATAAAAGTACTTTAAAAGAAGACCATCCAACGTTGTCATCTTGGCTTGATTTGTAGTTGATTGAACTGCCCGAATAAAATGAAACATGCACCTCAAACCATGACTCTTATGTTGAAGGGGTTCAGAGCTATCTCAATAATGCAATATAATGCATGAGGCATGCAATGGCATGGATATCTACAGTGAATCTACAGTAATTCTTAAAATATCTTAAAATCCTTTAAAGGCCTTCACAACCATCCTATGTCACTGCTGTCCTCCACTGAGACTTTTGTGCCAGCAATAAACATCTCCTCACAACAATATGGTCGGACTGGGTCCTCCTTGGACAAATCCCACCAAATGTTGATTCAAAATAATTGATTGTATATAGTTAGTAGTACTGTAGACTGTTAGTGAAGTGTTGTTTCATTTTTTCCACAAAATTTCGATTGTATGAGAGAAATAGAAAGGCCCGAATTTTCTGCTCCACAGGAAAGAGGCTCTCCAATGTTCTCCATGACAAAAGGACGCACAGGACGGGTTTTCATGCACTGTAAGTTTGACAAGTTGAATCAAGTCACAGCGTGGGCAAAAGGTGCAACAAATCTAGAAATATGATGACATCTGTAGAAATAAAAATGCGCCAAGATGTGCCGAGCCACCAGAATTCGAGCCAAAAAGCCTCCAGGTGGGCGTGGCTTCTTAGCTTTCTCAACAAGGCCTGGGCAAGCAGCAAAGTGCACGAACCCAACAGTGAGAATCAGCAAAAAAGCCGACACCTGCAATGCTCCCAAAGAGCCAAACAGCCACCAGCAATGCCCTGCAGACCACGCCTATGAATTTCTTCGCTTCTGCAGAACTTTGATTCAAGACCTCAATCATTGGCAGCGAAGCACCGTAGTCTAAGTGGAAACAACAAAGTCATTTCGTTCAAAACAGGCCCACTCAAAACAGCCCAGAAGACCCTCTTGACCAGCCTCGCTGCGGGCTGTCTCTTCTCCACCCTGCCACTGCACCTGGAGAACTTGATCGGTGCCAGGGGTATACAAAGGAGAGATCAAAAAGTATCAAAACTGATTGATAGAATCCATCCACCTCTGAAATTCCGTCACGATCCGAGTTGCCCTCCCCTGTTGCCTCCTCAGGCAACCGCTCCAGGACCAAGGTCACATTCTGTACATAGAGCCGCACGCCCACGACAAAGCCTGAAACACCAAGCCGGCCTCTGTTTGGGTGTTTCGCCTAACATCTGTTGGCAGAATTATATTCAACGTGACCACATAAGCGCACCATTAGTCGCCAAGTACATCGAAGCTGGAACACATCACCTTTGCAATCTGCCATGATGCCATGAATTCACCGTCTGACCAGCCTAAGGACAGCGAGATGTAGCCGATGTCCATGGCAGCCGCTTTGAAGGGCAATGAGCCCCCCAAAGCATCACTCAGAGCTTGCAAGGCATTGTCCCTTAGTGCTGTCCTTGGACATGCGAGGCCTCACTATCCACATGTTTGGGCTCCAAACTGTCTTCATTGATCTCAAGTGGGATATAAGGAATATGTGAGTGTGACCAATCCACAGTAATTATCTAATACAACTATCTGATAGGTCTATAGGCATATCCTGATTTCTGCTGATGGTATATAAGCGCAACAAAGCCAGGATAGTATAGTATTGCAATTGAGGATCTTGCGCAGGGTCAACGTGTTTTGGAGAAGTTGCAAAAACGTAGTCATTTAGGGTTTGAGGTTTAGGGTTTTCGGATTGAATCGTTATGTAGAGTTTCGGGATTGAAGGTTTCGGGCTTTAGAATCTAGGAATTTGGGGGTTTAGGGGGGTGCGGTTTATTGTTTCGGAAGAAATAGCAATTGCATAGTTGTTGAGACCACGGGCAAACTCCATCTGCCGAGAGGGGATATATATGTACCAATATATATATATATATATATGCGTGTTATGTATTTATTATAGTATAACAACAGGGACTTTCTCGGTAACGGTCACCCGTCCTCTGCAGGGTAACGAGCCGTGAGAAGCCAAAGGACGGTCCTGTTGAGCAGTTTCAATGCTGGCGATAATATTGCAAGGAGATGTGTTCCTATCCGTTCAATAACATGTGATTTTGTTTCAAAGTGTGAATATCCTGTCAAGACCTCATTCCTCCACAGCAATCAAAGATTCTCCTCCATACCTGATGAGCCATGAGAAACTTGAACGCACTTAAAACTAGAGTTGTATCTGGCAGCTAGTGTGATCCCCACCTTGTCAAGATTGAGATTACTTCGCACTCACCCAGCTGCACATGTTATAGATGCAGAGGAATATGCATATACCGTACCTAATTGGTTAATCTGTGGTGCATCAAAATCATGAAAACAGTTTCCTCAGATAATATGTACATATATATATATACCTTGCCAATGGAGGAACTGTGTTTTAAGGTATGATGTAATATAGCATAACATACTATAATATAATATAATAATATGATATAATATAATATGATATAATATAAATTAGATATAAATTAAAGATAATATAATATACGTTAAATTAATATAGTGTAATGTAATATAATGCAATGTAAATTAAATATATAATATAACATAATATAATATAACAAAATATAATATAACAAAATATAATATAACAAAATATAATATAACAAAATATAATATAACAAAATATAATATAACATAATATGATGATACAATATAATTAATATACAGTAATATATGTCATGAATGAAGACACAAATCCTCAGCACGGGTAACCTTTGGTGGGTCGGTCTAGCCTCGTGACAGCCATTTTCGACAGAAAGGCCACGCCAATTTGCCCAGGCTTTTCCTATGGAAGGCCGTGCTGGATTCCCAGGATGATCAGTGAAAAATTGGAGAGAATGTTTTGATGTGATTTTTGAATATGTTTGATGGTATTTGTGATCTTTGTACTGCTTCATTTGATGAACATGGATGGACTGGAAACGTTTATGTCTAACGGATTTGATGGTTGATACAGTCATACAATCTAATGCCAGTTTGGCAGATCCCACATTTGCAACAGTGGAATCATTCCACCACAGAAACAAACAAACTTAATGTGATCAACACAATTGACACATATCATTTAGCTTGGAGGGAGAAGAACATGTCCTGCTTGAAACTGGAACGGCCCTATGCAAGCCACAGATCAACAAGTATGACAAGGGCGTGTCATCTTGCAAATTTTGAACTTGTGCTGATACAACTTATGGCGATACCTTGTTCGGATTTCAGGTTTTGAATGGTTTTGACTCTGCACTGGCTAGTTCCACGCTATCCACCCTTAATCTGCCAGTCCAGAAAGCGATGAAGAGAGCAGCCACTCCCAAAAGGAACTGCATGGCGATTTAACCTGCAGCTGTGTCCTCAGTAGCCACCCTGGATTCGCCTAGACCTCCAATGGAGCTTTCCGTGAAACATCAAGCCCATGAGGTCTGAAGAGTGAGTGGTTCTTAAGTAGGAATATGCCGTGAGGCTAGCAAATGCATGCAAATGCTCCGTCTCGTTTCTTCTTGTAGAGATGTGAAACTGGCACAGTTCATCCATTTGGCTTGCTGCGCTTCCAACACTGTGACATATGAGAATTCTTGAAAGCTTAAGCCTGCAGCGGTTGAGGTGAATGAGGTGAGATCTATTTTCTATAAACCCATCGTCCATGCACAGAAGAAGTGGAACCAACTGCTACCTGAAAGTCAAACTTGCAGAAACTCCGCGTTTCGATTTGGATATTGGACATGGACCGCATGCACACAAGAGCCAAACCCGCCAAACAGGATGGGCCTCTGTTTGTGTATGGAAATGTAAGTGCACTTTCCGCTTCTCTGTTGCAACCAGAGAGATTGTTTTCCGGTCTCTGATGGGAAAATCCCCGACTCAGTCTATTGGAGCACACTCAGGGATCACCATGAATGACTCAGGAAACTGCATCCCTCCCCCACAAGCCAGAATTCTGTGATTCCTAAATCGCTAGATATCGCGTTCGATATTCTTCCAATCGTTTAGGCATCGCCTTAAGCCTTAAACAATATGTAAAGAATGTTCTGTCATTCAAGTCTTTGGCAAATACAGCAACTTCAGCTAGGCATTTGATGAGCCCCGGTGTGATTCACGTGTCCTGTACCTCTGAGATGTTGAAACATCCACAGAGAATGTGCACAACGCAGCGGCAGATTCTTCAGCGGTTCTCAGAAGCAGCTGCTGCCACTGGGACCTGCGAAAGGGCCATGATGAACTGATGAACTCCAAATGTCTGATTGTCAAATTTGTCAATGATTGTCATGAGAGTTTGATGTGACGACCAGGTTTCCCAAGAAAAATGTGGCCTTACGTGGGATGGGTGGTGGGACCTTGGATGATTTGGATGCGACCCTGCGCATGTACTGCCAGCGGACCCTGGGGGCAAGCTAAATGCCCACAAGTCTCGTGAACAGAGCTTACCAAATTTCGACTGCCAGCAAGATGCGGCATTAGAAATTGATAGAAATTGGTCCTCTGTCTACATGGATGTTGCCCTGCACTTCCAGCAACGATGCAAATAGAGTGGAACGGATCCCAGAATGCAGTGAACAAACCAGTTCCGGCAGTTTCAGCCAAAAGCAAAACTCGTATATGATCGTCAATGCTACCATTAATTATATTAATTAAGACTAAGAGCTCCTCAATATCCAATCACTCTTTTGCGCGACAGTAAGCGCTCAGCTATCAGCTGTCTCATCTGTCTCTGGCCCTAGGGATGTTCTTTGCATCTCCTTTTGAAAGCAAATCGATTGTCAGCTCCACTTGTTCTGCGCTTTCACAAAGCACTGAATGCTGAAACCGTGGTCTGGGTGGGATCTGGGTCCGTTGGACTGAAGCCCCCTGTAAATTTGTTTCTGTTCGGTGAAAATATCAACTCTAGGGGAGTCCCAAAATGGCAGGTGTGCGGCAGCAGTGCGGAAGTGTGCTTTTGTTTCAGAAAGTTTCAGAAAGCCAATAGAAGCCAGGCTCGAAGCCCTCTCTACTCATCACCCGCCAGCCCATGGAGTCATCATCTCAGTCTGAGCACCTGCTGGGCCATCGACGCCAGGGTGCAAGACAAATGCAACAAGCAAAGAAAGAGAAGAAATAAAGAGAGAGAGAGAGATGAAAAAAAAATAGGGAGGGAGAGAGAGAGAGAGAGGGAGAGAGAGAGAGAGAGACATGGCATGAGATGCTCAATGAGAGGTGCCGCAGTCAGTGACTTTGATTCATCGTGGTGTGTTTCTAGAAAACAGCTGCAAGAGCACAATGGTCATACTGGTCAGAACAAGTAAAGAAGACCGTTGAATTATGTCATATTCATAATTCAAATTCCAAGCTGAACATGGCCGACTTTGAAATTGTCGAGCTCCGGCCTCAGCGACAGGTGTTGTGAACGCGATCTGTCATCTCTGCAAGGAATTCCTGACAGCAGGACATCGTCAGCAGCATAGTCAGTAACAGAGTGTTTACCAGATTTTACCAGCACTATCAATCAACACCCTTCATGTCAAGCCTCATCGCTCAACCATCCATCTAGCAATCGATGATCTATTCATCAATACAACTCACTCAAATCCACACCACGCAATCTTGCCATGGTCTCACCTTTGCTGACTCTTGGCAAACTTGTTTCTGAAAGTTGTGCATTGAGATGCCTGGAGACCTTCAGCTTGGCAGAAACTAATAAAAATAGTTGAGGTTGTGATGAGGAGCTTGAATGTAGGACTCCCGAACATACTTTTTGAGACATCCCGTGGTGGTAACAGACATGAACAGACTTTGTCATGGATGTCATGGGGATAACTTTGTCATGGCGAGTCTTAGCCATCTGGAGCACCCAACTGCACCTCCCAGGTGATCCGGCCCGAGCCGCTGGTATTGATTTCCTCAGCGACTCTGACATGTCTTGCAACTGGGCAGAAAGGCTGAAAGGCGATCATACTGGAATCATACGCATTCCCTGCTTCAAAGTCGTGGAAACCAATGGAAACCAAGGCTTCATCTATGCTGCAATTGTGGTAATTCCTGCCGACTTCAACCATGGCTCTGCCGAAGCAAAGCAAGCAGCTGAAGCTTCAAGGCGTAGTTGAAAGACTCTGAGACGTCGATTTCAGGACATGTAAATGTCTGGGTCGTTCTGGGACTATTGATCTGTTCATGTCTATAGATTGCAGCTTACTTGCGAACTGAACACCAGAGGGTTGATGCGAGTTGATGCTTCTTGCGTGGGGCTTCTGATCGGCACAGTACAACAGTAGGCCGCTCATCCGTTTGTCATCGTTTGTCACAGAGTCACCTCCACCTCCACAATATCATTCCAACATATTCCAAGATATTTCAACCGTCCAAGGGCTTCATGGCGAGGCATGGCGAGGCTCTCTGAAGGTCTCATCCAAGTCTCCCTGGCTCGGATGAACAAGGTCAAGGGATGTAAAAGATCGTGCAGGATGTTCTAGCCAGTTCGTGCACTTGGTCATAAGACTCAGGAACATCGAAACGCATTGACACCAATGATATATAATGATATATATATATACCTCAAAGTAAGAGAATCCAACAGCACCCGATTACATCCAATTACCAACTGAAGCAATGTGGAAATGTGGAAACAGTGGAAACAAAAGCACATGAGAAAGGGCATCTGCTACCGCTGGTACGAAGCTCAACGCCATGGCATGGCTGATTGCCAATCTCAGTTTGACAACAAGATGTGCCTCCTCATCTTCAGGTGGTTGGTTGATGGCCTTCAACAGATCCAAAAGTTGCCACTTGTCGATGCGGCCCTGCGAGCTGCTCATGCCCGGAATGAGAATGTTGATTGTTTTGAAACGATGGGAGATGCTATGGAAGGGTTTCTTTCTGATCTTTCTGGTTAGGTATATTTACTAGATTTATGGTTTGCGTTGTAGGCTAAAGCCAAATATGTTATTTTGCTATGTGTTTGCATCGCGGTTTTGCTATGTAAATCCAGTTGCGTCGCATGTTTGTGATGTAAATCCAGATGTGGATTCTGGATTTGGATTCTGTTAAGTCACAGTGACAAGCAAACATTCTCACATCAGAGGCCCAAATCAAACCCAACCAGACCACACCCAGGACAAACACAGACAGCAGTCTTTTTTTCTCAGCATAGAAAGCTGGGAGGCGGTATGTTGAATGGTGACTGAACTGAATGATTGGAAAAATGAAAGCTACAGTTACAGCTACAGCTACACTACACGGCTTCCAGCTGCTAGGCTAAGTATGGTAGGTAGGTCCAGATTCCAGATAAGTAAAAAATAAACAAAATGCAAACTGAAACTGAAAACAATCCAATCAATTAATTGAATTTGTCTACCAGTTTTGCTGTGGTTTCTATCTCCTCCTCCTGTCCTACTACTACTTCTACTAACGTACCATACCATAGGTTAAAATCTAGCTGCTAGCTGCTGGCTGCAAAATGGAGCCACGTATGCCATAGGCACGTACTGAGTACTGTGCTGGTGATGCTTGCTGCTGCAAATTAATTAGCTGCCACTTACACTAGCCACCACTAGCTGTCACTAGCTGCTGCTACCAGGCAGAAAGTCAGCTGCAAGGCTTGGCTTAGCTAGCCATCCAATGCAGCTATATGCTATCCGATCTTTACGGCGGTCCATCCACTTCAGGACAGAAACTTCTCAGACAGCGTCCTCAGTGAAACAGGGATGTCTTCATCCTTCAAGCCATCCAAACCCCTCCTCATGGAGGCATTCTGATCTCGCACGAGCTTCTTCGCACTCTCGACGCTGTTCTGGTCACCCTTTGATAGCTTGAGGGCCAAGACAAGAACCAGCGCCTGGTAGAGGGCCCTGGCATTGCGTAGAATTTCGGATGTCTCAACCACTGCTCCCTTGAAGGTCATCACATCTTCTTTCACACCACCCATGAGAGACAAGTCAAGGATGGAGGCTGACCCAACCAAATCTGCCATGGTTGAGGCTGCAGACACAGCCTCAGTGAAACGTAGTGCAGTGCAGTGAAGTGAACAATATTCTATAGCTTGCAATGCCTGCAATGCCATACATCATATGTATACAAAATTGCTGCTACTGCTACTTGGAAATTGCTGTTAGCTGTTGGCTGTTGGCTGCTGGTGCCAAAAGGAATTAAAGAAAATACAGAAACAAATTAAGTAAATGACAAACTGGCCAAAACTTTTGGTCTTGAAGTTCAATTGAGTAGCTTCACTGAGCTTGTCAATCAAGCCCAGCAGATTCTGTCCCTTGACTGGCACCTTCATGATTGTCTCCTTTGCCGTCGTCAGCACTTCGTCGACAGTGGCGTCTTGGGAACCAAAGGAGCCAGCAACTCTCCAATCTGGCTTCGCATGAGAGCCCAAGCCTTTTTGCAAGTTCAGTGAAGCATCCTCCATGCGGGACTTGTTCACGACCAAATGCCGCAAGAGAAAGTCCTGCATTGACTCTTGTTGGGCCATGTCCAGAAAGGCGCTGCTGGAATCCAACTGCAAGAAATCAGAGATGATCAGATTGGTCTTCTCCTCCAGGGAAAGGGACTGCGCCGGTGATGGCTGCAACCACACTGCATCTTGCATCTGCTCGTCCTCCTGCTGCTCTGCATCCATTCCTTTGTAGACAGTAAGCTGCATTGAAGACGCGAAGTCATCAAAGACATCATCCTCTGCTGCTGCTGCTGCTTCTTCTGCTTGAAGTTGAGGATCAGGACCATGACCATGACCAGGACCACAATCAGCAGTGGCAGTGGCAGCCTCAGCCACTCCCTCGCCCTCGCCCCTAGGATTTGCATCAGGTTCTGCTAGCTCCTGTGAGGGTTCTGCAGCAAGTTTTGGTTCTGCTGTGGGTGCTGCTCCTGCTGCTGTTGCTGCTGATGCTTCAACTTCAAGTTGGGATTGCTGCTGGGACTGTGGCCCATCATTGCCAACATCAAGTCCTTCTGTTTTGGCGGACCCAATCAATGGGGCTGCGAAAGTTTCAAGATCTGCTTTGCTGTTCAAGACTTCGTCTGAGTTCCGCAAGATGGTCCGAAGAATGATGGCTTTCTCATCTTTGGCAACACGGGCTTCTGCATCCCTTCCAAGAGCCATCATTTGAAAGATCGAGTTTCCCATGGCTACTCCAGGTTTGATGATGTCACAATGGAAGCGACAAGCTTTCCTGAGAGGGTCTTCTGGGAGAAACCCAAATTCCGCCACCTTCTGCAACAAATTGAGCCGACGTTGGATAAGCTGCTGGCTGATCTGCGATGTGCTTTGCCTGACCTGGACAGGGGCTTATGTGTATGTGACCTATGACATGACACGTTGGCTAGTGACTAGTGATGAATAGTGACCAGTGACTCAAAAGAATGTTTGGTTACGGTTAGGTTATATAGGTGTTTTCTCTTTGCTGCTTGCTGTTGCCTTTACATTGTTACATTGCTTGTTTGTTATTTTTTCCTTGTTGTTTGTTTGTTGCTTAGGCCTACTTGTGACTAGTGATTTGTTTTATTGCTGTGGCTGTTGCTGTTGTTACAACCGGATTTGGTTTGATTAAAAATTAAAAATGGTGAAATGGCGTTCGTTCTGTCTGTTGATTGTTCGTTATTTACATGTTGTTAAATAATTAATTTACTGTTAGTGTGTGAGTTGTTAACTGTTAGCAGTTGTTAGTAACGTACATCATCAGTGAGTTTGCTTGCTTGTTTCAAATTCATTCATTAAGTGAGTCTAGGTGCTTTGTTTGTTTGCTTGCTTCAAATTCATTGAGTAAGTTGGGCTGGGCAGTCAGTCAGTCAGTCAGTCAGTCAGTCAGCAGCCATTTTTTATTTGTTACTGATACTGTTACTATTAACTGTTACCTGTTACCTGTTTCTGGTGGTAGCTAAGGCCAAGTCTAAGCTATTAAACTTGAACCCGAAGCCTCCTGAGTGGGGTTGGCGACCGGGTTGGTGGATTGTAGGAAAAAATAGTTATAATATAATACCAATATACACATTATATACTTACTATGCAGCTAGGGCTAGACTAGGACCTAGGACCCAGGACCCAGGAACTAGGTTCACTGATTCACCTAGTAAGTGGAGACCTTGCTTCTAAATTCTGACCTTGCCTTACACTTAGTGACCCCAGTGACTCACTTACTGACTTACTTACTGAATACGACTATGACTAAAGTGACTGACTATAGTGACTAAAGTGACTAAATTGACTGACTAAACTAAAAGCAGTCAGTAAGTAGCAAACCAGCTAGTAGAGGAAACGGTAATGTCATGTGCAGTCAAGTATATAAAGTAAGGTAAAGTAAAGTGAAGTTAGTCAAGATAAGTCAAGTCAAGTGAAGTGAAGTGAGAAACAACAGACAGAACAGTCCAATGGTGAGGTTGAATTTTCCGTTTCAGGTCCCCCTGCAAGAAAGGTTTAAATGAAGTTGAGTTCAGTTTGAAATTTGAAAGTTTGAAGTCAAGAACAATTTCTACCACCCCAGCCTCTGTGAGACATGCCTTGTGCGCTGTCAAAAGCAAGCCGGCCATATGGAAAGAAAAATCTTCTTTGCCTTTAGGTGCTTGTAGTTTTTGGCACTTGGTCATGACACTGGTAAGCTGATCAAAATCAACAGTCTCATTGGTCATGGCGTGGATGGCCAGCTCAACAAGGTCAGACACTGCCATCTCTGCAGACATGTCCAACAGCCACTTCTCCAGCTCGGCAGCAAGTTGATGCTCCGAAGCACGGTGCTTGAAAAGATGCAGTCCTTTCAAGACTGCTCGCACTTCCTTTGAGCTAACATTGCAGGCATCATCCTTGCCCATGGAAATGAATCCATCTGCCATTGCCCTCAAAACTGTCAGCAGTAATGACTCAACTGGCAGAAGCTCATACCTCCTCATGCCCTGGCTGCACTCACTGAACTCCTCGACGAGCTGGATCAAGCGGTCGGCTGAAGGACCAACTCCACCAACTCCCCCAGCTCTGAATTTCTGCAATGAGTCAGCCACTCTTTCCAAAGTTGGACGCAATTTCACACTCGTGGCAGCTGCGCGCAAAATTTCATCACTTGCGGCAAGCCACTGCTGTGACTGCATTGCGGAGTCCTGCCCAGGACAATGCGCAAGTCACAAGTCAAAGTCACAAGCCCCTGAAATTGTCAGTCATTTCTGGCCCAGTCATATAAATAGTCTAGAATCCAGAATCTAAGTCTAAATCTAAAGTGAAAACCTAAGTAGTCTAGGTCTGGGTCTCTTAATCATAATCTTTAATCTTAAATCTTAAGTGTCTGTGTCTAAGTCCAGGTCCAAGTCCAAATCAAGTCAGTCATAGATGGCTGTGACAATGAATCACTACGACTATGACTATGACCCTGAAAAAGCCGAGCCTTCAACGTGGTTTCCACCAGAGTCTGACCAGAGCGTTTCTTCTCAGCATCACTTGTGAACCGCAGCACATCATGAATGGTTGGGTCACTGCCAAAACCTTTGAGTCCCAACCCCCAAGTGAAGTCCAATGCTTTGAAGAGCTGGGTGATGAAATCCATTGACTCGATGAGTCCAGACAGAGAACTGAATGGCTCCCCCTGGTGCATCAGTGATTCGACGTAGGTGCGAGAGGAGTTAAGGCCCTTCACGAAGGGTTCGCCCAGAGCCAGAAAATTCTCAATGCCCTCTTCCGGTTCCCTCCACAATTTGAGAAAGCCATCCGCTTTGAAGCATTCAATGCATCCCATGCTGATTGCCTGGGGTCAAAAAACACTAAACTCACTAAACCACTAAACAATCTAGTCAAGTCAGTATTAGTAACTAATGGACTCGACATTGAATTTCATTTCAATTCGATGTAAGACACATGTATGACTATGTATGACTACGAAAACCTGCATCATAAACACTGATGCTTCTCGGTTAGTCGGTAAGTATTAAAACATTGCCTGGCCTGAACAGTCTGACTGAAAGTCTTTGTCACTTCCTCCAAGTCTTTGTCTGCCTTAACTGCATCAGTCTCTTCCATCACAGACTCAGCCCTTCCGACCGCATCATTGAGAACTGCAAGGGCCTCTTGGAGCAAGTCACTGTTGCGAGGGGCTAACCCTACCCATGACGTAGGTGGAGAGGCTTGAACCAACACCATGGAAACCATCTCATCAATCAACTCTTCTGCTTTGGCAGCATCGTCTTCAGACTCAAATCTGATCGCAGTCACAGAGGTCATAAGATGGTAAGCCTTGGCTGCTGTGAACTTGGCCTTCAAACCACCAGGAAGCACATCCCAATACTGCTTGACCTTTTTCACCATGATGTCCAATTCCTCGGTGCTGATGGTCTTCAACTCAACTGTCTGCCATTGGTACAAAGCCGCACACTGCTCATAGCGGGTGTTCAAATTTTGGAGCTCTCCAGAATCAGGCCTGGACCCAGCAATGTAATCACGAACTTTCGCTGCCTCCAGGGAAAAGCAGTGGGTTCATTGAAAAAGTCACAGGACTAGTCATTAGTCAATATTCTGAGTTTGAATAGTTCAGTCAGTTCAGTGAAGGTGAAGTGAAGTGAAGTTTAAGTCTTAAGTTTAAGTTTCAACCAATCCTTGTGACACTTGAATCCAAGACAGAACTGTTAATACATAAAAGTTTTCATCTTTTAATATTCTCCCTGTTTGAATTTTGAGAACAACCCCCCCCACCCCTGTAAGAGTGTTGTTCAGCTGGTGGCCAGACGAATCTGAAGACATAAAGATCTCGACGCGGAGGGATGCCAAAGACCTGCTTTGAGCAACGCGGCCACGTTGGGACTTCGCCAGCTCCGAATATAAAAGAGCAACGCCTCTCATCACTTCGTCCATGTCCCCCTCGTTCCCCTTACTCTTGCCTCCACTGGTCACACTACCAGTTTCACAAGGAACAGGTGTTGCTGGTGTTGAAGGGGCTGCTGTTGATGACATTGCTGCAGTTGGTGTTGAAGGCGCTTTTGTGCTCTCCTTGTCCTTGTCCTTCTCTGCCTTCTTCTTCTGCCTTTTCATGGGTCTGTCTCCATCTCTGTGAAGATCTGACATGCCTTGAATGATGCGCTGTGCCTGTTCCTTAGTAGTAAAGTACTAAGTAGCTGTGGCTGTGATCAAAAAGCCAAAGCCAAAGGGCCTAAGGCCTAGGCCTAAGCAAGAAAGTTAAGTTAAGTTAATTTTCTCTACAGTTAGATTCGATTAGATTAGATGCGGCTTAGATTTAGATTTAGATTAGATCATCAATGTGTCCTTGCTGGCACCTGATCCAACATCAAAAACATAGCTACGTAATACAATATACTCACCTTTTCAAACAGTGATTTGCGACTGGATTGATTCGATTTCAAATAGAAATGCCACCCAGCAACCTTCTGGGCAGCCTGTTCAGGGGTTTCGTCTTCGTTCTCCAGTGCGTCCATCATGACTTCTGGGGCTGCTTGTGTTGCTGCTGTCAAAGATGCTTCGATTCTGTCTGCGCTCTCCTTCAAAGAGGTCAAAGTAGGGAGTGCCTGCTGCTGTCTCTTCAGACCAGGGCCCACGCCTTCATACCTGCCACTGTTCTCTGCCCAGTACCTGCCATGAACATAGGCAAACACATAGGGAGCTTGCCTTTCAAATCTCGCGAGCTGGGTATCGGGAGTCAAGAAGTTCTCCTGCATGTCCGTGTTGGTTTCATAGAAGAATTTCACCTCGGATCTCAGTCTTTAAGGCTTTAAGACTTCAAGAGCAAATTCAAACAGAATTCAGACAAATATTGATATACAATGCACACTATAAAATGGATATACCACACATGTTCTTTTTGAAGGTAAAGTTAGTGGTTTTAGACCATGCATCAGAAGTCAGTTATCATTTATTAAAAAGCTTCGCAGCTTCGCTGCGTTATTTTCATTTACATTTACATTGGACTCCCCATTGGACAATATTAAAGAATTGGCAACTGGTATTGATACCGTTATTAGTTAATGTCAATGCTGTTCTATGACATGATTTGTTGTTTTTTGGCCTTACTTTACAGTTGAATCAGTTGAAACTACAAATTTAATTCTCGATAATAGACGCACATAGCTTTAGCTCAATCTAAAACCACAATAGTCTAGTCAGTCTAGTCAAACCTATGTCTGAGTCTTGCCAAGTCTAGTTACATACATACATACAGGCAGACAGACAGACAGACCTACCTACCTACCTACCTTACATACATACATACATACATACATACATACAATGCAATTCATGCAACATTATTGGTAGGCCTGGTAGGCCTGGTAGGCTCTGAAATTTGGAGTCATCTACATAAACAATCTCAGCACAGTACAGGTTGAATACAGTGTCGGTACAGTTGAGCTGAACTGACTTGAGTAGAGTTGAGTCTGAGTAGAAGAGTAGAGAATTAGTAGTAGAGTGAGTAGTGACGAGTAGTGAAGTGAGTAGTGAGTAGTGAGTAGGGAGTAGTAGTGAGTAGAATCGAATCGAAGATCTCAGATCAGTGATCAGCAATCTGTGATCAGTGTTTGATGATTATTGATAATGATTGATCAATCTAATCAACCCAATTGCCACCCAAGTCAAGTCAAGTCACTTTCCTGCAGGTGTCTCGGAGATCTCTGGGAAGTCCAATGAGAGATACTGGAAACCACTCCTAACAGAACAGCAGCAGGGAGAGACAAACCCAAAGGTCCAAAGGCCAAAAGCAGGTGAACTAGGACTCAGCAGCTAACTAACTCAGTAACAGTAACAGTAACAGCTCATAGAATCATAGAAACAACTCTGTTCCTCCTTACCCTTACCTGACCTCAGACTTACTTAGTTCACCTAAATTCAAACAAAACAAAACAAATCAAACAAAACAATAAGAAAGGAAAATTGGGCCATGCTGAGAATCCGTTGAAGAACCTGGTTTTGAAGAATCTCCAGTCCAGGGGGTCAAATTCAGCTGGCGAGCAGTTTTACCCACAAGTGCAACCAACTGGTCACTTGAAAGTAGTGCAGCCTTGTCATAGACTACGTGGCCATAGCGCACTGTTCTAGCACAGCTGCCTGAAGGCAAAAAAGTTGGCAATGCCGAATCTTTGGAAAGGTCCAACTCCTCTTGCAAAGCTTTTTTGGCCCTGGTCCACTCGGCTCCAAACTCCTTCTCAGACTTCACTTTCTCAGAGATCTCTTGGAGAGACAGTCCAGGAGCCATCCGCCTGGCCACAGCTATGCAAAGTAAGCACCCATCAGACGTTTTGCCAGCAATCACCATGAACTGCGCTCCGTCCTGGCAAAGGGCAACGGTTTTGCTACTTCCTTCCTACTTGCATCAAACAGCCAAATAAGAAGTTGAGTACGTCCCACATAAGAACAAGAACAAGACAAGATATGCTTCAAGCATCTTGAAACTAACAAATTAGTGAGTTGAAAATTCGATGTCTTGTCGCTGTCTAAGAGTCTAAGGAGTCATACGTCATACATACATTCATACATATTGACTTCACCTTCTCATGTCAAAAAGAGAGTTGGTTTACAGTGGATAATCAGGTCAATTTTTTTTCGCCCAATCTGATCTCTATGTATGCAGCTACAGCTATGGCTATGACGGTGCAACACAGCACAGTGCATCTGGGAATCTTAGACCTCTGCTCATCCCTACTCATGCTCTCCTGCTGCCCTTTTCAGAGACCATCATAGAGCTGCCAACCGTTGCCAACCAGTCTAGTAAAGTGCCAGTGACAGTACAATATTTTAATTGAAAAAAACACGTTGGAACAGCAGAAAGTCACTTCACTGAGCAGCTTGCCAGATTCAGCACTGAGTGAAGCAGTGAAGCACCCCGAAATCACAAGAACTAAGTCGATCTGGGCGTTGGGCCAGTCTGTCTGTAAATGTAAATGTTCGACTGATCGTTCAGTCAAGTCCACGCATTGCCGCTCCATTCTCAATGCCCGATTCTAAACTTAACTAAACCAAAAAGTAGGTAGGTAGGAATTTCAAATTCCAATTCCAAGGTTCCATGTCTGAGTCTGAGTCTAACTCTGGACTGAACTATTCATGATTGTCATTTCCCAACTGCGTTTCAAAACTGTGAACATTGTGAACTGAGAACTGCCATCAGCAAAGTGCATATTTGGCATAAGGGCAGAGAAAGCAGCTTCCAAGTTCCAGCTGTCCTAGCCTCCTAGACTAGGCCTTAGGCCTTAGGCCTCTTGTGGGAAGAGGAGGATGCTGACCCGGAATCATTGTCACCATTGTTGAAATCATTTGTCTTAACTGTCTGAACTGTTTCGCCCAAATAGGCCACAGGATCATTTGGGGTGCCCTTAAACTTGCGCTTGCGTGAATCCAAATGCTTGACTGGTGTCTCAGGCACCACATTCATTGGGCCCCGACTTGAAAATGGGCTATCCAACTGGGCATGGGTTGCCAAAGTGGTCAAGCCATGAACATCGGGATCAAGGAAGTGGGTGGGAGGAAAACGGACTTTACCCTCAGGTGTGCAAGACATTGGATCATCTGACACTGACACAAGTCCAAGATTGTGTCCATGTTCTGGTGACGCAATAGAGGCAACATCGCAAATGGTCGTGGCATTCAAGCTGTCAGTAACAGCGTCAACATCACTGTCAACCTCCACAAGCTCAGGCTGTTGGGCTGCACTGGCAACAGGGCCACCAAGTGCAACCCCTCCAGCCTTTGGAATTGGGACCTGAATCATCCTCAGTAGCAACAGCAACGTTTGTTTGAACTGAACTGAAGTCACTTGTGACTTATGTCTGTATATCACATGAAATGATATGCAAATAAATGTCCACAAAGTCTTTATAATAGTCATTAGTCATACTAATGTCATGATGATGATGGTCCTTGAGTCTTCGTCACTGTCTTTGTCCTTTTTTTTTGGTTTGGGTCACTTATGGACTTTCTATTTCTGAAATCTACAATGTGGCCATGGCCTACCTGGCCCCGGACCCTTTTGAACTTGAACTTCCTAGTCCTGCTTCTTTCTACTCTACTCTACTGAGACTCTAGTGTCCTACTGATGTCCTGGTTGTTGTCAGTATCAGTATCGATTGTCAGATAAAGTGTATGGCCTGCCTATGCAATGCACAGAATCAACTAACCAAACTAAACTAAACATTCAAACTAGCCAAATCCCAGCTTCGGCTGTGGCCATCCTTGGCGCAACAAATGCTCTGGCGTCATCTGGCTGGGCGACAATGGTGGTCGAAGTGAAGGGCATGGACCAGGGCTATGGCTAGGGGGCGCAACAGGAGCAACAGCAATGGCCCTGGGCTTGGGGACTGCTGGAGTTCCAGCAAATTGCAAGTGCAGTGAGAACAAACTTCCACTGTAGTCAGACCCTGACTCATCCATCCAGTTTGACACAGCGGATGGGCTAGGCAAGCCCCCCATGGGTCGACGATCCGGGGTGCGATTGCCTGACATAGCTCTAGTCCAGTCGATTCTAAATATCTCAAAGATGGAGATTCAATGAGTACCCTTCTGCCCACAAATGCTGCGGGCACATATAATTGGATACAATGTGAAATCCAAATCCAAATCCAATGAACATCAAGTCAAGTGACAAGTGAAAATGCGACAATGTAACATGGCATGACTGCCATGCAATCACATCAAAATAAAAACAATTGAATCAAATCAATCCTAAACCGACCTAAACTTAGATGCAATGCTGAAAATCTTTGGTTCTTTTTGATCACCACATCACTCACATCACCACACTACATTCACCACACAGGCAGTCCTTGGAAGACTGCCTGCAAATGATGCACACGAGATTGATGGATTTCTGGGACCCTTCCACTTGCCCTTCTTCGCTTCCAGCAGAATCAGTAGTCGCCGCCAGCACCAATGCCAATGGCAGGACCTATGAAATCAGAAACACAGAAATCCGAAGACAGTCAGACAGTCAGAAAGAGTGGAGTGGAGAAACCCCCAGATGATACTCCAAGGGAACAATGTAACAAGGTGCAACAGTGCAACAGCAACACAAGGAACAGGAGGAGGAGGAGGCCAGGCATGTATCCCTATGGCACTCTATGGCCCACGATTGACCCTTGGTTCAAAAAGGATTCAAAAAATCAAAATCAGAAAAGGTTTAGTGTAGTGCTTAGTACAAATACAGTCCTCTACCCGACTCTACCCTACCTTTTTGCCTGATGTCCTACTACAGCAGTTCTGTTCTACAACAATTCTACAAGTCCATTGGCCCTCCCTCCCCACCAAGCTACCTGTTTCGCTTTTGGCGGCATCTCACTGAATGGTGACCAACCACCAGGGAATCAAGCAAGATTCTGAAGGCTGACGGCTGAAGAGTGCTGCAGTCACAGGACTCACAGTGAAACTTTGACGGTGATCAGTGATCAGTGAAAACTGAAACTCTGCATGGACCTAGCTACCATCAGTAGTGTTCTGAAAATTTTATGGATCACAGAAGGTTTGATAAATAGCTAAGTAAAACATCTTAAAACACTGTTCGAAACTTGCTCCTCAGCTCAGCTAGCAGCTACTACTGCACTCAGTTGCAGCATATTTTGAATCCAAATTGCAAGGTTCACTGAATAGAGACTAGGTCTAGGTCCTAGGTCTGAGTCTGAGCAGGTCCTTGGCACTGCAGCGTGCCCACAGTGTGCCCACAGTGCAATCAGCAACCCAACAGAACATCTCTTCGGGAGCTATGTTGCCGAGAGTCGAGAAAAAAGAAAAATGAATAATGATTGATTAATAACAATGTAAAGATAAATCACATATATGTTTCATGGCAGACCTTTCGTGAGGTACAGACTCCAAACAACCAATCCTAGGCAAGGTAAGCACATTCCTTCCCCTGCTAGGTGGCTGAGCTGGTTTGACCGAATTGCGCTTGGAATTTCAAGGCTTCGCCTATGGCCCTGCAACAATAAGTGCTCAAAGGGCAATAGAAACCTGTCCTGTCCAAAACTGTACAGCGAAGTAGATTTACAAAGGCATGGAGCAATGTTCTTGTTGTTTGTAAATGCCCTGTACATTGGGTTTTGCGACACATCGCAATACACCTCTTTGAGTAATTCCTTTTTTTTTCAAAAGAAGTTTCCGGACCACATGTGGAGGGCCCAAGTTTATCCGCTGCAATGGTGTCCAGAATCCCTGCCACCCTGTCAGTAAATTTGAGAGCACTGAAAGGGGTCCACGGTTTAACTCCCTCCGGGATCTTGCATTCTTGGCGCCATTCGGCCAATTGCCCACACCACGCTGGAGCTGGAGCCAGCTGATGAGCCCCATGCGCACATCCACGCCCACGCGCGGCCACCTTGGTCAACTAAGTAACATATATTAAGTTCATATGTATGTGTGGCTTAGTATGTCAATGTGGGTTGAGTTGGTATGGTAAGCTAGGTATGTCTTACTCACTTAGACTTAGGCTTACACTCCTTACATTACTCTACTTAGCTCTACTTTACTTTACCTGTACCTCACTTCACTTCACTTCTTACTTACTCACTTACTTACTTCCTTAGGTACCTACTTACTTGATTACGTACTTGCTTATTACTTTACTAACAGGCTTGGCTTACCTTAACTAACTTAGCTGCTTTTGCATTTATTTTGCCAAAAGAATGTGTCCACCACCCCAGATGCAAAGCAAGTTGCAGTTTGCAGAGCAAATCTGCACAGCAAATGTTTTGACATAGCAAATCTGCAGAGCAAATGTTTTGACATGGAAAAACTGCAAAGCAAAAACATAGCAAAACTGCAGAGCAAATGTTTTGACATAGCAAAACTGCAAAGCAAAAACATAGCAAAACTGCAGAGCAAATGTTTTGACATAGCAAAAAACATAGCAAAAACATAGCAAAACTGCAGAGCAAATGTTTTGACATAGCAAAAAAACATAGCAAAAACATAGCAAAATTTTGACATAGCAAAAAAACATAGCAAAAACATAGCAAAACTGCAGAGCAAATGTTTTGACATAGCAAAAAAACATAGCAAAAACATAGCAAAACTGCAGAGCAAATGTTTTGACATAGCAAAAAAACATAGCAACAACATAGCAAAATTTTGACATAGCAAAAAAACATAGCAAAAACATAGCAAAACTGCAGAGCAAATGTTTTGACATAGCAAAAAAACATAGCAAAAACATAGCAAAATTTTGAATAGTCGACAAAATCCAAAAAATGCAATTTTTGCTGGAAAGTTTGCTAAGTTTTTGCTATGTCATTGCTCTGTTTTTGCTCTGCAGCAACTAATTCTATACTTTTTGATGGTTTTTGCTGCAAATAGCTTGCAAATAGCTTGTGTTTCTTCATTTTTTCTATGGTTTTTGTTGCAAATAGCTTGCAAAAATGAAGAAATACAAGCTATTTGCAAGCTATTTGCAACAAAAACCATCAAAAAGTATAGAATTAGTTGCTGCAAAGCAAAAACACAGCAAAAACATAGCAAAATTTTGAATAGTCGACAAAATCCAAAAAATGCAATTTTTGCTGGAAGGTTTGCTAAGTTTTTGCTATGTCATTGCTCTGTTTTTGCTCTGCAGCAACTAATTCTATACTTTTTGATGGTTTTTGCTGCAAATAGCTTGCAAATAGCTTGTGTTTCTTCATTTCTTCTATGGTTTTTGTTGCAAATAGCTTGCAAAAATGAAGAAATACAAGCTATTTGCAAGCTATTTTGCAACAAAAACCATCAAAAAGTATAGAATTAGTTGCTGCAAAGCAAAAACATAGCAAAAACATAGCAAAATTTTGAATAGTCGACAAAATCCAAAAAATGCAATTTTTGCTGGAAGGTTTGCTAAGTTTTTGCTATGTCATTGCTCCGTTTTTGCTCTGCAGCAACTAATTCTATACTTTTTGATGGTTTTTGCTGCAAATAGCTTGCAAATAGCTTGCAAATAGCTTGTATTTCTTCATTTTTGCAAGCTATTTGCAACAAAAACCATAGAAAAAATGAAGAAACACAAGCTATTTGCAGCTATTTGCAAAAAACCATCAAAAAGTATAGAATTAGTTGCTGCAAAGCAAAAACAGAGCAATGACATAGCAAAAACTTAGCAAACCTTCCAGCAAAAATTGCATTTTTTGGATTTTGTCGACTATTCAAAATTTTGCTATGTTTTTGCTATGTTTTTGCTAGTTTTGCTTTTTTTGCTTTGCAGCAACTAATTCTATACTTTTTGATGGTTTTTGTTGCAAATAGCTTGCAAATAGCTTGTATTTCTTCATTTTTGCAAGCTATTTGCAACAAAAACCATAGAAAAATGAAGAAACACAAGCTATTTGCAAGCTATTTGCAGCAAAAACCATCAAAAAGTATAGAATTAGTTGCTACAAAGCAAAAACAGAGCAATGACATAGCAAAAACTTAGCAAACCTTCCAGCAAAAATTGCATTTTTTGGATTTTGTCGACTCTTCAAAATTTTGCTATGTTTTTGCTATGTTTTTGCTTTGCAGCAACTAATTCTATACTTTTTGATGGTTTTTGTTGCAAATAGCTTGCAAATAGCTTGTATTTCTTCATTTTTGCAAGCTATTTGCAACAAAAACCATAGAAAAAATGAAGAAACACAAGCTATTTGCAAGCTATTTGCAGCAAAAACCATCAAAAAGTATAGAATTAGTTGCTGCAGAGCAAAAACGGAGCAATGACATAGCAAAAACTTAGCAAACCTTCCAGCAAAAATTGCATTTTTTGGATTTTGTCGACTATTCAAAATTTTGCTATGTTTTTGCTATGTTTTTGCTCTTGCAGCAACTAATTCTATACTTTTTGATGGTTTTTGTTGCAAATAGCTTGCAAATAGCTTGTATTTCTTCATTTTTGCAAGCTATTTGCAACAAAAACCATAGAAAAAATGAAGAAACACAAGCTATTTGCAAGCTATTTGCAACAAAAACAATCAAAAAGTATAGAATTAGCTGCTGCAAAGCAAAAACAGAGCAACGACATAGCAAAAACATAGCAAACTTTCCAGCAAAAATTGTATTTTTTAGATTTTGTTGAATATTCAAAATTTTGCTATGTTTTTGCTATGTTTTTGCTTTGCAGCAACTAATTCTATACTTTTTGATGGTTTTTGTTGCAAATAGCTTGCAAATAGCTTGTATTTCTTCATTTTTGCAAGCTATTTGCAACAAAAACCATAGAAGAAATGAAGAAACACAAGCTATTTGCAAGCTATTTGCAGCAAAAACCATCAAAAAGTATAGAATTAGTTGCTGCAGAGCAAAAACAGAGCAATGACATAGCAAAAACTTAGCAAACCTTCCAGCAAAAATTGCATTTTTTGGATTTTGTCGACTATTCAAAATTTTGCTATGTTTTTGCTGTGTTTTTGCTTTGCAGCAACTAATTCTATACTTTTTGATGGTTTTTGTTGCAAATAGCTTGCAAATAGCTTGTATTTCTTCATTTTTGCAAGCTATTTGCAACAAAAACCATAGAAAAAATGAAGAAACACAAGCTATTTGCAAGCTATTTGCAGCAAAAACCATCAAAAAGTATAGAATTAGTTGCTGCAGAGCAAAAACAGAGCAATGACATAGCAAAAACTTAGCAAACTTTCCAGCAAAAATTGCATTTTTTGGATTTTGTCGACTATTCAAAATTTTGCTATGTTTTTGCTATGTTTTTTTGCTATGTCAAAACATTTGCTCTGCAGTTTTGCTATGTTTTTGCTATGTTTTTTTGCTATGTCAAAATTTTGCTATGTTTTTGCTATGTTTTTTTGCTATGTCAAAACATTTGCTCTGCAGTTTTGCTATGTTTTTGCTATGTTTTTTTGCTATGTCAAAACATTTGCTCTGCAGTTTTGCTATGTTTTTGCTATGTTTTTTTGCTATGTCAAAATTTTGCTATGTTTTTGCTATGTTTTTTTGCTATGTCAAACATTTGCTCTGCAGTTTTGCTATGTTTTTGCTATGTTTTTTTGCTATGTCAAAACATTTGCTCTGCAGTTTTGCTATGTTTTTGCTTTGCAGTTTTGCTATGTCAAAACATTTGCTCTGCAGTTTTGCTATGTTTTTGCTTTGCAGTTTTGCCATGTCAAAACATGTGCTCTGCAGATTTGCTATGTCAAAGCACTACGTAATTGGTTCCCTTTTGAAGTTGCAGTTTTACGCATTAGTCTTTAGTACATACATACATACATGCATACACACATACATACATACATACATACATACATACATACATACATGCATACATACATACATACATAGATAGTTACATGGATGCATACATACAAACAGACATACACACATTACATCTGTTACATACATTACGTCATTACATACAGTACATACATTACATACATTTCATTGCATATGTTACATGGGTGACATATATGACACACATGACGTAAATTCCATACAGTATGTACATTGCATACATTGCGTACATTACGTACATTTCATTACATAAATTACATTAAATCATAAGATACAATTACATACATTACATACACTTCACTACATACATCACAAACTTTACATATATTACATTGTATACACTACATTGCATATGTTACATACAATACATCACAAGCATGACATACATTACATTCCATAACATACCATACCATGCCATACCATACCATGCCATACCATACCATGCCATACCATACCATATATATGTACGTACATCCATACATGCATGCATACATACATACTTACGTACATACATACATACATACATACATATCCAACATGATGTACATTGTCTATTTGCATGCTTTACAGACAGACATACATTACATACCTGTATTTCATACATCATGTACATTACATACATTACTTACATTACATGACATACTGTATCATATATCCATTACATACATTACATGCATTAGATACATACATCAATGCACCAGATCTTATACTCATGCAACTTTCATTCATTATACTCATTATACATTACATTACACACCTTACATGTCTTACATACATACCTTAAGTCTTGCACGTAACATACCTGAAGTACCTTACACCTTACACTTATGCACTCTACTCTACATACATAAAATTATCATTACATGACATACTATTACTACCTACCTACATACATTACATTACATACATTCACGTCTACAATTTACAATAGATAGACCATACATTGATACAAATGACATACATACATGACAACATGCATGGGATAATCATGTTTATAATCCTGGCATGTGGGGCCAGTGAAGTGATTCTAGATTCTAGCTGCAATGCAATCCAGGCCACCCTGCTTCTCACTACATTCCTCTCACTGTCCCACTTGGTTGACCAGAAAGAAAAATCTTGGCCATTTTCAGGGAGCAGGAGAGCTGTGATTTCACAAGGCCCTTTCATGGTCTGCTTCTCAATAATGGCCTGGCAAGGCCGGCCATAGAGAAAAGTGCAATTTGGGCCTTGGGACTACTTTTGGATTTTGCATGTATGTAAAAACCCAAGGCTCAAGGCAAACACGTGCTCTGAGACTCTGAGGTTCTCAGGAGGGTTCAAAATTCCAGTTCGGCAACAGATTTAGTTAGCTAAGTTACCGTTACTTCTACTACGCTGTATTGGTTTGGTTTGTCTGTAAATGTTCCTGGTACAAGTATGTCTGAGGTATTCCTATTAATTATTTCTTGAGTTACAGTTACAGTACAGTTGCAGTGAAACATTTTCATTTCACTATTTTGAACATGTCATTTCATTTCTTGTTGCTGATCACCTGTGCAACTTTGATGAACATTGAACACATGGCAAATGATGATATAAATTATAGATATAGATTCGATATAGATATAGATTACATAGATAGATATATGGAAGGTGTTTGGTCTCCTTCACTGTCCTTCACTTCCCTGTCCTGATCTTTGCGATGTGACAAACAATGGTTCTTGGATTTGCAGTGCCTTCACCAGAGCCTTGAAACTCTGAACATCCTCCTTGCAGTAGATGTCTTTGCGAAAGAACACCAAATAGAGCCTGTTCCAATGGCACACGGTCATTGAAAATAAACATATCAAGGGCTTCAGGGTGTTTGAGTAGTGTCAGGCTGAATAGAGTAGGGGGGTATGTGAAAATTGTCCATCATGGCCCCTTCTATTTAGATTTTGATGAATGTTGGTGTGTTATGATTTGGGGTTGGCAATCTTATCTTATATGGAATTTTAACTAGGTACTAGGTCTAGGTCCTAGGTTCGATTCGATATCATGGGAATTAGGCTCTCGGACGATTGGCTACCTACCAAAATCTGAACAACCAGCCACGCATTAAATCATTCATTAGATTCAGCACTAGAAGAACTGATTGAACATTGCTTATGGGGGAATGGGGAATTGGGAATTGCTTGAACCTATTGATTGAATCTATTTAATATTTATTATTGAAACTATCGTCCCTGTAGTCACCTTGTCATCGATGATTTTGGATTGGCCACCAGTTGGGCTAACAACATACTTGGCTATGCTTCCACAAAATCAACTGTAGGTATCTGAATCTGAAGGTTTGAAGTTTAGTTTAAGTTTAATTTGTTGTTCACAGGACCTGGGTTCCCCTGGAGATGGACTGGGCTCTGGAAGTGGAGCCCTGAATTATCTGACCAGCTAATCACTAATTAACAAGTATATATATATGTAAATGCTTTTGCTGGTTTTTTTTGGTTTGGTCAACAGTAACAATAACAGTAACAAGGTAACAGCATAATCCATTGTGTTTCTTAGAAAATTGAACCTGGATTCACCTGGGAGTGGACCGGACCTGGGAGTGGGAGTGGACCTACCAGGCAATCTTACCAGTCTGACCAGCTACTAGCTGCTAGAATGTTCCCCAGAGAATCACAGCAACAGAACAACATTCCACAACAATAGTGTTTTCACTATATGTAAAACTTAAAAAGTATCTAAGAACGATATATATATATGTATGATATTCTTGATTATTAGTGTATATATATACTAATTGCCATAAGTCTATTTATACATATATATATATTTACAGTAAATACATAATGTACTGTGATCTGTCTAAGAAGCCTTGCCATGTAAATCCAAAGGGTAGGCCATGCTGTAGGCCAACTGTATGTATGGGAAAAAACACCACAGGCCACCCAAGGAAAAGTGACAATTTTTGCTGTGCACTGCTTCTTCACAGTGCAAATCTGTGAAACCATGAGACTGTGAAGCTGTCCTTTGCTTAACCGAACTTGTGTGACTTGCGATGTGACCCCAGGTATGAATCTAAGGCATCAATTCAGGTTCATCATCTTCTTCTGAACTGTACCTTTTCCTCTCAAACTGTCCAATGCAGTCAGATCCTGGCCATGTATTGAAGAGTACCCTCGCAGCCTTCCTCTTGATAAAAGGCTGGGTCAACTGAGCAATGTGCTCTGATTTGCTCTGGCACTTGAACGCATCTTGGAGCCAGCACACCAAAGACCCTATCGGTCGTCCAGCTCCTTTTCGACCAGCTGTGGTTTGGCGTTGCCTGGTGCAAGTGCCATGATCTGGATTTGGGCAATGTGCTCGCATGAATCCACGCACATTGTATCTAATTTCACCCCCATTGTTTGGTAACAGGAAGGCAGTCTCAGACACTTTCTGGGCTCTTTGTTGGGTCTCCTCCTTTCTTGGGCGCTTTGCATCTGGGCCACCATCAACTGAATCAACTGGTTGTTGAGGCGCAGCAAGCTCCAACTCCAAGACATCCAAAGCATGTTGTGGTGGATGGTCTTCATCCTCCACTTTCTCAGGGTCTTGAGGCTGCATATTCTCATTCTCATTGTCACTGCAATCAAACTCAGTAAAGAGTTGGTCAAGCACTGAGTCCAGATTGGGCTCTACCTCTACCTGCTGTTCCTCCTCCTCCCCGTTCTCCCCGTCCTCATCATCGGAAAAATTGTCACGGAACAATGCTTCCAAGTCTGACATGGCATCATTGACTGGGTCGTGGTCTTGGTCTTGATCTTGATCATCTTCACCATCTTCCATGTCCATGTCCATGATCATATTCATGTCATCATCGTCCATGTCATTGTCATCCAGCAATGGCCTCTGAGAAGCACTGCGACTGCGGCCAGAAGCACGGCTACGGCCACGGCCACGGCCACGCTCTTGGGGAGCATCAACTCCACTGTCAGACTTCGCCGTTGGTTTCCGTTGTTGTTTTCTCTGTCTAGTTTTCATCTCCAAAGTTGCACCCCTCCAAAATGGGTATGGGCTCAAGTGTTTTTTCACTTGTAGGTATTTCGACGACATGTTTTCCAATGATCCAACTGTTTCATTGTCACTCAACAGGATGTAGTATTGCAAGCTCCAAGCGTAGCGAAAGTCAACAACATCTTTGAAATATTGGACCGCAGATTTGACAACAAGATGGTTGTCCAAGTCGAGAGAGGACAGCCAAAGTGTCCCTGATGTTTCATCAAAAGAAAGCTTTGTCAAGTGGACACACCCAAAATCCCATGTCTTGTAGTTTGCGTGCCCAACATGGAAGAAAATTTCCTCTACTCTGTCACCCGCAGCTGGATCATTGATCCTCCTCTGGCCTTTGTCCCCTGGGAGTAACCCAAGAACAAACCCACCAGTTTCAAACTGACGCCTTTGCTTGGTCGGTTTTTTGTTGACCTTGACTAAATAAACTTTCAAGCACTTGGTCAGCTTTCTCCAGAACACAACAGCTTGACGTCCTATCTCTTCTTTGCATACACACGTCCCAAGCACAGCACATAAGCCCATCCCACTTGAGTTGCTATAAGTTTTGGTCTTCTTGGGCAAGGCCTTCTGAGAACTATGAACCAGAACTAAATGCTCTGCCTGCCACGCATCCTCCAAATGCTGCCTCCTCAAAGTGTTTGTATGGCCCTTTTTCAAGATGCTGAGGCATGCCTGCAGGGGTAGGTTCGAATGTGCAACTTGTCATAACTGTGTCCTTCGAAAAAACTAAAAGACTTAAGACTCAGAACTTAATGTCCTTTACTGTACGTATCGAGCGTTCTTAATCTTAAAATATGGCATCCCCAAACCCATAGATGCATAGGTTCCTTGACTTGACCTAATTTTGGATATTTTAATGTATCTGGGTATCCCCTTTTTAGGAAACAGGAAACCTGCCTGTATGTATGCATGTATGTCTGTATGCATATGCATGTCTGTAGTAGTATGCATGTAATGTAACTGTAATGTATAGTGCAGTGTAGTTAGTGCAATGTAGCGTCATGCAACGCAATGCAAGGTAATGAACTATGCCATGCAATGTGAAATTTGATGAAGCAATGCAATGCAGTGCAATGCAATGCAATGCAATGTACTGGTATGTTATCTCTGTTATGTTCTGAAGTATGACATGTGCTGTTTGTTTGGTATACAAATGTGACTATCCGCGCATGTTTTTGAATGACATTTGGATTTAAAAGGTATGTGTTTGATATGTGTACATGTATGTGCTTGATATGTGTATGGCACATGTATGAGATGTGTTCGAACTGTGACAATCTGTATGTATGACTACGTGTATGATGATATGTGCAATGGATTCATCTGATATTTAAATGATTTGTGTAGGAATTTGTGTGTGTGAATGATTTATTTGTGTATAGCTTGTGACTGGTGTGTGTGTGTTTGATACACGCCGCATGTGTGTTTGTGCGTTTGTGAGTATGTCGTATGTGACTACTTGTGTGATGTGTGACTGATTGATGGTTGATGTGCGTCCTCAGTCTATCTATGTCTATCTGAGTCTATCTCATTTTCTGTCACCGTCCACGTCCATGTCACATCACTCTAGGACTCTAGGCTACACTCCACTCTACTCTACATTCTACACTACACTCTACATTGCCCACCTCTAGTCCAGTCACATCTAAGTCTAGCCATCTAGTCTAGAGTCTAGAGTCTAGAATCTAGTCTAGTCAAGTCCAAGTCAAGTTAGAATCCAATGTACACTTCACTACATTCACCCCTACATGTCACATTCTCTACTCTACATGTCACCCTCTACATTCATAAATGATCATCAGTTACATTACAAGTCACAAGTCCATGTCACTCCATGTGACTCTATGACCTCTATGAGTCTATGACCTCTATGACTCTATGATATGCCTTTCTGTCACTCCATGTCACTCTGGGCCCATGTCACTCTATGTCTATGTTTGTCTGTCCATCAATCTGTCTGAGTCCATCACTGCATGAATGTATGCCTGCATGCCTTATAAATGCACGCATGCATGTATGTACTTATGTATGTATGTCTTTGTGGGTGGAGGCTGGATGCTGGCTGATGGGGCAATCCATGGATTCAATAGACAGAATAGAGATGCCTTGGTGTGTGACACCCCAACATGACATAGACTGACTGACAACCAACTATCATTCTTGAAATATTTTTTCATGTTCAATTATTTGTATATACAAAACATACTGTTGACATTTGACATATACATTCACATAAATAAACCGGAACCAGAATGCCATAATAAAATGCATGCATATGGCATATGGCATGCATAAGTATAAGTCATAGTGACATAGTCCTAAGGTCCTACAAAGACCACCTAACTGACAAATCTCAACTTCAACATTGATTCAACATGGGCCTTCGCAAACTCAATAATGGGAGGTGTCCAGTTGAAATGAAGCAGAGAAGAAAATGCCGACCAAGAAAGGTTGGGCTTTAAACTGTGGGAAAATCCATTTCCCTTTGAATGGACTGCAGAAATCATCGAATCTCCAGCTTGTTTGATCTCCTGCGTTGCTCTATGTTGCAATTCCAGTTTCTCATCCTTCTCAACTTTTTCTCTAGACAGTCTTGCCTTTCTCTCTTCTGCCAGCAGTTTTTTAAAACTTTTTTTTTCTCGTCAAAAGTATCCCCATCAAGGAATACAGAAACTTCGTCCCCAGTTGCTGCGACCAACTGCTCTGAAGACACCGATGGTGCGTCCTTAGAGAGAGAAAGAGAGAGAGAGAGAGAGCCACGTGCATGGGGGTTTGGATATACGGAGGACAATCAACCAGTAGTTCAATAGTCAGTAGTCAGAAGTCAGCTATCAAATGCATTGAAGTCTAATATGTAAGATTAGCAACTAGTAACTAGTACTCCATATGTGTTAAACCCAAACACCAAACAGTTCAGTTGCAACAATATATATATATATTGAATTTTGTTTAGTTAAGATTAGTCAGTCTCTTATGGGGTATAGTCCTAAAGATTTTTGGTCTGTCCAACCTATCTGGACTGATGGACCTGCCTACCTACTCACTTACTTACTGCCTAGGGCCTAGGGCCTGGGACTAATGACTAGTGATTCATGATTAGTAGTTATATAAAATATTCATATAAGCTATTCAACTGAATACTATTGGTTCTGATTGGGCCCTATTGCTGGTAAGTTTGGTCGGTGACAAAAACAATGTTTGAGAATTTTGGACAGGATTCAGCTGCCCCAGCCAAAGCCACTCCTTGCCCTTGAACAAAATATGGCCTGTCCCTCACCTTGCGAGCAAGAGCTGCGAGCTCAGCCATTTCCTTGTAATGCTGCCACTCATCATGGTCCAGCTCCCTGTACTGAGCGGATAGTGTTTTGATGAGATCTCGATTCAGTTTCATGTTCTTAGACTTGGCGGAAACGAAGGCACCCCATGGTCCCCCTCCCCTTCCTGTAATGATTTTCTTCTCGGTATTCTCAGTATCAGCATTGTTCTGGGCATCAGTCCTGGCACCCTTTTTTTTGTTGCCAGCTTTGGCATACCCAAAAACTTTCCCAATCCACCTGCAAAGGCATCTGGATGCCACATTTGTGAGAGAAGGAGTATTCCCCCTCCCCCTTTGCATTGTGAACTCCCGAACTGAAGAGTGACCGACTTCGATGTTCATAATGTCGAGCTCAGAGAGTGCGCACAGAGAGGAAAGCAGTGCTTGGGCATCTGGGTGCTGGGCAGCTTCTGCAGTGGGATAGCGCTGAAACCAATACTTTGCAAAATCATCTCGAAAACATTCAGGAAGATGGTACACTCTAGGACCACCAGAATCAAGCAATGAAAATATTTGGTAAGGAAATCCTCGGTGCACTCGTCTTAGCTGAACTTCCAGTGAACAAACCAAAGCAGACAGCAAGCGGAACAACAGAGATCTTGAGTATCTAGTGTACTTCGAGAGGGGCAATGCTCCAGGTGGTTCTTGTAGCAATGCTTCCACATGTCCGAAGCACTCTGCAATGGAAGTTCCATTGACTGCTTCTAAAATTCTGCGTTCCACAGGTTTTGCAGCTGCAGCCCTGCTAGATTGGTGGCTGTCAAAAAGGTCGCTGCTTAGATGAATTGCTTTGTGAAGCAGAGTCAATCCTGGAATCATCGCAGTACGTGTGATGACGAATTGTTCATAAAAATGTTCCGATGAAAGATACATCCCAGCCTTCTTCTTACAATTCCTATTGAAATCAGCCCAGGTTGTGCATTCCTCTAAGTCTCCAGCACCCGCAGTGGCTGTTCCAGGGGGCCCCAAGAATTCATCCTCTGGATCTGCTTCCAAATCGTCCTGATCATCTTCCTTCTGCCCTGCACCCCCCAGCAAATCTGCCCATTCAGCATCATCGCCCAACACTTCCAAGTTCAAACCTGCTTCAGCAGCCTCCACTGGCTTCTGTGGACTGCCAGTGAATTTCAGCAGCACTTGAAGGTGCAAATTCCAAAAAGAGGATAGCATACCAACCCAATCAAAGTGCTTCGCTTGCCCCACCCAATTTTTGCGTTGAATAACGCTCATCGCTCTTGGAAGGAGCGCACAAGTCACATCACCCAAAAAGTGGTTCATGGTCACCTCTGGGCTACTACAGCAGTTTGGACAGTAGTGAATGATCTCATCTGATTCTAAGTCTGAGTTGGCAAAGTAATTCAATATCAGCTTTCTTTTTTTCTCAACATCTCCACTGCCACCAGGACTGGCAGGATCTGAACAAAACAGGTTCAACACCTCTCGTCTGTGCTTGGCCACGTCACCACCAGGGGGGGATGCGATGACTATCTGAAGTTGTTCTCTGAAAATGCATTGCAACGCTTGTCTCAAGGACTGCAGGGCCCCAATGCCACCTAAAGCAAGCCCCACATTGACTAATCCTGAAATCATTGGGTCCACAACCTTCAAAGAATTCTTGAAGCAGGCAGCTTTTTTGTGAATGTCACATGGGTACTGAAGATTGGCTTGGTTGGGACTCTGAGACTTGATGAAAACTTCAGCCGCAATGTTGCCTGCTGCCCTGTCTGCGGTCACCATACGAACGGCGTGAGGAAATTGATCTTGAAATGCCAACAAACCAGGGATTCTTTGTGTCTGTCTGTTTAGGGCAGCAACATTATTCTCAGCTGTATTGCGGTCCAAAGGCACCATGGTGCACGGCATGCAGGTAGACACCAAGCGATACTGGTTGGTCCAGGAGTCTTTGACGAGGAAACCTGGGCCAATCAGCAATGACAATTTCAGATATGTCCTAGGGTCTTGGTCCTAGTGACCTAGTGTCCTAGTCAGTCCTGGTCCTGGTCCTGGTCCTAATCTAGTCTAGTCTAGTCCAAGTCCAAGTCAAAGTCACAGTCGAAATAGTCATAGTCCTAGTGGCTGCTGAAACGAAATGCGATGACTCTGTCCATACGCAGTACACCGTAGATTCAGCAAACTCAAATCAAATATTACAACAAAACTATACCACAATCATCATTACATTACATTGCATCAAACCAAACTGGAGGCAAAATACAATGTACAAGGTGAAAGCAAAAGTCTCTTGAGTCAAGTCACTGAATGTCCATTCAATTCTTTGAATCTTGGCAGCAACATAGGTAATTTCAGCAATCATGTCTTTACTTCTCACTTGTCTGGTAGACACATTCTCCCAAGACTCGTGGTTGAAGAAAGTGTTCGCTTCCTGCACCCTCATCTTCAGAGGTGTTTCATCGCACTTGAGTTTTGAAAAAACAGCAATTGGCACAATTTTTTTTGGTTCAAAGAGACTACCCCATGCTGTAAGAAATGCACCAGTCAAAAAGGCCCCTCCAAACAATAGGGCCGATGAATACTCGGACAGGTTTCTTGTGAGAGATTTGCCGCCTCCTGCTTGCTCTATATTTTCTGCTTCTTGAACTTGAGATGAGTAGGAAGATTTAATCACAAACTGTTCTGCAAGTGCATCTTCCAGAGTTTGCTGCTGAAGGATTGAACTTGAACCTCGCCTCTTGTCACCCTCAACGGCTCTCAAGAATGCAGAAAACATGTTTTTCTGTATAGCGGTACCCATCCTTTCAATATCCCTTGGCTTGCCGAACATGGTTTCTGAAATGTGAGTCAGAGAGTCACTGGTTGTCTCACTCACAACATGAGACTGAGAAATTCCTTCTGCACTTGATGAGTTCAACGACTCAAGCATGCTATCCAGCATGAGATCCCATTCATGGGACTCATCTGGTTCAGCAGGCGCACTGTCTTCTTCAACCTCATTACAGTTCTCAGCAGCAGCTGCGGATGACTGCTGTTCCCTTTGGGATTGTGCACATAGGAGGTGGTCAACCCCCCCTGAACAAGCCACCCTGTGAAGTCAGAATCAGAATCAGATGCGTCCATGAGGCTCGCACTGGCTGACTCACTGATCTAAGACCTTTGGGTCAAACGAGAATCTAGTTTTAATTAATAATCTTGTCTTGTATCACCGCCATACGGCCATACCACTTTTTGTTTTTTTTTGTCTTTGCCGCTTGCCTTCCCTTTTGCTTTTGGATTTGAGCCGGTCCATGGCTAAAGGTCGACCAGCTTGAGTACCAACCAGCCCCCATGCCCATGCCAATCTGTCTCTGCTTTCATCATCTTATCATATCATATCATATCATCTAATCTAATCTAAACTAAACTAAACTAATCCATTCTCGACTCTAATCAAAAATCGGGTGAAGTCAAATCAAGTCACCACTGCAGATAACAGAGAAGCTACAGCTAAGCCAAAGAGTTGAATAAGTAGTAGTAGACTCAGACTCACACTCAGCCTGACCTTTTCCTTTTGGTTTGCCTTTTGACTTGTCTCATTGGATATTCAGTGAGTGTGTTGGTACTGAAAAAAAGGAAAAGGAATGGGCCCATGGACCACACAGGCAGCCAGCTGGCTGGCTGGCCTCTGCCGCGCAATCTTCAGCCACAACGAAGAACAAAGTTCCAGCTTGACTAGCCAGTAGCCACCATGCTTGAAAGGCTGCTGCTTCATGATCTCCAAAAACCTTAGATGTGAAGCAGCGGAACATCTGATTTGATCATCTCCAAACAAACTCAGTGGCAGGCAGGCAAAAGAGAAATATTGAGTATTATTCGCTTCGGACTCAGGAGAACTAGCTATGCACATTCACATGCCTATGCCATGCTACTACTATTTCAACAAAAGTTAGTTTAAACACTTTTGCCAAATGCAAAAATACCATTGCCATTGCATTCGGGAAACTGTTCGTATGGAGATTGTGCATTGGAGTGGCTTGTTCTTTTCGAAAACCCAGTCACTTGTTCCATAATGCCCGTGTGTGGCTCATATTTCCTGTAAGTAGAAACTACCGACTCCATGGTTGTAGTTGTCATACTGTGTTCTGAAATAGAATCCTCTGCAAATCTTTTTGCCCTCCTTGTGCTGTAAGGGTTACAAGGACTACCTGTAACCAGCAGTGATGGAGAGCTTCCATCTGGGCATGATTGACACATGTGATTGAGAGGGTGCAAAGTGCAAGGTTTGGATTCCAACATATCCTCAAGGGTCTGGTAAAGGTGTTGAATGTCGGAATTGTTCGCCACCATGATGTTTCGATAGGATTCATTCATCTCAGCTGCGCCCAAGCATCTGAATGGTATCCCCAAAGCCTTAGCAGTAGCAGGACCGATTCAAGTTGTAGCTGAGTTGCAGCTCAGTAAGCTCAGTCTCACAAAGCAATCAAAGTAATCAAAGCCGCCTTAAACTTAGACTAGACTCTAGACCTAACCTAAACCTAAACCTAAAGGACCTAAAAGCCTAAAAGGCCTAAAACAACCTCAATCGCCTCAATCTCAATCCTCCAGGGCAAAGTACAAGTACAAGTGAAAACTGCGCAGTATATAAGTGTATAAAGTGTAAAGTGTATAGAGACAGTGTACAATACAAATTGAAAGGAGAAACATTAAATTTCTCTGTGCATCCACAGCCAAGGATTGTGAGACTAAGGCTAAGCCTGAGCCCTATAGGCACTAAGTCACTAAGTCACTAAGTCACTAAGCACCATATGCTGCTGAGAATCTTTGAGGACTTCGGCTTCGGAAAAGATACCAGAGCATCCAGAAACCAACGTCACCGGACTTTTGGGGAAATTGTCAGGCATGTTGAATGTAGTATGCTCTTTCAAAAGCCGGGCCCACCAGAGTCTAGGTGCTTGTGGGGCTGGATTTTGGTAACTGGACGCAGCATCACTCGCACAAAGAAAGTCAAAAAACTGGTCTTGCTCTTCCTCCTCTTCTCTAAGCATGGTTTCAAGCAAAGCATCCCATTCATCTGGCTGCGACCCTTCGCTCGCAGCTGCCATGGCTGTACCAAAGTTTCCCAAGGTCTTGTGACTAAGGAGACTAAGGCTATGCACAAAGGACATATTGTTCTCACATACTACACAATATCTTAAACCAACATCCAGTGAACAGTTAAAATATCAGCTCAACTAAACTATTCACCTTCACCAGCCGCCTATTCCCCTTGTTGATCCACAAGTAAGTAGCCTGGCGTGCAAGCTCACATCCTTAAGCCAAGTGAGGCCACATGGTTGGATGTTGATCCACCAACAGCCTACACCTACCCTCTTGCCCCCACATTGCAAGTGTACCTTGCAAAGGTTTCAGTCCCTCATACTTGCACTGCAAGTTTGCAGAGCAAAGGTTTCAACATAGCAAACTTACATTGCAAAAACGGAGCAAAATCCAGCATCTTGGGAGTTAAGCTCTTTAGGCTGGATGCAAAGCATAATACTAGATAGACGTCATGGATCTGTCTCAAAATGAGGGGGCGGCATGCTCAGTAGGATTAGAAACACGGGCAGCTGTCAAGTCTTGGAACCTGTCCGGGTCTTCAAGAGCTCATCTGCCAAGTCCAGGCAAGTCAATGTCTGCTGGTGACTATTTGATCTATCTGAATGCTTGTGCAAGCTCATGCAAGAAGAATCGTCGAAGTTGTCAACTGTGTGGATGCAATAAATTGCGACCAAAACACTTACACTTGACTACAACTTGATCTGGTTGGGAAAGGCTACAACGAAGCCATGTGCAGGTACTGGCCCTTAGGTTTTGATACACAAGGCACGGAAAGGAGCTTGCCTGGTGTGGCATTGCATAGCGGTCCCACAAAGACTTCAGGACCTTCTCTTCATCCATCGTGGGTCCATGAAAAAGCCGCTGCCTCGAGCAAGTGGAGGTGAGTTTGCTGTTGCCGTGGCGCGACTTCTAGTGAAGCCAAAAGCTCGTGCCAACCGATGCCTTGTTATCTTGCCAATAGGTCAACCTTCTTGTACTGTAATCAATTCAATTCAATTCACATGTCTGGATCGATCAACAAAAGAGTTGATGCCTGGAAAAAAATGCCAAACATGTTGCCCCACAACACCTGCAGCTGGAAACACTGCAACCACATCAACCACTGATCCAGTTCTACGAGACAAGGCCGACAAGGCCTGCATCTCTGCACCATTTGACCGAAGATCTCCTGAGCGAACCGACAGGATTTCACCGACTGAGAAACACGAGGAAACACGTGAGACACACCTGAGGAAAACTGAGGAAACTGGTGTGGTTCTTGTTGTTCCCGTGTATTCAAGTCCAACACACATCACCAGAATATCCAGAATGATCAAAGTGTGGCTTTGGACTGCATCGGGGCGATGCCACAAGTGCGGGAAGGATGGCGAGGCAAACCGGGGTACGACCGTAGAGTACCGGTCGATTTCGTGATCTCTCATCTTCAATGGGGGCTTTACTGCAGAGAATCTAAAGCGCCTAATACGGTGACCACTAAGCTGTAACCTCGTGTGTTCAGGGTGAAGGGAAGGAGTCTTTTGCACTCAGGGAGAAACCCGTCTAACCGGCTGGCTGGTTTATAGATGTTTGCCTGTGGCTTACAAGGCTTACAATCGTTCAACCGTCCCACCCGAAGGACCAGAAACATAGAATGCAAACAGGACGCTTCCTGCAGAAGTCACCAAATTAATTTAATACTAAATGTATCTAAATGTCAGCAAACCCTATACAACATTAGACAACTACTACCAGCAGCTACCCACAAGATCCAACAGGTTTTAAGGCCCGTGTCGTCTTGTGTCGTCCAAGCTTCGCTGTTTCTGCAGCCAAGAATCCTGAAACCTCTCATGGAAAAAGATTCGCTCGTAGACCACGATAAATTCCGGATAAACCTGAACACAGCTCATACACGCGCCAATTCGACACAATTAAAATGTGGTTGGATGAGAGAACAAATTCAATTTCAATTTAGCAGCTGAATCCCCATGCCAGAGAGATCCCATTAATTACTGGCTGACTTTTCTGTCAGGCTGTTGCCAGATTTGTTGAGGGCTATGCAAAGCTCCAAAGCGGGTTGGGGGGTTCTGCTCCGGTAGATCTTCAAAAGAACGCAAATCATCCGCAATCACCTCATTCAAATTCAAATATGGATTTGCATAGGCTGAAGGATCTAGGAAGCAACGACAACCACATTCAACATCATTCAACTTCTTTGGATACAGCGGATCTTGATCTTGCCAGCCCTTTACTCAAGCACGGTCACATCGGTCACTTACTTGCTGGAGCTGTCTATATTCGCCCAATTCCCCAGATTCCGTCCTGGTCATCATGATACCTTGACTGGGCTGTGACTGGGAGGCTTGATGCTGGAGTCGACCATACTCAATGTGAATGCTACAACAAATCCGCTTCAAACCAAGGAAGTCCAGTCCTTTCAATCAGGTTTCATGTTATTGCTATTGCTAAGGACTAAGGCCATTTAAGAACGTCGGGTCATGGTCTGATCTGATTCGTTTGATAGCAAGGTGCCAGACAATTGTGCAGTCCCAGTGCCCAGTGAGTGTAAAACTTTGAAGAAAGTCACCAACATGATGCTGAGAATGCAGAACTTGCAAATTTGTTGAAATCTTGGCAGATATGATTTTTGGAGAGGAGAGATACAACATGATACAACAACCTACAACAACCCAGCAGCTTCCTTCGAATTGCAGTGGCTCTCAGGTGCCAAACCCTGCCTGCGTCGTGTTTGATGTTTAAAGGATTTTAAAGGGGGCCGAACTTCATGATTTGCCGAAGCGGCAGGACAAATTCTCTGAAAGTTCCATGGATCTTGCGCCGGTCACCCAGAACCGAATCGTAGGCGGCATCCTGCAGAGGAATGGGCAGAAGTTCTTCATATGACTATATACGTAAGTATAAGTATAAGTGACATTTCTCTGTGCGGTGCTCACACCAATCCAGAGACACGAAATGTTCTGGTCGGAAGTGGAAACGACCTTTCTGTTATACCGACGTCGCTCTGCATTGCGCCATAGAAAATCAGGTCGAGAAAAAATCCCATGCAGCCACCCTGATCCACATCTGAAGGTTGTCGACATGCAAACCTGAAAACCAAAAGTCCAGTCCAAAGTTGCGCCTTCGCCAGGCAACTGCGCTGGATGGCATCTGGAGATGGCGTTTCAGCATCACAGTACAACACCTGTAGCGACCCAGCAACACCCCACCCCTCTGTTCGCCCACTGCAGTCATATGCAATCCATGCGTAGCTGGGAAAGCATCACCTATATATACAACATGGATCTGAAGAAAAAACATGTGGAAATGCTGTGGATGGCCACATTGACGATTGCGTTTGTATTGGCATATATTGAAAAATTGTGGCAGCAAATTTGGAATTCTGTCGGCGGCCTTGCCCAAGAGCGATCGGCACACCAACAGCACTGAATGCCGAACTAGTGCTGGTGGTGGACCAGGAGGAGGTCTCCAATTTCCCTTCGATGTCTGACAAAACGGAACGACTTTGAGGAAATTTGGGCTTTTAAAATTCAGATATCAATTTCCGAAGAATACAAGCAATATCAAGCAATTGCAGACTTTGCTGTGGCCACATTTCTGCAGCAAACAATCTTCAATGGTAAGTCGCAAGTGGTCCAATGAGGTCTGTTAAGTTAGATTCAAAGATGGCTGTTCACTCCAGAGGCAATTGCGGACGATTGCTATGAAAATTATGAAACACTCCCATTGGCAAATCGTAGAGTCAACTGAGTCAATTGAGTCAACTCAGTCCTGCTCTTCTTTTGGACCACGAGGGCCTTCTCCATACTCATCAGACCTTAAGTCAACAGACCTCTTAGATCCTTCTGGTTGGCAAATGTTGACAAGATACCTTTCCTTTGCTACATGTTTCTCTGTTTCTCATGTTTCTTTCATTTCTGCCTAGGAAACAATGCAATGGCATGGAAATGTCAAACTCACCGCAATTTCACACATCCAGTCTCGTAGCCCTCACAGAAGCGCTTGATGAATGGCGTGATGAATGGCCCATCAAGGAGTGCGACTCTAGTCTCGGCACTGATCATGTCAGGTTTGAGCGATTTCATATTATGTTCATCAATGGTCACAGAGAATCTGCTGGTCATCGCAAAAACTGCCATCCAATGAGAAAGGCATGTATTTTGCACGAATTTTGTGTGGCATTGTGGGGCCATGTGGGGCCTGAATTGAATCACCGAATCAATTCCCTAAATTTCTCCAGTTTTTCTCCAGTTTCCTCAGTAATCAACCACCACTCACCCGCATCTCTGAGGAGCTGACTTGCTGACCTCATGTCGTCAAAATCGTCAAATGTCATGCGAAAACTCAAGGCTGTGGGGACCTAGGAGACCTTTGCAAAGTCGTTCAAGATACTGGCGTGATGTAGGAAAGGTATGGAAAGGTATGGAAAGGTAGGGCGTGTTTAAGACGGAGAGATCTGGGTTGATTCTCTGTCTGCGTTACATCGCATTATCCTGGCCACCAGGTAGGCCAAAAAAATGCTGTTGTTATCGACCTGTTGGACAAAGACAACCATGCAGCACCTGCGAAGCATCCCCATCACAATGTTTCACAAGGGTTCAAGTATGATCACATCATGAATCTCGTTCAAATTCCCTTTGTATCCTTTGTCTGTGAAACACAGTAATATCTTGCCAAACATTGCCAAAATATTGTCAAAGAAGCGTTCTCCGCCAGGTAGATCCCTTTGCCATACAGCGTGCCAGCGTTGGAGCCAGTTAAGTCGAGGCGGAAGTCATTCTCTGCCTTGAGCCAGACAAATGAGATTGTCGAGTGCAAACTTGTCTAGATACATCACTGATCATCACTGGATGAATAGAAAGGAATAATATAGCAACAAGATGTAACAAGATTGTGCTCTGGGAAAAGTCTTGACGCTACATCAAGCCACGAGGAAACAGTAACTCTGTTGTACTTTTCCTTTTGTATCTTTTGTACTGTGTGGGGAAGCCTAGATACATCATGAATCATCGTGATACATCTAGATACATCGTGATCATGTTAGATCATCTTTGCGGAGATGTGGGGTTCGCCCCGCTGTCCATGTTGCTTGGGAACCATACTTTGGATGAATTGCTTCTTTCAGACAGTTGCCAGGTCGCTTCCTCCCCCAACTGATATCTCCTATACACTATCTCCTACTGTAGTCATAAGTTAGCAACATTTCATCCAGACCCTCTGTGGATATGGTTGATGCTACCATTTTCAAGATGGCAACTATGTTATATGATTCTTCCATTCTACAGTGAGCTGGCGGACGGATCAAAGATCTACAGCTTTCGAACAAATATCAAAGCTATCTGTCGCATTCTACAGTATCACTAGTATCGTCAGTATCGTTACTACAGTAGTACCCAAGGATCTCCAGGGCCAACTGATCAACACTCCTTTGGCATCTGCTGACGTGCTGCCCAGTGACTATGCCAGCCTGAACGAACGCAACAACTACTCCCAATCATCGGCACAACCCAGGTGAAGACAACATGAAACACTGTGCCTCTGCCCACTTCTTAATGTACAGCAAGTGACCGGCTACTAATATACTACTTCTGCTCAAGTAATTGCACAGCCTAGTCCTTTTGCAACCTTGGAAGTCTGTTTGAAGGCCCGCATCGTTCCGAAATGAGGCAGATACAGTATAACCACTGGATTGGAAACACATGCTACTCATGTATACTGAGATGATTGGCAAATGATGGTTTAAATGATTTTTGGGCATATTTCCATATATATTCCATATATATTCCATATATATTCCATATATATTCCATATATATTCCATATAATTCCATATAATTCCAATGCTGCAGGATCGTTAAATATTCCAAATGCCGCCAGTGCCGCCAGTGACTCATCTCTGCCAAGGTGCGGCAGCATCAAAGCTGGTCCCGTGGAACAACCAACACCTGGGGCTGTCTGGGCTGTTCGTCATGGAGAAACCTCCAATGTCAATCTCAAGTCAGAAAGGGTTACTTAAATGGTTTACGTATGTTTACGTAGCAAAATAGGATCAAAATAGGATCTCAGTATCTTAGTTGGAAATATGAGGATCTGAACAAAAACTTTGGGAGGTATGCATTCTTCGACCCTGCCATCTGGAACCTACTGTGAAAAAGGAGCGTTTCTTGCCATTGTTGAAATTGTCGTACTAAAAAAATCCTGCCATAACCTAATTCATTCATATTCATTCCAATTTTGTGTTTTTTTTAGTTTTGGCCTTGCTGGAGGAGATGACTTGTTTGGTCACTAGTGTATGCCTTGCATAAATCTCCCATACCATTGGCAAAATTGAAAAGAGTTATTTGGCACTGTAATTGGCCGTGGCAAAACGATCTTGGTGAAAAAATGGCAACCCAACAGCAAGACGGTCCAAGATGTCCAAGTGACTCTGCCACCTGTGCGTCCAATTGCGGTAGTTGGCCTCGTTTGCCAATGTTTGGTCGTTTTCAAGCTTTCTCATATGGCTCATAGATGCTGATAGTATCTGATAGTACATATTTCTGAAGTACCATTTCGAGTTTCAAGTGCCTTCCGCAGCTTCTGGCACTACTGTATTTGCCATTATTTGCCTAGGATTTACCGTCACACTTGTGATGCACACAACTTGGTTGACTGTGACTCTTTGCGAGTTCGTGTGACGGTCACGGAGGCACTAGTCGAAAGGAATGCACAATTAACTAAGGACCCAACACCAAACAATCTATAAGAGGTACAGCACGTTCAAGATCATTCAAGCATGCTTCGCCCAACAATTTGCAGGCAAATGCCAGGACAAAACGGAGTCACAGATCAGAATTCAGAGACAACATCCAAAGCTTACCATCTTCTACGTTATCTTGTCTTTCCAATCATTGGTTTCTAGGACCCCGTGCTGCGACCCATTCGCCTCAAGGATTCGCAAAATGCATGCCTCAAGCGCAGATGATATGTTGCAATCTGTGAAAATCTGCTCCTATCTAGCAAAAGCATCTCAGAGATGTCAGGGTCTAGCTGATATAACTGCTGTATACCGCGGCCGTATGTCATGCGGACATGGAAAAGTTCAATTTGCATGATTCAAACAACATCGTCACGTCACAGCGATCCCTCCCACCCTCCAGGTGCAATGTCGTGCATTGATTTTGCTCGGAAGGTGGTAGCTGCTCCAGTGCAGCCTGTCTTTGCATGACTTGTGTCATGTCAGCTTTGACCCTTCCATGGGTCAGTCAAAATTGACCAGGGACGCCAAGCTCACCTCACCACACCCTAGCATTATTTCTTCTGCCAGGGTGGGCGGGTGTGGGCAGAAGAAAAATTTGCCATGACCTTGGCACATTGGAGCCATGCCTGCGGTCACAGCCCACCCTTCCACCCAAACAGTGGTTCCTCAATTGTTCTGTGTTTCTGTTAGAAACACACAAACAACATCGTCACGTCACAGCGATCCCTCCCACCCTCCAGGTGCAATGTCGTGCATTGATTTTGCTCGGAAGGTGGTAGCTGCTCCAGTGCAGCCTGTCTTTGCATGACTTGTGTCATGTCAGCTTTGACCCTTCCATGGGTCAGTCAAAATTGACCAGGGACGCCAAGCTCACCTCATCCTTGACACCGTCGCGGGACTGGTAAGCTGCCTCGCACCTTTTGCATTGTGATGTCGAGGCCAAGAGTTTTGGTGATAATGTGACCTTGACGTTCTTTTCAGCAAAATGCCACCCACACCACGTATCCCAACTTGCTAGGCTCAAGTTCCAGGAGGCCCGTCTGACACGGTGTGATGTTCTTCCTTTGCGCCCCGTGGAAACTGCCCAGCATTGTTCTGGTGGTGCCGGTTTCTTTGCTTTTCTGGTCTGTGGTGCAGGTTCCTTATCTTCCTGTACCTCTTGGAACTTTGCCACATTTGCCACTGGTGTCCCCGGTACAGGAGTGCCCGGGCATATCATTTGGCGGTCCTGCGCGCCTGTGGTGGTTGCCATCACATTTGTGTTGAGCGGGATCTCTTGTAATGCTTCTTCGATGTACCTGAAGACCGCCGATGATTTCCACCTGCCCAACAGCCCTATCTCGTGGACGGGTAAGCCCTTTCGAGCGTACCACATGGCTCCACTTCTTCTGGCTGAGTGGCCCGTGAGCTCCTCGCTGATGTTGTCCATCCATGATTTTACCATCTTCACCTTTTGTATTTGCGTCCCATCCTTGTCGGGGAAGAGGGGTGTTGTCTCGGATGGGCTCGCATGATCCGACAGAACTCGGATTGCTAAACCCCACGGACATAACCTCGTGCACGTAGGGTTCCCGCAGCACTTCAACGTTCGCTTCACTCCATGGGCGGCTTGATCCATTTTCGACTTCCTGATGTTCACGGTGACCAACTTGGTGGAAAAGTCCAGGGCCACGTCTGCGGCTTGCAGGTTGACCAGCTCGATGCACCTGAGCATCCAGACCACTGCCCAGCCATATGCCCAAGCCGTTCTAGTCGGCCAACCCTTCACCTGCAACTTTGTCTCCCACGCTCCATTGTCCATGAGCTCAGGGTTGAATTCCTTGGCTCTTTCTTCGGGACCTGTGTCTCGTTTTAAGGCTCTCTTAACCATGGTCAACTGCCTGTCCAACACGTCCGTCCAAGAGACCCCGGCCTCCAGTTGCATGAGTTTCACTTCTGCTAGGTACTGGTCGGCACTTTTTATTGCCGTTTCTCCCAGCACGGCCGCGATCGTTACCAACTCGTCGGTGGTGATGCCGTTTTCACCCAAACGGATGTTGCAATTGTCCATGATCTCTTGGATCCTTCTCCTCTTGGATTCCTTTGATGCCAAGGTTGAGGCTGAAAACAACCTGTTCTTCAATTTTGCCCTTGCAGCAGCGATCCACGCCGGGGACTTTATCGCAGTCGCCATGTCCTTCAACTTTCTCTTGTTTGTCCCGGGCTTTGCATCATTCGGTTTGCGCTGTTTTCCATGATGCTCAGGACCGTTCTTCCCTTTTCCACTGCGCTCGGTCTTCCTCTGATGCCTTCTGTCGTTCTTGATTCCTCTGGCACTGAAGGCTGCTTGTTGCACGCTTTTCTTCGCCTGGAACTCTTGCTCGTTGACATGCTTGAGGATTCCTTTGAACTCGGCTGACTGTTCCCTCCTCTTGGCGCTTTCCTGCTCCTGGAGCTCAAAGGGCTTCGAACTCTCCGAACTCTCGAGCTCGGTGGGCTGGGAAAGGAATTGCCCTGCTGGGATGTTAAGTCTCCCCTGGCTGGAGCCCTTTCTTCCTCCCAGGTTCCAAGCTCGCCCATCCATGCTTCTCTTTGGCGCCGCCGCGAGCACCATTGACGCCAGCACATTGCCCCGGCTGCGAATGCGCACAGCACTGACAGCAGCCACATCTGGAGGATCCATTGGACGATGTCGTCCGCGGACCCAGGGCTTGCCGTTACCGGCTTGTCTGATGCTTGAACCTCCATAGCTACTATGAAATGTTTATATCTCAAACCTCAAACACAAGTGATCCGGCAAGTGCAGCTGACAGACAGGGGGTGATTAGGAGCAAACCTAATCAAAGGGAGTAAAATGAGAAGAAAATAACATGAAAGGATCAAAAGGGGGAAAGTACAACGTACTCACCCACAGGATTGGTCACTCAAATTTAACTGAGTGTCCTGTGTCCCCTTTCGAATCTGGCTCCCCCCCATTTTCAGCGCACAGCCATGTGTTCGAAGATGCTGTCCTGCGGAGTGAACGTTTGTCTCTCCTCCGTGATGTCGCCGGGAGGTTTAAGCCAAAAGTGAGAGCTCTTCCAAGGTGCCGCTCTTTTGAGGTGCACCCCTTCCAAACCAGCTGGTCTGGGCTTTCCCTCTCTCTCTGCGATCCTCGAAAGCCAGTCGGCCTCCTCATTCCACGTGCCTCGCAAGTGATGCAAGGCTACCCGTTGCACCTGATACTTCTCCAGCCTGAGCACCAATTCCGCCGCCAGGAAGTTTAGCGAGGGGTGCGGGCTGGACAGTCGCTTTGTCATGGCTAATGCCACCGACGAATCAGACCTGATGAGGATTGCTCTTTCGTGAAACTTTTGGCCCCATTTGTCAACGGCTCTGACAATGGCCAGTGCCTCCATCACCGCTTGGGACGATGACTCACCATAGTCCACCTTGAGGAGCTTTGCCTCGTTCTCCGTGATGAGGCCTTCCACTGCTTCAACTGGTACCAGTTGCTTTGGGTGCGCGTCCAGCACTTTGACCAAAATGGCCCCCCAACCTTTTGGTGACGCATCGGTGATGATGCCCCAGGAGACCTTCGGCTTCTTCATCCTTTCGATCCTGATGAGGTTCTCCACCGGGTTCTCGAAGAGTTTCAGCAGCCATAAGTGAACCCCACCCAAGCGCTTGATGGGGAACAGTCCCACTTTCGACCTGGTGTCTTCCCGACCTGCTGCACGTCGCTCTTCTGTTCCGTCCTGTTGCTCTCTTTCCACATCTTTGAGTGTGGCGTAGAGCACATTCACGGTCCACCTCAATCTCGGCAGAATTCCGCCGGCCCAGGACAATCTCCCTGTGGTGGACCTCAGCTCTTTGATGGATCCCATACCTCCTCCTTTCCAAGTGTGGAGGGTGGTCAGCACCTGGTCGATCATGTTCTTGGAGATGCCAAGCACTACCACCTCGGGTTCCCCCATCTGCACCACCGGGACCTCTATGGAGCATCCTATCCACGTTACCCTTCTTCCTCTTTCTCCCTTCCTGAGATTCACTCGGACCCCAAAGGCCGCTGCTGTGTACAGCGCCGCCGCGAGTTTTGTCTCCCTTTGTGGTCGGGGTCCAATTGCGGCCATCAGCACATCGTCGACGTAGACCTGAAGTTGCACCGAACTTGGGTCCATGATGCTTTGTAGCAATCTTCCCAAAGCCGATGACAATCTCCCCATGATTAGTGGGGCCGCTTTGTACCCAAATAACATTGCCGTCCAAACCAGAGCATCCTGGTCGTGCTCGTCTGGGGTCACACAGTGCCTTAGCTCCTCTTTCCGAACTGGAAAATGGCAAAAGGCATCCTCGAGGTCAATGAGGTAGATCTCGAAGTCGTCTTCCTCCTTGGATTCTCTGCGACCTTTGTCTCCGCCTCGAGGTTTCCACATGTCTTGCAGCATATGGACCACGTCGGTGAGGCGCGGCAGCACTATCCTTTCATCCGTTTTGGCTCTTGAATTGCCAAAACTCCTCCTCATGTCCAGGATGATTCTTCTTTTGACACTTCCGTCTTCCTTCTGCTTGAGGATCAAGGCCATCTTTGACACCGTGCCAGTTTCCCCCAGCACGTCTTTGACCCACTGCCACGTGACTCTTCTGGCGAAGTTCTTCTCGACGTACCTGTTGATTTCCAACGTGGCTTCTTCGGGTTGGGACCGCACTGACTCGTAGTTGCGGAGGAATCTCAACTCCTCGAACTCCCCTGCCTGGTCAGTGTTGGTCTCCTCTGACCCCACCGCTGCCGGAAACACTCCACTCGGGGGGATCTGTACCTCCATTCCCAACGGTGCCCCCCTCCTCATGAACTCCGGCAGGTGAACATCGGGATCGACCGCTTCTTCGCCCCAAGATTCCCAGAGTTCTGCCACCAAGGGGGACTTGAACTCCCAGTTCTCTTTGACCACCATGGGGTGTTCGTCCGTCTTGACAAAGTTCTCCCGCAGCGCCAGCCTCCACAACTCGAGGAGCTCTTCGTCGAAGATGTTATCCGTCTTCCCGTAGTTCACGGCCACCTGCAAAGCTTTTGGATGGGAGTCCACAAACTCGTCCCACATCTTTGATATCTTCTGGCCCGTTGAACGAAGTTGGGTCAGTCTCTTGACCGTCTTGGCGGGGTTCCTCATCCCTCCAATGCAAAGTCTGTTGTGTTCCTCCTTCAGGGCTTTGATTGGTCTCGCCTTGGAGCTTTCAGGAAGATCGTCACTTTCTATGTTGTCGATCTTAAACGCCATCGATGCAGCCCTCTTCGACGGCTCCGATCTGGTGGTGTTTCCTCCAGTTTTCTTCTCCTCATTCTCTAACCAGGCCTTTTGTAAGTCATTGACGATCTTGGATTTGGATTCGACTTGAAATCTCCACCACTCGAGGTTGAGCGTTTTCTTCCATACTGCCACGACTTCCGCGGCTATAGTCTCAGCCAGCGCCGCCGGGTACTCTGCCGCCGGAGCAGTCTTCCTCTTTCCAACCAACGACGTATGTCTGACCCATGCAGGGCATCTACAAACCTTGGATACCTTCTCAAGATTTTGGAGCCTTCCCGTCCAAACGCCCGGTTTGAAGTGCCTCTCCTTGGACTTGAGCTGGTAGGCGCAGGTGTTGTAGTTTGCCCTAACCGCCTTGGTTCGTTGCAGACAGGCTGACACTTCGGGGACATCCCAGGCACTTCCTGACTCTTCACTTCCTGGTGGATTCTCTAATGTTGCCAGTGGGGGAACTTTGCGTTTGGTGCAGCTGTTCACCTGCGACTCATAGATCTCCGCAGCCTGGGTGGCCATGCGTGTTCCCTTGTCGGCCTCCGCCTGCTGTTGTGGACTGTTGCCAGGCAGTCCATAAATATTCGACTTGTTCCTGACCGGCTTCGGCTGCCCCGGCACGTCATTGTGCCTGGCCATCGAAAATGACCCGCAAGGGAAGCCAGCGTGGGTAAAATCCCACTCCCCCTTGTTGACGTCCTCCTTCATGATCTGAAAACCTCTGGGATCGGCAAGGTCCAGGTCAGGGTCCAGTTGGTTGTCCAAGCTGAGCACCACTACGTTCAGGCGGTTCTTGGCTGCCTCCATCTTGATAGCTTGCCCAAGAGGATCGTTGGGACCAGAGTACATGTGCAAGAACTTGAACGGTCTCTTCTTTCTGTAGTCCTCGAAGGTCTTTGACTCCTTCAATGCCTGCTCCACCCGTCTGGGTCGCATGGTCACCTCCGGGGATTCTGTCTCCGTTTCCGCAGGAACCCCATGGCTCGCCGCGGTGCTTTCGGGGCCCTCGGCGGTCAATGGCTCCTCTTCGTCGCCATCGCCGTAATCCACCGAGGGTGGGCTTGTACTAACCCCTTTCTCTGCATCCATGATGCTACAAACGCAAATGAAATAAAATCTCCAAGCATGCAACCAAATGACAACAAGTTCAAACCGTCACAACATGCCAAGAAAAGAAAATAAAACATCAACTCAACACACGACTGCGACTCCTCAGGTGCCCACTTTTGTCCTGATTCACCTGGTACACGCAGAATCTTGATGTGAAGGAGAAAGACACTTGCGGCATTTGTGGGCCCGTTTTACCGGACTTGCACACTCAGCGCCTGCAGGAAGTTTGCCGCAAACACCTGTGCCCGATGCCCATGAAAAACAAATTGGAGTTCCAGACTGATCCTTGCTCTTGCCTTTGCCCTTTCCTCCGGAGTCTTTGCCGCCACCTGCATGTTGTTGCTTGTGGCCACTCTGACCTTGACGAAGGCTTCGTAGCTCGTCCATGTTCGCCTGGAACTTTCTCTTTCGTGCTGCTCGTTTGTCTCGATTTGCCTGCTTTCTTCTCGGGTCTGTGCTGTCTTGGCCAGGGGGAGTGATGTCATGTAGGGAGTCCTGCAATCCAGGAACATGGGCCTTCACCGCCGCTTCGGATGCTACCACCGGCTGGCCCCTTGCACCTGCTGCCACCCAAGCCGCTGCGGGTATGTGCACTTTCTCTGACCAATAGGAATCGTCCTTGGTGAGTTGCACAAAGATGCAACTCCAAGGCTCCTTTGGGTTCCAGTCTCGGGGAACTTGACGACCGAGCCCTGATTCAACCGTAAATTGCCTTCTCAGTTTTGCCATCCTTTCAGCACGTGCTGCATCCTCAGCTTGATAGATCAGTCCCCAAGCGGATGGCCACTGGGTGACAAGTTTTTCCACGTGCCTCCCATAAACTTCGAGAGCCGCTAGTGATGCCACGTTCAGCATCAAGCACGCTGTTTTCAGCACCCTCCAGGAAGCCAGCCATCCTTGGTACGTGGGAGGTCCTGGAAGATCTCGTTGTAGATAGGTTCCATCACCTAACGGTGTAAAGATCCGGCAACGCTGCACCTTAGTGAGTTTTCTCTCAAAGGGGCCGAAAACTCCAAAGTCCACATAAGGGGGAGCGTCATCTCGAAACACCCTCTTTGCTAGAGCCGCCAGTTGATTTGGACTAGGTTCTTCAGCTTCGTCAGGCATCGCCCCCATCACCGCGTGGTAGTTCTGAAGCCACGAGTTCACCTCCATTGAAGTAGGGGGCATAAGTTCAGAGTCGTCGGACTGGCCAATTAGTGCCGACATTTTCAAGATCTTTTCCTTGATCCCACCGGTTGAGGAGCTTTGTCTCGCGGGTTCCACGACCTGCTCCTCTGCCCATGGGTCCACGTCCTGGAATTCTGCCTCTGTAATGCCACTATGGCTTGCACTAACTCGTCTAGCTAGGCGCCACACCAGCCCAATTTGAGTTGCCTGGACTGGAAGTAGTCCCGACCCATCAGGTCTCGTTGCCTGAGTGATCCCTGCCAGCAAGCCAGATCTGGGAAAAGCCGCCAGGAGCCGTATGTCCTCGCCGAAATCGCCGACCATGGAAATGAAGGCCTCCCATGCCTCAGCTGGCACACCAAAATGTGCCCTTAAGGCTCCAATGTCCTGGAACTGTGAGAGTGCGTCCCATCTGCCAAACAAGGCCATGGCAACTCGCGCCCTAAGAGAACAACAGGGCAGAAGAAAAATTTGCCATGACCTTGGCACATTGGAGCCATGCCTGCGGTCACAGCCCACCCTTCCACCCAAACAGTGGTTCCTCAATTGTTCTGTGTTTCTGTTAGAAACACACAAAAAAGGTAATCTATGCAGATTAGAGTATGATTCACAGGTTCACATCTCGAACACGTGTGGTTTGTATGTTTGCTCCTTTGCGGTTTCATGATGGATTATGGTATCATAATCCCGACAAGAATCCCATTGATTCGGTACTGTACTCATTTTGGGGGCCCGAAGGGGGGGGTATTTGATATTCAAATGTTTTGGGGGAAGGGATTCTATTGGGCAGTTTCCCAATCCCCAAGTTATCATGAACCAACGGTGCCTCCCAGTTACGTGGCAGGGCCGTCTGGCACCTGCTCAGCCAAGGATGGACAGTTCCAACGGGACAAGCGAAGCTTTTCCCGATGCCTGCTGACTGGAGCTCATTGGGACGGGCATAAAGGATCATAAAGGAAAGTCGCTCACACTTCGCAAGTCTTCACACATGAAAGTGGGCGATATTGAAAGTGAGAATTCATTTGTAATGGCGGCATATCGGCATATTCACCTGTAAAAGACTGTAGCTATTGTAGCTGCTCCCTGAAGCTCTTAGAATTCGCAGTGATGGGGTTGTCTAACATTGTCTAACTGTAGGTCTAACTGTAGACAAGTGAGGATCGATGAGGATCGTCCCCCCACCGCACAGCATCGCCCAACTTGCTCCAGCCTCAAATACTCTCGCCACACCTGCCGAACTCACATGTTGCTGTCACTACATCTTGAGGCGCGACCATCAAAGGCCCCGGAGGAGTGCAAACTGACAATGTCTTCAATGCAAAGTAGGAGCAAGTAGCAAAGTAAGGAGCCACAAGGGCAAACTCTTTGTCCCGTGCGTGCCTGATCGTTTAGGACTCCTGGGTTGACACTAACGGAGCAAAACATTGCCTTCCTTGTTGGTCTTGAGACCATGTAAGATTCGAATCATCATACGCAACATAGGGTCATGTCCCACTCTGTTAAGTTAAGTATAGTGGAATGCAGTCGGCAACACAAGATATCGTGCATGTTGTAGTCTTTGCTCATCTTGCAAGGATCAAGAAGAAAGACTGCAACTAGCAAGCCTAGCATGCCCACAAACCAGTGTTGATGAGAACAGGCGCAAGCAAGTTTCATGCAACTAGTGAGTCATCTTGTACAAATTGCCTTCTCAAATCTCAGTCTTACCATGTCTTATCCCTATTGAATCAGTTCCGTTACAGTACAAATGAAAGTCCTCCTGAGTAGCATCTATGAATCTATGAATTCCTGAGAGATGCAGCTATACGAGGTGGTGCAGTCGACAAAATTGAGCCAAGACTCGATACACATGGCAGACCTGTCCAAACAGCAACCCATAACCCAAGCTCGGAAAAGTCAGTGCCTGTCCTACTGCCAGGCTAAAATTTGGGTGGTATGTCGACATGCATACACTTCATCAACAGGATCTGCAAGCTTGTAAGAGAGACCCTTGCGCAGCATGGTTGCTGGGATGAAACAATAAGGCCTTGACTTCCCGGAACTGATTAGGATCTAATCTAATTGCTTCTTGTTGCTTCCTTCAACAGTTGAAGCAGAACATGCATTCCTCGTTTGCTTCTCCAAAGGCAAAATTGATCAAAATTGCCGCCGGCGCCTGGGGCTTTCACTTGGGGGTATCGATCGAACATTATGAATAATCAGATAATAATCATGAAGAATCCAGTTATATCCAGTGAATTCCAGTTATATCCAGTGATATCCAGTACAACTGAAGTAATGAACCTTTATGGATCTGTATGGATCTGTCCGGTGGTGGATCTCCGCCTTGAGCCGATCTGCCATGGGAGCTCCGCGCCGGTCGCGTGTGTAGATCTTGCGGAAAGTCGAGTCCTCGGCAATATCATCACTGCCGCATCAGTGGGTTGACCAAAATGACGGAACTGGCGACAGAAGAACGTGGAGAAACTAGAGCCTTTAGGGATGCCTTGGGCCATGCCCCAAGGTTGCGGAGAGCAGGCTCTCAGCGCACATCATCCAACCGATGTCAAGAACGGCTGAGGTCGTAGCAAAGAGACCTTGCATCTCTGGAACCATCTCCTGCGACACTTCCGAACGACGGTGACACAAAACCTCTGTTGCTCACGCGGCATAGACCTGCAAACTGTGCTGTATGACCAAATATGAAGATTTGTTAAGAGCAGAGATTCTTGAAAAACCTTGATGCCACAAGCACATCCACTTGTGTCATTGATACTGTCAGCACGATGCATAGATTGGGAAACTTCTAACCAAAATTCCCCAGCAAATCAGCTAGGTTTGTTCCATTGACACTATTTGTGCACTATTTGTGCACTATCTGTGCCGTGTTTGTGCACTATTTGTGTCCATTGCTACCAGTATTGGACCAGTCACTGGCTGCACTGCCCCAGCCGCCCAGCCCCCCCTCGCTCAGGACACCGATGCTTGGCGCAGGTGCCACTGCTCTGACGCCCGCCGGAGGCACCGGTGAGACGCTTGCCGCGGCAAAACGAGAGCATGTCCTGTTTGGCAAACGGCAAACGTAGCAACGGCAACTGACAGTTCTTATAGTTTTATATAGTTTTTGTATCAATGTTCCATAGATGTCCATCGATTCCAAAGGGATCCATCAGGAGACAGTGGCAGATAACATGAGATAACTTGGATGCCAAGAGATATAGAATTTAGATGAAATTAGAAGTGGATGAGGAGCACAGTACGAGAAATCGAAGCAGCCACTCAGCCACTCTGGCAGAATTTAGAATTGTATTTTGCATATTCTTGGTCCCCCAGCAAAAGATGCTATGTTGGGGATTCTTTCACCAGTCAACATCGAACATTGAGCAATGTTGATTCTTGTTGTCCATCGCTCATTCCAACATTTCCGATTCATGTCTAACCCTTCCTTCTGCTCACAATTCATAGATTCATAGATCTCATGCATGCAGGGTAGTCCATGGTAATCATAGGGCAATCCTTGCTTGAACAGCTGCAGCTGACTTCTGTTTTTCCTCTGCATGGCGCATGCTGCTCGCAACTTTGGCGCCTCTGTATCCATCTGTGCTTGGCCAAAGAAATCGGCGAGGCTGAGAGACAACCAACCAAAAAAAAAACATGATAAAACTGATAACCTGAATTGGATGCAGCCCCAACCTTTTGGAACGTATGGGTCCTGGCTTCCTATGCACAGAGTCGAAAATCACTTGAAAATGAGGAGACATGAAAATGCTTGAAGCCGATAGAGCCGATCACTGCAAATGTCTGAATTGATATTATTCCCCCAATGCCATGAGGCCATTGGATCATCAAATGATATTGAAAGGATACATCATCGGCAAGCTTACATTGGCTTCCATGATTAAGATGGAAGATGGGCAGGTTTGATTGTGATGCAGCGAGAGCAGTTCCTGTATCTTTGGAAGTCATGTTGCTATGTGCCTACGTTGCTCGTGAATTCAAAAGAATCGTACTTGAAGCCACTCTGTTTACATGATTCATTCAGGGAGTTGGCTGAGAGTACTTCTGTTCACACTAATCTGAAGTAATGGCAGTTTTTAGTGTCCACACAATGCTATATGTCCATGAAAGGAAACGCTCAGAAGTGTTCGAACCGACGCTGTCAGCGGTCGGCATCTCAATCTCCGCAGCTTTGGCCTCATACCCAAAGCTCAGGAAGGATGTGCAAGCATAAACCTCAGATATTCAAAAAAATGTAAGCAATACTAAGTCAGCCTGTTCGAGCAACTGGCCAAAGCATCCCAAGTTTCAAGCAGGTCCCACTGCGGTTCGGAACATCTTTTTCGAGAATTATGCAACTTCAAATGAATTACATATAATCATATATAATTAATCGTCTATATAATTTACAGTTTAGTATCATTGAAATATAATATGTATATATATATATATACATATTATTGTATATATATATTACATTATATATATATACACATTAGATATATATATATATATACACATTAGATATATATATATATATACACATTAGATATATATATACACACATTAGATATATATATATATATATATTATACATTTGAAAATATATATTATACATTTAAAAATATATATTATGCATTATATATGTTATACATTACATATATATTATACATCATATCTATATATATACATACGAATATTATACATTATATATATTCATTATACATTATATATGCTCACTGTTTATAATCTCTATATTCTAATCGTGTATATACAATTATATACATAGCAATATTGTATAGTACACAGTACACATCTATTTTCAGGCTGAAGGAAAATCGATGTCATATGATTGCATGCCTATGGAGGAACTGGCTGGTTCTGACTGATTTGTATGGAGCGATCATGAGTGGCACGTGTTAGCAAAATTACCAAGAGAAGTGGAAGATGCTGGAAGTTATTCTGTCAATTTCCATGTGATTCCAAGACATGCCTTTTCGCCCAAGTCACCATTTTGACCAAGAAACAGCTGGCTCCCTTCTCTGAGTCCGCAAATTCTGGAGCCATGCGAATCCGCATCCTTACAGGAACGCAATATGATCTCAATCACATCTGCATATTGTCTGAGGTGCCTTGCGTATGAATCCACAGTGCTGAATGGACCCGCCTACTCGCACGGTTTGCTGCAGCAGAGAATGGATTTAGAATTGGGGAAGTGTGAAGGTATCTACATGCCACACATGTCATCTTTCTGAATACTGCCATATACTGCCATGAGCCAAGGTGCGAGTCTTCTATCAAGAACCGATTTGCAAGCAAAATGCATTTCCTGAGGCACCATGACACTGCGATGAGATCCAGACATCCATCTGGGAAGCCGGGCACACTTGGATAGCCAGGATTATATATAACACGTTTTTCATTAGCGCATTGGATTGGCTGAGCTTAGCCAATGTGACATGTTCATGTGATTCATGTGCAGTTTCGTTATTTTGGGGAGGCTTCACAAACCTTTATGAAGAGTAAGCCATGGCAAATTACAATTGGCAACACAGAGTGGCTGGGGATAAAGTTTATAAATCCCCAAAAAATCCCCAAAGTCTCGGGATTCGAATTTCATCTTCCAAATTCTATCTCCATGAGTTGGAGACTCAGAACTGCTTTGCGTCTTTGCCCTTAGATCCCTTAGATCCCTTAGCAACCTGAAGCTTTCAGAAGTTCAAACTTAGGAAATCAAAAAACCATAAAAAAAACCATGCCATGACTTTGCCCAGCCGTGGCTTTGATTTAGCAAAGGCGCAAAGAGACACTCACCTCATCTGCGACAAAGGGATCTGCAGAAGATCATGGGTTTCACAGTTTCACCACATATCTACACCCGAAATTGAGAAATTCTAAATTGAAGAACTCAACCCCCATTGCAGCTCGTGAAGGTCACGAAGGTCACGAATGTTATCCAACTTGAGGTGAAAGTGATGCGGAGTATGTCTTCGTAGCGACCGCACGGATCTTTTCGCGTCAGTGGCGTTTGCTCAAGTCTTCAAAGGGCCAACTGCTTGTTGCGACTTGGATGATGGAGACAGTTTCTCTATGCTGCTGTGATGCGGGCTGTGGGCCCATCGCTGCTAAAAACACCTAGGCACAGCAGTGCTTTGAAGTGTGCAATCGCAGTCTCTCCAAAAATTAGGGACATGGGACGTGTTGTCAAGATTATCCGTTGATTCCGTTGTACTTGAGACCCACATGAGCAGCCTTAATGTCGAACAAACTCGTGAAGTGATATGTGTTTGAAAAAACGGGAGAAACGGTTGAAGCAACTCGTAAAGAGGACCCCTACAACTTTGCATTTTGAACGGGTTGAGAATAGGGGATCTTTGCCAGTAAATATCAGTAAAATACGTAATATATTGTATTATAATATTATATATATATATCATATTATATATTAATACATATATATATAGTATATATATACATATACAATAATAACTTTGAATGAAATAAGCAAGTCCAACGGGACATGATCCGTAGGGATCCTTTTTGGGAACCTTCGCACGACCGAAGCAAGGGTCATTTGATGTCTGGGTTCATTCCATCGGAACCATGTGGTGCCCAGCCTGGCGTCTGTTGCGCACACGGTTCGCCAGAGCACCAGCCACTTTCTCCTTCTGGGTGTTGCCAGAGACGTAGAGAGGCAGCGTCGCCTACACGTCGCGCCGCAGAAGGTATCATGTATTTATATATATATATGATGACATTATGAAAGTCAATACATCGGAATCTTCTGCCTTCACCGTACCTCCCAGACAACGCTTTCTTCATGTATCCCTTAAATGTTGGCCACCTTTGCTAGACCATATGCTTGTTGTTGCTGTGAAGTGAGCACCATTACAAGGTTCAGCACTTGCAAAAAAACCTGCAAATAGCGCAAATGGCTCCTCTATTCAAGCACGCTTGCGGTCTTAGAACCAGGTTGCAGCAAGCCAGCCTTGCTATTGCTCATGTTGCGAACGCCCTCACCAGCGATTCTGGTCAAGTTCATCTTCATTTTCAAAGTCTCTGGGTTGTAGCAATACCTCAACAGCTGCTTGCCCAGGGGCCCAGCAAGGGTTTTATTCAAAAAATATGTGGTCGAAGGATTTGAGGGTGCTGCAACGGGGGCGACGACAAATATTCTTGAATCACATTCATGCGCCGCAAAAATATTGAAGCAAGCGGCGGCTACAGTGTTAGTACAGGGATAAAACATGGTGCAGGTGAAAGAAGGAAAAGCGGATGAGCTGGATAGACACTAGTTCCAAACCCCTGGTACATGAACCTGGTACACCCCCGTATATCAGCCGTGACCAAGCAAATCCAATCTGGGCACTCCGGAAAATCCACTCTGCAGGCGACATCGATTCGCTCCTGCACCAAACGCTAGGGTAAGAGGCAGAACAATGCCACCATTGCAGAACGGGTCAGGAGAGACTACTGAGAGACTACTGAATACTGAATAAAATCGAACATTTGCTGTGGCAGTTCCTTCGCAAGAATGCGAAGCCAACTACGATTAGCTCCTTGTTGTGGACATGGGACTGGGCCTTCACTGTTCGTTTCTAGTAATCTCATCCGACGGAAAGGAGACATTCAAGGTACCCTAAATACAAACCCTTCAATTCCAAACAATCAAAAATTGATTTGATGTCTCTGGTAATCTCTGGTCTATCTCACTTGTGATTATCAGTATCTCTTTCATCATCTTTCATCGTTTTCCATATCCACCATCCAACAGCTCCTTATCCTCGTTTAGAAAGGTTCTTGCAAGCGCTACTGCTTTCCTCAGAGCTTGCAGGTTCTGATCAAAACTCCTCCTGAGTTGCCTTTGATACCCCCATGCAATAGAAGGCTATTTTGCTTTGATACCCCCATGGTCGATTGCTTATTGTCAATTTATTATCCGCATGGGCATCAAAGGGTTTGTCAAATCTCCCCGCCCTCATTTCGCTGCTGCGAAGTCCAATATATAATCTTCTTGGCGGCCATTCATGACTGAAAAGTTGAACCATTTTCCTTGGGGGGGAGAATATTTGAAGATTTCATCGAGCGGGTGATGCTGACCAGGTTGGCCCGTCTATTCCCAATGTGTGTATCTTCCTGCAGTGTCAAGCCAGCCGTGGCAACCTTCAGATCCCAGCCAGGGTACACCGCAGTATTGAGGTTAGTTGCTCCAATGGCCCGAACCTCAGCAAGACTGAAGCATTGAAGCTATTTTGTCTCGACTCTTTCTTCGACTCTTTCAGGTTTGTTCACACTATCCTCAACATTTAGAAATTCGGTGTTACATCCTTTTTGGCAGCCATGCAGCTCCGCAAGCAAACTTCGTTTCACTGTGTGTAGCTCTGGGTGTGTTCAGATTGACATGAAACGGCCCGTTCTGATCAAATTGAAAGTGGTTGAGCATCATGCAACCATCAGTATCCATCACCAGCTTTGCCTTCGGTGCAACTGAATGCCCCAAGGAACGCATGGTGGCCGCCCCTCTCGAATCCCTCGGGCCACATAGCCAGCTATACCATGGATATCCTCAGCCAAGGTCCAGCTGATCTGAACTACCCAGTGTCCTGGATAAAAAAACGATGCATTGGCGATGCATCAACTGAATCAACTGATCATCTACTTGGGTTATCCGCGGTTATCTTGGGTTGCTTTCTTCTCTGCCTACTGGTGTCTGGCTTGGTTTGAAGCGCAACTCTGCTTCGGGGATGTCAGGGCTTGATGAACCCATATTTGATGTACGAGAACCAAAGCGTGGTATTGTAATTTGCCTAAGGGTCTATTTATTCTATGTTTATTCTTGTGTATACTCCTGTACTGATCTGTACTGTAGTAGTCAGCGACAATTCATCGGGGAAAGCCCCAATTCTCCAAGTGTCTGTCGTGTTGCTGACCTTAAGAATCCGCATCGGGGAATGGCATGACACATGCAAAGGGCTGTAAGATTACCAGTGATCCTTTCACCTCTCGGAATCATCAGAAGAACTATTCAAATGTCGGAGTCTGAACTGAGTAGGTGTTTATTTTCGTATGGAGTCTTCGAGCAGTGTTTGCAGAAATTGAGGGCAAGAAAATATTGACCTAGTCACCTGGCACTAAGTTAGCCACTCTGCAGGCACTGAAGACCTTGAAGATAGAGATGTGCCTTGGGCTCTCTGAACATGTCATCAAATCTAAAATTTTATGAATCAAATCAATTGATATGAATATGAATATATAGACCTGGGATTGTCTGGAATATGGCAAAATATATCAGCTTCCCAGTGACACAAGCATCAACTTGAGGAAGCCTTAAGCAAATGAAAAGCTCAGCATGCGGTGTATAAAGGGATCCATCGGAACTACATTCGAAGCAGGGCTAGTATGCAGTGATGTCTTGCCAAAACTTGGGACAACCAACCAACAAAATTCAGAGAATGAGCAAGATTATCCGACTAGTACAAAATGTAAAGGACACTCTTTGCCAACATTCTGACATTGTTTCTGCTTCCTTGCATTTCCAACTAACTAGCCTTCTTTCCAACCAGTATTCAGCAGGATTACAGACCATCCCATATTCGCAAACCGCATAGGCGGCCGAGTCACACGATGCTCGCCATTTTTTCGCTCTTCCCGAAACTAAGGGCACAGTGCAGATCACCTGAGTACCGAATGCTTGCTTTCTGTGGCAAGCCTGAGGCATCTTGCGTGTGTTTGGATCGCATAGCCATAGCCTTGTCCAAATGCCCATACAAAATAGATTAGAATTTAATTAGAAATGATCAAACTGACATTTGAAGCTTTTGACGAAACCTGCTTTCGCTGCTCTACGGAAACTGGCCTATTGTGCCGCAATTGTGCCTGTTCATGCCTGTTCTGTATTCAACTCAGACAATAGGAATGCTGGACACCTGAGGCATCACTGGCTATCACTGACCACCCCGTCCTGCCCCGAGGCTCCAACGACCCTCTTCTTTGATGTACGTTTTGGCCTCGTTTGTGATGGGGCTGGGGCCAAGATGGCCAAGGATTTGTAAAGACAATGAGTCAATGAGAGTCCTGAATTCCCCCGAAGCATGAATGAACAAAGATCAGCCGCTGTGCTGTTGCAACGCGGTTCAACTGGGCAAGTCCTACTGGGCCACAGTCTTTCTCGCTCTCGCTCGAAAGTCTTCAGGTCTTTGGGCAGCTTGCTCTCCCGATTGAATTAGCACAAGGAGAGGTCTCACAATACTTCTGTAGGAAGCTTCACATCTGACATTGTGCACATGGTCACTGAATGTCACCAAACCCATCCAAGCTGACCGAGCTGCAAAATTGATTGAGCTGGGAGTCCGCTGGGAGTCCCCACGTACTGCAAGCTTTGTACCGCTTGCTGACCAGCTGGTGGACCGCTCAAGGAGAGGAACAAGTCGCGATCTTCCCGGATCTGCAAAGTGCATCCGGGGAAAGATGGGAAAGGATGTAACTCCTTTGGGGAGGTACTGAAGCTATCTGAAGCTCCAGGAACGGTTTGTCCCATTGAGACTAATAATTAGGGAGTCTCCACCTGGTCACGAAAAAGAAAGACTTGTCTCTAAGCCTTGACAAATATGTCAAAGTTACCAGGAGTGAAAAATGTCAAGTCCATGAAACCGCACGCTACTGGAGGTATCTATGTACCAAACTGGACGGGATGCTTCACTGCCCTTAGCTTTGCTGCTGAGTTTCAATGTTGGCGATACGACCTGCCATCTTCCCAGGCTCCGAAGAGCCAGAGACATAATTTTCGTCACCTTGGAGGATGTGATGGATTTGATGTCTGCATCGCATGTCTGCATCGCATTTGCTGTTTCAACCTTCATACAGCTACAGATGGGCACTCTGACGCATGGGTGAGCAATGCGGCACCATTAGCGGAGTCGAGCTGGGGCAGTGGTTCAATATGTTCAATCCACGACCGAAGCACTATGCCAAGCTGCTGGGTAAAATGCCATTCTCAGCCTCTTCAACCCAGTTATCCGTATCAATGGAGAGCTCATAGGCAAAGTCCGCTGGAAGCCTCACAGCGGCCACAGCAGTTCATCTACCTGTGGTATGTGCCATGTTCTTGGCTGACTCACTTCATTTCTTGGTAGCAAAGGGGACTGCAGACTGAACCAGAGGGCTGAAAATGAACGAGTGATATTCCCTCATGACAAGCAGCTAAGAAGTAAAATGTAGGTGCAAGTTTTGTACGGTACAAGGCATACATCGTTCGTGCATGATAATATCATGATATAATAGTAAGAGATAGTAAGAGTACTAAAATCATCAGCTGAGCACATTAATCACATTATAAGGTCCAGTTCATGTCAAAACATTTACTTGCGTCCAAACATGGCGACAGCGAGATGTTCACAAGTGCGTTCACAAGCGTTCACTATGTGGGCTATGTGACGGCTATGTGGACTCTGCGGCGCAAAAGGTGGCCAGGCCTTCCGTCCAAGTATTCGTTGTCGACCAGCTCGAAGCTGAAATCCTGTACACTCTCCAAAGCGATAGCGGCGATACTCTATGGCCCTGGAATCCCAAATTTTCAAAAAATCTTGAGGAGCAGTCTTTACCTTCCAAAAGGCTGCATCTTGTGGAATGATATTCATAATCAGAACAGCAACTTTAAGTGACCCTCTATTACTCTACGCACGTCAACTTGTCAGATTCGCTACCTACATCACATCTGGCGAACATCTGTAGCGAAACGTTACCCATTTTGTGGTTTCATGCTGACGAGAGATCACGAGATTAGCAAAGAGTAGCTATGATCAAACACGACTGAAACATGTGAAACCTGAAGATCTGCAGCAAAGCCGCCAAATTGTCAGGTGTAATGTAAGACCTCGCCAAAGCCATAACCTACACAGCTGCGCTCCGCGACCCCCTGCAATCCGATTCTTCGATCACTTCATGGTGACCATGTGAAAAATTGGGGTTTCACTCAGCCTGAAAATTTGAAGAGTTCGCATGTCAATGTCAAGTAGCCAGTCTGCTCATCTCAAGGGTGAAATTCGACAT